CTTTCCTTTGGCTGGTGTCACTGAAGCACCGCAGCTTCCAGTTAACTTGTAACGGAGTTAAACCGGAGCATCGCCGCCAAAATGGAGTTCTTTGATTTCGACGGAGCCTCATATGGGTCCCAGTCGCAACTTCGTGATGATGATGTGGCTTCAGACAGCAGGGATTTCGATGAAAATGATGATGCTGTTGCCAACTACAAATCACTTCTACTGGATCAGCCATTGGATTTCCCCAATGATTTATCGGAGCAAGGTGTTGAACCCGCCATCAAACAATCCCCGGGTTCGGCCATGGAAAACGGTGTCTATCCCATGGGTCGTGCTAAAGAGCCCTGTGACTTTTGCAGGAATATGGGATTGGACTGTTTTGTTGCCAACAGGGGAGTCATGCAAAACAGTGGATGTACCTGTTGCATCTCGCTATACCGAGAGTGTAGTTTCACTCATGCCAAAGCACCTGGCAAATTTCTGGACACATTACACCCGATCAATGAAAATACCTACATCCCAACCGGTGGCTTAACGGGGAAGAAAGCACTTAGATCGGCTTACGGTGCAACCTTTGTTGGCGATGTCGATGGTCGGGGAACAAAAAGTACTTCGCGACTTTCGCGTGAAGCAGTCCGCATTCTCAAGACATGGTTATACGAGCATAGCGACCATCCGTATCCCAATGAACAAGAGAAAGATGAATTGAAGCAGCGTACAGGGCTGAAGCGGACCCAAATTTGCAATTGGCTAGCCAATGCCAGACGGCGTGGTAAAGTTCGTCCCGCTCCACGCAGCAGCTCTCCAGTTCCCGGTGCCATGGATATCCCGAGGCAACAACAGATGGATATACATCTCATGACTCCACTTGAGCGTTGGAAGCACTCCCCCCCTGAAAACGAACCTGCTGCTACATCTGATATTCTCCGAGCCTTGGTGAACACACCTTTAGATTCTGCTCGGCAGCGATCGTCTCAATCGAGTCACGTGCGTTCCCATTCTCGGAAGACGGGGTCAAGCAATGACTCAAGCCATGGCAACTCAAATATATTCCGTGCCCCTTCCATTAGTAGCTTAGAGACAAGTCGGTCAGCCACTCATTCATCTATATCTGACCTGTCCTTCGCCTCCGCCTTCTCCCATAGATCCTCATTGGGGTCATTCGGTTCCATGGACCGAAAGGAACGTCGCCGCCGCCGTAAAGCCCCAGCACCCATGAACACTTTCAATCAACAAAAGACTCGCAGCACTCGTATCTACCAGTGTACCTTCTGTGCCGACTCCTTCCAGACCAAGTATGATTGGCAACGGCATGAAAAATCGCTGCACTTAGCTTTGGAGAAGTGGACCTGCTCGCCCCATGGAGGTGTCGTTTTCATGGACGGCGCAAACCGCTGTGTATTTTGTATGGCGGCCAATCCTGACAACGACCATCTTGAATCGCACAACTTTAGTACATGCCAAGAGAAATCCCCTTCTGAGCGAGCCTTCTATCGGAAGGACCATCTCAATCAACATCTGAGGTTGGTTCATGACGTGAAGTTCCATCCTTCAATGGATAAATGGCGAAGTAATACCTGCGAGATAAGGTCGCGGTGCGGTTTCTGTACAACTATTCTCACAACGTGGAAAGATCGAGTTGACCATCTAGCTTCCCATTTCAAGAGTGGTGCCGACATGACTCAATGGCAGGGAGATTGGGGTTTCGATCCCGATGTCGAAAACTTGGTCGAGAACGCGATGCCTCCGTACCTCATTGGCCAGGAAAAGCTCACATTGGATCCTTACAAACCTTCGCGCGCCACAGGGCAGTCGCCAAGCTTGACTGTGCCGGGAGACGCTAACTGCTATGAGCGTCTCCAGCGCGAGCTTATGGTTTATATACATAACCGCATGGCTGCCGGTGTTACCCCAACGGATCAGATGCTGCAAGATGAAGCCCGACGCATCATTTATGAAAATGCCGATCCTTGGAACCAGACCTGCGCGGATAACCCAGTCTGGCTTGGAGTTCTGAAACGTGTCGCTGGACTTGAAGACGTGCCGGGCTCAGAGCATGTTCAATTCGCTAACTTGGGAATGCAACCGCCTTATGCTGCCCAAGGCGGACTACTGCGCCCGCCCCTTGAGACCAACTCCGTGGCTCGAAGCATATTTCATCGTCACCCCTTCAGCCAAAGTCACTCTGGCTCTGGATTCCAAAGTCCCGCTTTCCCAAGCACTGGTCGGTCCTCAGCGGCAGCGAGCGTTCCAGGGAGCTCAACCGATAGCTATGCTGGTAGCTTTGGAATGGTACCCCCGGTGACACACTCTGGCTTATCCACTGATTGGGGAAGCAGCCTCTCAGCCGGGGTCTCATCGTTTTCGACGCCTATGAGCGGCTCAGTGGACCCGTTTGTGCAAATGGGATTTGATCCTGAATTCCTGCAGCAGCTGAATGACCGTTATGAGGAGTTGGATTTGGGTGACCTCCAAGGATTGGAATTAGGGGGAGACAGTCGGCATGAGGGTAGCCTCCTACCTGGAAGGGACGAAAGTAAAGCGGACACTTTGCCGGGCTCTAATGTCGGGTCTGCACCCATTCCTATCCCAAGCCCAAAAAATACGGATGTTTTGATGGCCGATGCTGTTCCTTACCAAGGGCCGCGATCACCAGGTAATAGTGGTTTCTAAGAGTAAAGGGTTGGAATTGTTAATAGTGGGCCATGATTTTGGAGCTGTTCAAAAGTTTCGTGATGTGTTCTTTTCTTTCTTGGGAGGGCTTTTACCCTCCCTCTCCGTAATTTTCATGCATAGCTTCTCAACGATTCCCAACATGGCGGCGGTGTTAGTTTATATATTGAAATTAATCTAGAACGATTTGCCTTCCGTCTAATTAATGATCGCATCAAGGGCGCCAGTGTGTCAGCGATAAACCTGATGATTGGCTGCATGTGATGGGTGATCATCGGCAGGGCGTACCCGTGACCTTGGGAATGACACATAAATTACTTAAGAAATATCAGGGTAGGTTACTATTTTCACCCTAATTATCAATGTTTTGTTGGCTGTCGGTCAGTAGGTGATGTGTAGGTAGTATTGAAGGAAGTGCTGTTTGCCTGTCTGTTGTCTAGGGTTCTGGATGTCAGTGACCGACTTGTTTAGTTGGGATCTATCTTTAGTGTCTCCTTATCGGAAAGACTTCAACTGTGGGTCAAAAGTCGTTAGATCGCCACTTTGACATGTGAAACTCGGAGGTTTTTCGCGTCTCAACGGTTTTTCCCTGCATGAATCGGATGTTTAAACATCTACAGCATCATTTGAACCATACTTCGCCCTCGTCATGGCTGGAAAGTGCTCACAAGATCTTTTCAAGACGAAGGAACTCATCTGAACCGTGAATCCATGATTCTCTGGTGTTCATAGATCCCGATATTATGACACTGCTGCGTCAGATCCAAGCTTCGTTTCTGTCACCCGAGACCCGACCTTAAACTGCCCCTCATCTGATGCCCTTCGCTTATCTCAAAGACTACCATGGAGAAAATAGAGACAATGGACGAGCAGGCAACTCTGGGAGACACAATGATTCTCTCTCAGGGGCTTCCCGATTTCCTCCCGGCTGCCATTCGACGACACATTCCCCGTCTGTATCCTTCGCTCCATCGCGCGGCGCAGTCGGACTCAAATATAAACGCAGCAAGAACAGGCCACAAGCTCAATGGTCCTAGTTTCTCTCCATCTTTCTCGGAGCCGGAGTTGACATTGTACGGACAAAAAGCCGGTTTGGCCTTGGGGGACCTGCAACGCCCTACTACTGCGGGCAGTAGTAGTAACGGCCAGGACTCGTGTGGCTCTTCGGTTTGCGGGAAGTCTTCGGACACTAGTTATATCATACCTTCCGAAGAGAAAAAGGGTGTAGAGCCTATGGGGTTTGCGATGTCCAAATATGAAGAGGAGACTGGACTGCGCTGGAATCATGTCGTCCCAGGTATGCATCCATACCAACACACTGACATGTGCTGTAGATGTAGAAAAGTATAAGACCGCCTCTGACTTGTTCATATAGCGTTTCAATTCCTCCAACATGCAGGAGTGGAGGCCCAGCGACGCGATTATGACAGCCACCTGGTACGGTCATTGTACATGGATGCACTATGCTATCTTCTTCAGGCCCTACCGGCCGATTTGACTTACGAAGAAACTGCAAGAATCAGGAAAAGCCTTCCTGGCCAAGTTTCCAACTCTCTCGCTGCTCCTTCCGCAGCTGGCTTCGTTAACCAACCCGTGAACACAAGACACTCGGCAGAGCGCTCTTATCTCCACCGGCTGCTGGCCTCTAGTATTATTCACTTCTTTCTCCTGCTTCAGTTCCTGATGCCATACCTCAAGATTGTGCTGCACCGATTATACCAATTCGAACGGTCCCATCGGGTTACCGAGCGCGTTGTGTCGGCGAGCTTGGATGCTGCCGATAGCTTGGGCAAACGGAGCCTGAGTCTGGGAACAACAGTCCTCAGTCTCCATGATGGGAAAGTAGGTGTTGCGGTGTCAAGTCTGGCTGCATGGTGGGTTGAGGGTATTGCAGGTGGAATTTACGAGGGGATTGGCGAGGGCATGACCATCTTAGGGTTCATTCGGCCAAATCCCGGTGTGGTGGAAGGGACACAAATGCAACCCATGCCAAGTAACTGAGGTTTGTTCTTTATCGCTGTATAAGTTATGTTGAGATGTTCGATAGAACGTGTATCCAAGGCTATCGGTGGGACAGGCTGGGATGCTAGAAGGGCGGGTGCGTTTGCCTGATTGTTGCCTATTCAAATAGACCCCTTGCGTTAGAGTTAATAACCACAGTCAATTGTTTTATTTGCCACGTCCTTTGCTTCTATAAAATATTTGTGCTTTTTAATAAGCGAGCGACAATCGAGGAGAGGGGAGTTCCAAGACTATGTTGGCTAATTGATGGTGTCTTTGCAAATGCTATATTATTCGACATTTCCATATTTCGTTCGGCCCATGACCCTCAATTTACTATGGATGACGATAACGACGATGCTGTTCAGCCTACAAAGGAGACGTTTGATCGTGTGCTGCGTGAAAGTTATGCATTATGGTCGAGTTATGTCGACCTGGAAGGCTCTACTTCTCTCCCAATCCAATGTATTGATCTCAAAGGCATGCTCGGCCAAACGCCATCATTCCTTGGACATGGGTTGATTTTCGAAAACGAGCCAGCCCCGTTCAAGTGCACCGAGAGCTCAGGTGGTCTTTATGTCAATGGTCATTCGACTTGGAAGACTTCCAACGGGGATTGTCAGTTGGGGCCCAAAGAAATACACCCCAAGCTTCTACTTGCGACTCCAACTGCGATGAATGTAGAGCTCTCAGATTCGGCTCCATTCGCAGAATGGCCTGGCGTTCAAAGCCTCGAGGAGTACGACGAGGGTAACTACATCGCGGTATTATTTCTTGCTTGGGCTTATATACTGAGTGCTCGATGGTCTGAATTGTTGAGTAAATCTCCAGAGCACCGGTGTATGATTGCCTTGAAGGAAGAGGATCCCCGATGTGAGGTCCCACTTTCCCATAGCAGGATTGAAGTAGACATCGGAGTTGATGCCAGTGACGATGAAGTGCACTGGTGGAATGTTATCCTGTCAGTCTATGAAGGATGGAGCATAACGACAGTTTATAACGGCAGAACTTATGTCTCACCTTGGGCTGTTGCGATATCAGGCGCCACATGTTAAGAACTAAACAGTCGTCGAGCGCCAAAAGACAACAGCCTTCTTCAGATAGGGCTGTGGAGTATTTAGCCCGTTTCTGCTGCTACAAGCGTTTATATGGTCAATGCTCGGCTGCCTTGTCCGCAGCACTTTGTATCCCTTTTGTTTGGACCAAATCAATATCACTCCCTGTTCCGAAAATGAGTGCTACTTCGGGATGCGCACTTGAGTTACATTGCTCTCCAGCAACCCACATCTATGAGCACTGCGACTTTCTTCCTAGATACATGATGTTAAGCTGTAATACGTGGGGCATCCGATCCCTACTTCACGCTACATTCTTCAACCCAGACATCGAGTGTAACTTGGTCGCGGCCTGGATGAGTGCTGTATTCGTCGTTATAGGTCCAGCGACACAGGAAAGGAACATAGTAAAATTTCTCAAGATTCTTGCAAGGCGACTACCGAAGTTAGCACCACTGTGGCTTGGAGCTATGCTCCTGGATGAGTTTAAGGCTTTAAAGCCTATAAAAGCTGGATGTGTAGCTGTGGAGCTTCACGCCGCGGCATGGACGGACACGATAGACTCATTCATTACACAGAGCCCAGGGATAAGTGATGGCAGAGTAATCAGACGCGAGGATGAATGCCGACTACTTCATATCATCGGCTGTGGTTTCCATGGTAGACTTCCTGTGTGGCCATGGAAGCCTTTCGGGGAAACTTTGCTTAAAGATGCCGAGCCTGAAGTTCAGAAACATATCCAGTGCAATTGCCATTGTCTGGAGTACTGGGCATGGTACTGGGAGCTCGTAGACGGCAAAGAGTTGGAAGCCCGTGGGGCTGACGCCCACCAGCCAGGTGACAACAGCACGCAGATTGAGCCGGTGCCCAAGAGAACTCCAAGTCAGTGGTCCATTGATTGCTTATCAGATGACTTGTCAGCCGGTACAACACGAGGAATATTTGGATGGTTAAGATCAACTGGGTATCCAGCAAATGAAAGGCATGTATACAAGCATCCTTGGTTTGATGTTGGAGACTGTGATGAGGATGAGATGTCGGACGATCGGGAGGATGGCGGTGAAGTCAACGAGGCAGACAGACGTAAGGCAGTGGAGAGTTGGCTTGAGAAGAGCGTATGATAATAGCCTCATCAAGGTAGAATGTCCACAGAAGTCAATGGAGACTAGGACTTCAAGAAATGGTACAGTAATACATAGTGGGCATTCGGAGATAGCGGACGTAACAGCTTTGTTTGTAAGGTGCTGAGGACCTGACCGCCCTATTTAAACAGGAAGGCGGTCTGCTGAAGCCGCCATAGTCAAAGCTCAAGAACCTCCGACCGTGGAAAGGAGGTTCTTTACTTAGATACTTCAATGCTATAGATTCCACCAAAAAGCTTCTTTGGATCTGTAAAGTATGTAACATAACAAGCACATCCCAGGAACTACAGTGAGATTTTTTGGGTTAAAAATAAATCGTTTTTTATGATATGATCAATCGGAGATGCTGACTGTGTCGAAGATACAGTATTCAAGGGGCCATCCCGCGGAGCGTTCAAATGATTCTGCCAGAAAATATACCACAGTCGCGTGTTCCTAAGCGGTAACTCAGGAGCAGCATCACGGAGTCTCATACAGCAATATGTCCACCTCCAGATTGCCTAAAATCCCCGCTCTGCGTAAACATCAACTTTCCCTGGAATTGTAAGCTTCACTTACTCTATTAGTGTTTTTGCGGAAGGAAGCCAAATTGACAAATTCCAACTGTACTAGTGCGAGCTTAACTCATGCGGCCCCTCCAGGACTCTATGTGAGCCCTGCTCCGAATGATCCTACTCTCTGGACGGGGGTTTTATTCGTTCGTACTGGTACGATACTTTCACTTTGATTGGGATAAGCAGAATACTTGAGTATCACCCAGAGCTAATCAAATTTCTCCGGCAATGCTTAGGTCCATATGCTTCTGCTATCCTCCGTTTCCAGATCCGATTTCCGCCTTCATATCCCGATCTCCCACCTTTGGTGACCTTCTCTACCGATGTATTCCACCCATTGATCGTTCCCCTTACCACATATACCTTTAGTACAAACGCTTCGAGCGAAGATCCTGTCAGTGCTTCAGACGAGGAGCGATTACCGCCCGGCGGATTCAGTCTCCGACATGGATTTCCCCACTGGTTTGGTCGAGGTAAACGAAATGTGATCAATTCAGCGGACTCTTCGAGAGCCGTGAGTATTAATGGATTCAGTACCGGTGGTGATGCAGCCGGCAAATACTCGGCTCAGAACCCAAACGACGCCTCTAGACCTACATCTCCGTCGAAGAATCAAGCAGACAATGAGCGAGAGGAGAGTGCTACATCAACTCCAGCAGAGAAACCCGTCCAGACAAGGGAGAATGTCCCGGTTACTGCTCTACTAGATTATATTCGCTCTACATTCGATGACGAAACAGTTCTCGACTCGTTGCCACTCGAAGCTGCTGGAAATCCAAGCGCCTGGCATGCATGGAAGGCTCACAGAAAAGATAGCAGCAACTCGACCTTTAAAGCTGGCACCAAAAGAGGAATCCCGCAGGCGCGGCTTCCCGGCGATTGGCATTGGGATGGGATTTGGGCCAAGCGAGTCCAAGATGAGGTCGAGGCGAGTCATTCGGAAGCAACATTGTTTGGCAATGCGACACGAAGCGGAGGGGCTGAGGATTCGGTAAGAACAGTCTTCCCTCAGTGATTCATGCTGGATATTACAAGGCAGCCCATTGTGGCCATCGCTGACCGCAGCTTGCAGATTCGTTTTTCTCGGTTGGACGACGCCACTCTGACCTCAGTTAAAGAGATGATAAACCCACGGGTTGAAGAAGCGCACCATTAGTTCGATCCCTGCGATTTATACCCAATTCATTGTTCATGTATACAGGAAAGAAATAAATATCTGTACAAACTCTGGCCTACTTGTTTCCTTATTTGCCTACACCACCCATAGGTACGCTCTTTCCCAAATCAGCTGGTCTATGTATATCTACGATTTCTTGCAACAGGGCGGAAGGCTTCTCTTCATCATCTATCCATTGCCTACAGAAGACATCCTCATAACTCTTTGCATACCGAATACCCGCCGCATCTATCAGAGTAAATAGACCTACAAGCATGGCTAATCAGTACGACACCTTTTTTGTCATTGGACTGATTTCTATTCCGATATTCCTTATCGGTGTGATCTTCATCATGGCTCTAGCTCTTTCGGGGGCCTGCAGTGGTCGGCCTCACACTCACTACCTCTTCTGCATCAATCCCCAGGAGAGACAGAAGGAGAGAGCCTCTGCTCGTGCCAGTTCTGACGTCCCCGATATAACAATCTCTCCACCGGCGCCCTGTGCGAAACAGGAACCAGACCAAGAGAAGGAGATGGTTTGAAGGAGGGGATGAGTTGTTATCTCTGGCAACGGGAGGCAGCTGAAGAAAATAACGACAAGCACTCCGAAAGATTAGTTGATTTTGCCAGGCATTACAATGTACCTGGACAACGTCGTTATCCCTATCCACGAGGCTCTTGCATACGATCCGTTGGCTCGAAATTTGAACCGTTGATCAGGTGAATACTCGATTACGACCAAACGGCAGCCAATTGAGATTGTAGACTGCTGTTGGAAGTATTAATTGCTGCTGGCTGAGTCAACTTTGGCTGAGAGATGGTGGTTATTTCGTCACTTGCAGGATGGGTGAAATACCTATGCTTCACACGTACCCTAATTCTATACTTAGTGGTTTATAATCGAGGATGAAATTTGGGGTTCTTTAGCTTTGTTCAACTTTGGAAGTGTGATACAGGCTTAAAAAGCCCTTTCCTTTTTCTTAGTCTTACATGACAGAGATTCGTCAGACTAATAATAAGAATTGATTATCCCGACCACTATGCTAACAAAACATTATTCATCTACAAAATTTCTCAAGATAGGCGCATTGTCTTCAGACTGTTTCTTATTCCAGACTGGTTCCCCGTCGTCATCGAACTCAGCCCACTGGAAGAAACCACAGCTTTTTTTGCCAGGGGCAAAGCCTCCATAGCACATCCACATATACCTACCTCTAGTTTCCCGCTTGCGCTGAGCACAGCGCAGAATGGCATGCATACCACACCGACAACGAGGGGTGTTCCGTGGATGAAGGGAGTCGCGGTACCAGCGATACGTGATATTGATGCGGCGGTTTCCGGACAGTGGGTGTGGTGAAACCGTCTGGGCAGGCGCAATGGCGTGTTTCCACTCTTCTTGCATCTCGGCATGCATAACTAGTAGAGAGTTATGGGGGAGATGAATGGAGATTTGACCTTGAGCATCGGCGCGAACGTCAGATGCCACTCGTGACTGCTTCGGCTCAGATTGTGGTGTAGGCGTGTCTTTCTCGCTTTGAGAGCTCTCATCGTCATCATTGCTGGGTACAATCCTTCGAACGCGGAATTCTCGTTCTACGCCTAAACTCAGACTACCGATGATAGCCCGTGGACCAAGGTAAGTGAGTTCGTCCGAGTGATACCCCACGCTCTCTGAGGGACCATCGTAGCAATTGACGAATGCGGCATTTGGCATCCATTCTTTAGGAGACTGGTATTTGAGCTTTTCTCCGTCGGGGTAGAAGGATTTAATGCGGTGATGTACTTCATTGTTCACAGTGTGCTGCACTTTGGCGGAAACAGCTTGCATATGCGGTGTGATCTGACGCACATTTGACCGGTAGGTCCCGCCGTATGTGTATTCTGACGTGTGCTGGTGGTACTCCTCCGGCGTAGAAACATATACACTAGCCGAATGAGGACTCTCAACTGTTCGATCGAACAGCTGGAACTTATATCTAGAGAAATACTTGGATTCCTCCAGAAGTTCTATGAGGAGTGCATTCGCCTGCTCTGCTGGAAGGAAATTGTGGATAATTGTACATGGCGTGTAGGCCGCGACATCCTCCGGGGAGTATAAGTGCAGGGTTTTCCCCTTCTTAGTCAGTGATTTTCGTTTGATGGGCGAATCTTGCCCTGTGTCTGGCTGGAGGACAAGAGACGTCAAAGACGTCTGTACAGACGGTGTACCCGGTACCACCCGCTTCTTGGTGGGAGGGGCTTGTCCTGGGATCGTAGATGCCGCGGCTTCCACTGATCCGTTACATGATACGAGAACGTCCAGAAGCGTCTCCTGTGCAATCTCTGGGAAAAGTGACACAAGTAGTGCTAGCTTTACATCTGTTGAGTCCTCATCCGGGAGTGGCGATTCTGATGGCGATGCCGCCTGCACGACTGGTGAGCTTGGCCGTGGCCTCTTCCGGGTTATGAAACGGTCCATAGATAGGACTTGCGACTCCAATTTGAAGCCATGAGGTAAAATAAGTCTATGGGGTTGTGTTGAGAGATCGGATTGAAAGATTCAAGTTCAAGATGCGATTGACACTTCCGGGGCCACGTGATTGCTCTGGAAATGGCCAATCAGGTGCTGCGAACATACATTGTGGAAGTACCTGTATACAGGTACTATATGAAGAGCTATGTACTTTACTTCCCTCTTGCTCATCCGATGCAGCTAAAACATGCTCACCGAGGTATCTTCGCACAGGGTATCACAGAGCTATGTACTAGAACCAAATTCCTCGCATTCGAAGTACTGATTCGTTCATCGGCGTCAAAGTAACCCCGAAGTCCGTCTGACCACCTACAATCTTACTCGATGATTATGGGATGAAGGAAGCATCGTTTGTGCTTCATTGCGCGTCAGATGTGGTCGGGCTTCACACCGACTCATTTATACAACCAAGTTAAGAGTATATGCGAACCAAGCCATAGAAACTTGGTCTTGGTCTTACATTTTAATCTTGGTTAGGGTTCCAGAAATTACAGAGATGCAACACCCAATCCAATACCACGCTTGAATATTGATTGAAAACTCTCTGTGAGGATCTAATCTTATGCTCCATGTATATGTCTGGAATTGTGACGTTATTACCAAGGCAACAATCAAAATGTTGTTTGCTGAACAATTGTCTGTATGCATTGACGTGGTACAGGTTACATTAAACTGCAGAATTACGAAGCAGTCTAAATTATAATCTTGCTTGTTTGCTCACTAGCTATTTGACTAAGCTTTGGACTAACTACAAGATAGACTCTTTTATCTTGCACAGTGGCATGATAAGCCCCAGCTTTCACCGATCCCACAGAATTTTCCACTTGAGGCCTTGAATTCTCGCCCCAGAACTCGCCTCCCCGACCACGATGCACATCCATTGCTCGCTGAATTCTACTGTGTTCGAGTCTGTATCTGAAACACTCGAATTTCCGAACAAGAGTTGGAAGCAATGGTGGTACAAAACTGGCCCAATCCTAGCCAAGCTTATGATATCGTCAGATTATAGCATCGAGCAGCAACACCAGTATCTTGAGTTCTACGCCCGTGTCGTCGCCCCTTTCCTAGGGCCCTATCCACAAGTTTTTCGAAGTACTCTCACCCGAAGTGGTCTTCCTGTGGAGTTCAGTGTCAACTACCAGCAGCATAGAAAGCAACCAACTGTTCGCATAGCTTTTGAGCCCCTCAGCGGAGCGCGAGGTACCGAGACCGTTGCCTACGATCGAGATATAGCAAAGGAGTTTCTCTCGACCCTGTCGGAACTGAATATCAAAGGGTTCGATTCGAGATTGTGGGATAGAGTCTCTCAAAACATACATATTGATGCAACAGAAAAAGCCATACTACAAGAGAGCAAGGTCGATGACACATATGTGAGAACGCAAACGCTGTTCGGTTTCGACCTTGTGAGAGATGGCGCTATATCAGTAAAAGCTTATGCCTTTCCGGGGTTGAAATGCAAAATATCTGGACATTCCTCACGGGAATTATTGGTCAACACGGTTAAAGACCTGCAGAGAGAGGTGGACTGCTCTGAGGTGTTTTCAATGGTGGACCGTTACTTGCAAGAGTCTAACTCATATAGCCCGTACACTTTCTTCTCGTGGGACTGCATCGAGCCGTCAAAATGTCGCCTCAAAATCTATACGTGCTCAGCCAGTATGACTCGGGCGAAACTTGAAGAAGCCTGGTCCCTGGGCTCTCGGTTGCGGGGCCCATCTATGGACCAGGGGTTGCGGTATCTCTTGCAACTATTTGACCATATTCAGATCCCGGATGGAGAGCTTGAGATAAAAGTAGAACATGATGATCGAGCCGACACCTCCAAGACAACCCCGTTGATGTGGAATTACGAGATGCGAGGCGGAGATCCATTGCCGTTGACCAAGATCTACTTGCCTGTGCATGGTGAGAATGACCTAAAGATTGCTACCGGGATTGCACATTTCATGGAGGAAATCGGAATGGTTGATATGGGCAAATCATATTTGGATGCTATTCAGTCTTACTTGTAAGTCTTTCGATGTACATATTGTTGACTGGAGTCTAATCGAACTCGCACTTAATAGCCCCAGATATGATCTTGGGCAGACGGATCGTCTGACATCCTGGGTTTCTTTTACATTTACCGAGAATATCGGAGTCTACATAAGCATATATTACCATTCTTCTACTGACAATCCATGGGCGACGGAAGAGAAGCAATAGTCATCTCAACTTGGGAACCATGAAAATCGACTTTGGACATGTGTTTAAGTCAAAGTACTCCTGGGATAAAAAGAAAAAGGAAGAAGAAAAAAGTGCTACGCTTTAAGATAGTCTGATTAGTCGATTGTCATAATTATCTACATCGGAATCATATCATGTCTTCATGTAGACCCAGTGTCTTAGGGCTAGCCGGGAACGTTCGGAAGAGATCCGCTTCGTCCCAGCGGAAGAACTCCGTTTCTATTTTCACGACTTCGAAGCCTCGATCCTTTTTCTTTCAACTCCCTCCCGATCATTGGCTGGAGTCCGTTGCACAATTACCCTCTATCAATGAATTTCAGTTTGTTATGCTGATTAAAGTATACTCACTACTATACATATCCTAATACCCTCGCTGCCATGGACTCGCCGAGGAGGAATCGGAACCGCGCCGCCTGCCGCCGCTGCCAACGACGGAAGATCCGCGTACGTTTCTGCTCTATAACTTGTTAGCTTCTGCAGCTGACGCTAGCTTATACAGTGCGATGGGCAGACTCCTCGCTGTGGGTCATGCCAGAAGGCTAAAACTCCTTGTATCAATGATGGCAAGCAACTTGTTCAGCGCTCGTTAGTGTTTAGCCTTCCCCGAGATAACTAGAAACTCTAATCTTGGAAAGGTATATCGCGAGCATGGAGAAACGAATACAATGGCTGGAATCACTAGTAAAAGAAAATTGTCCAAACGCAGACTTGGATGAACAGTCCAGAGACAACCTTGTCCAGGAGGAAGAGCCAGTCCTGATCGAGGACCACGAGGAAACGTCTATCCTTAGCCCTCAGAGAGAGCTTGCCCCAAGCGAGGAGCAGGGCTCGGGGCAGAGCAGACAGCAATATCAAAGTGGACCACCTCATCCATTGCGCTCTCTTTCTCGGATGGAGTCTCGACAAGCCCATGAGATAGGACTTGTCTCGCTCTCACCCGGAGGCGAACCCCGCTATATTGGGCCTTCAAGCGGATATTTCTTTGCAAACCTCGTATTCTCTAGTGCCGGTCGGCATCAGAAGCGACGTAACGCTGCCAATGATTCCATAGGTTTATTATCAGGAGAGTCGACCGCTCTCGCGGCAGAGATTCTTCATACACCCGCTTCTTTGCCCCCGCGACGGGAAACTGCTGTCGAATTATCAGCTAAATACTTTGAAAGCATTCACATCATGTATCCATTTTTGCATCAGCCGTCGCACATGAGCTATATAGATCAAATGTACTCGTCAGAAGAGGTCAGCCCAGTAGTGGCCTTTCAGGTGTACATGGTTATGGCTATTGCTGCCACTGATCTCTCACGGAGGTCAAAAGTTCGTCTGCCTGCTGAAGGATATTATGCGACAGCAATGCAGCATTTTAGTAATATGTCTCCTGATGGAACCTTGGGCGGATTGCAGTCATTGCTATTGCTTATGGTGTATGGGTTCCACAACCCATCTTGCGGAATCAATATATGGAACCTGAATTACCAGTGCCTGGCTTCTCTTATCGATCTAGGGTTACAGCGGGACATACGAAACACACCATCTCTGAAAATCTCTTTATTGGAGCAGGAAATGAGAACTCGGGTTTTCTGGGTGGTGTATACGTTTGACCGGACGATAGGGACCATGATGGGGCGACCGGTGGGTATCCGGGATGAAGCGTGCGATCTGCGTGTGAGTACTTCGCTTATACTTAGACTACTTTTGCGTATGGGACTAACGGTTCCAGCTTCCTATGGACATCTCGGACCTTGAGCTGATGGGGCCTGATGCCCAAGAAAGATCCCCTGAACAGCCACCTTCTCATATATCCTTTGGCATACACTTATTCAAAGCCGCCAGACTAAACTCGGAAATCAAGTATGTCATGCATAGTATATCACGAGAGCCACCAGCGTACGCCTACCCACCCATTCGAGATATATTCGTTTGGCAAAGGGAGATGTTAGAGCGACTGCAAGCCTGGAAGGCCGAGACACCACATACTGATAATACCAACAACATGAACGTCAAGATCTGTGAAATCAAATACCATGAGATGATGATACTAGTCTTGCGCCCCAGTCCTGCCATTCCAGATCCATCCGAAGATTCTTCCATCTTATGTTTTAGACACGCGATGGAGCTCTTGGAAAGCTTCCGGGAGCTGTATAAGCATGACTCCCTGCAGTACAGCCGGCTGGTTGTTCATTCAATTTTTCTGGGGACACTTGTGGTGCTTCACAGCATTTGGAAGTTGCCGGATATTTCTACAAACATACGAATAGATGAGCTCTCAAAAAATATAACCACCGCCCTCAATATTCTGAGCAGTATCGGCGAATATTGGCTTGAAGCCCAGAGAGCTAGGGACTGCATTGATGACATCTCAGGTGTGACTATGAGGCGACTTTTGAAAAGTCGAGGTTCAGCGGAGTCAGCGGCTACTCCTCGGCTTCGTTCAAGAGTACGAGCTATGAATCATATGCAACAAAGTTCTAATGTCTCTTCCCAGTTGCCTTTGGGACAAGACACAACAAACCAGCAACAGGAGCTCATAGACTTGGATACAAACCCAACCGGCTTTGGTGATTTCAACGTAGGGTTTCCAGAAGCTACACTTGATCAATCGGACTCATTACAACTGTTTGGAGACCCCGCATTCGAGGAGTCTTTTGGATTGACTGGTGTACCAGATTTTGATGGCCTCATGTGGGAACTTTTCAACCTTTCGTGAATCGCTCGAGACCCGATGTGTGTATATATTGGTACGGCATACTTAGAAACATCTTCTTTGGCCTCTTTCGGCGAGCTAGCCGAAGATATGTTAGGCACCTACCTCGATTCGCAGATTACTGTCACTACACTCAAAGGCATCCCCAAAATATCCTTGGATGTTATGCTTATACGATTGCGCCCTCTAACACATCAGACAGCTTGAACATAAAGGATACTGAAGTTTCTCGACAAATTTCACCTTTTTAGTAAGCCTCTTTTACCCATGAAAGCGCATTATGAGTAACCAAACCAGGAACTTAACGCTTGCCGATGCCGGATTCGTCTTCCAATTTGACTGCAAGGGTTTCTATCTCATTCTCAGCTGTTTCTGGGTCCACATTTCCTTGAACAACGGCGTTTTCAAAATCAAAGACCTTGGCACCGTGCTCTGTTATCAAGAAGTTGTATTTATTGAGGTCCCCATGAACGATTCCATATGCATGCAAGAGACGTACAGTTTCCGTGTAATCTCTGAGATTCTGAACACCTGGGGGTTTCCCTGTAATTGACTCTATCAAGAAGCCAACTACGCGAAACTTTGTTTCCTCGTAGACAAAGCCAATAAATTTCGGTGCATGTGGGAAGCCAGACAATGTCAGATTAGAATATACTGCAACTTCCTGCTGCAAGGCCGGAATCTCATGTTTAAATCGTGCAACCTTTAGTATGCGCGACTCCCTACCATGCTTAACACACGAGATACGGTCGCTGATCCGAGAAACTGTTGTCAAGTCTAGAAGATCGACAAAGATAGCGTCCGGGATATCAATCTGTCTGAGATCTAGTCCGTGGGGCGGAGACTTGTTTGGACTGCTCTCAACACCCTGGGAACTTCTTCGAACAGTAAGCGTATTCCATTCCTCCTCCCACCTCAGTATTTTTCGCAGCTTCGAAAGGACCCGGTAGCTATCTGTCCTGTAATCAGGTGGGAGGATATCTCTATCAAGGATGGAAACATAATACGATCCGTGAATTCCTTCTTATACGATACAGAAAGTCATCTTCTTCAAGATCTAGCGACAGTATTTCCTCCTAAACTTCTTAGTAAAAGCCCAGTTAAAAAGCACGTAGATTCTCGGTTTGTCTCACATTATCGGGTACTGCTGTGGCTGACTGGCCAGGCGGGTTCGACATTTCGAGCCGGAAGGCAGGCCATAAAGATGACGATGTCAGGAGCATCAATCTTGGGCTTGAGTCTAGTTAATGGATAACTGGACCGCTTATTAAGTATGGCTGTTTGAGCTAACTAACGCAGGCCCAATTGCACAAGAACAAACTCAGTTATGTTTGTACATCATGATATAATGGGCGTGGGTATGTATACATGGGGGTCGGAGATTGCGACTCTATCTATGAATGATCTAGAAGCCGGGGACCTCTGTTTCCCACATTCTGGTTAAGAGGATGCACGGTTGTATGGATTAATTACACAGTGATGTAATGGCATATCTGTGGCCATCTTTCTATTTCTTCTACTCTACTCTAATTGTGTTGTTTCTTCGCTACTAGTTAGGGGCTTCCCAGCATATGAGCAAGTTCTCTGTACATATATACTCTACTTCTCTAAAGTGAAATATTGACTAACACTGATCCGATGATCTTAAAACATAAATATACTTGTACCCATACAATTCACGGTATAAGCATACTAGCTGGGTCCTCAAGATACTTCTTGACCAGCGTCAAGAACGTTACTGCTTCACGGCCGTCGACTAGCCGATGATCATAAGTCAACGCAGTATACATCATCTGGTAGAGTCAGAATAACCCAATCTTACGCAGAGCAGAGAGCAAGGACTTACCGGACGAATCTCTATTCGTTCATCAATAGCTACAGGTCTCTGCTGAATTCCGTAGATACCAAGCACAGCCGTCTGCGGGATATTGATAATGGGTGTGCCAAACAACGAACCCCAGATTCCGCTATTGCTGATCGTAAAGGTCCCACCAATCAGATCATCCATGGTCAATCTGCCATGGCGAGCCTTAAGAATCGTGGATGTCAGCGAATATGTTCTGATTGTAGACAAGTGCTAGTAGCAACTCTGAGCGATTCACCTTTTTACCCAGCTCCGCGATACCCTGTTCGATTTCCACGATGCTCCGGCTTTCCATGTTACGTAGCACTGGTGTTACCAAGCCTCTGGGCGTCGCAACGGCAACGCTAAGGTCGATGTAGTCGCGGAAGACAATCGTGTCGTCATTCTCAATGGACGCATTGATAGCCGGAATCTCCCGAAGAGCCAGCGCGGAGGCCCGCGCCACAGGGCCCATGAAACCCAGCTTGACACCGTGTTTCTGAAGCACGGCCTCCTTATTCTGCGAGCGGAACTCTATAACCTTGCTCATGTCGACTTCGTTGAACGTCGTCAGGAACGCAGTTGTGTTCTGCGATTCTTTCAGACGCTCTGCCGTGCGCAGGCGCATACGACACATTTTGACCTGGTGGTTCGATAATCAGCTATCTGGTGGATGCATAGAATGGATGAGTGAGCTAACTTTCGTCTCTGAACGACTCCCTTGGAAGGCTGATACCGGACCTTGGCTGTGTGGTACGGGCAGTGGAGTGGCTATTGGGGTAGGAGTGGGTGTAGAGGTCGTTTCTTTCATTGGCTCTTGGGAGGGTCTTGTTTCCCTAGTAGGTGTTTGTTGTTTTTGAGTGGCTTCCTGAGGAGGTTCAGAAGTTCGTTCCGCTTGCGATTGTGGTGGTGATTGTGAGGTTGTATCGCTTTTTTCGAGGCTAATCTCAATAACAGCTTGTCCCACCGTGACGATGTCGCCCTCGCTGACAAGTAACTTTGTGATTGTTCCGCTATGTGTAGCATTTAAGGCGACATCTATCTTGTCAGTTTCGATTGAGGCGATTTCTTCGTCTTGTTCAACGTAGTCGCCGACTTGTCTGTTGAAGGTCGACAGGACACCCTCGGAGATGGATTCGGCCATGGAGGGGACGCAGATGATCTTAGTTTCGGCCGTATAAAGGGCGGATGCGCTGAACTGGCGTAGACATGAATATTGCCAATTCTTTTTATGACCGAATATAATTGGCCTGACAGTTGATGGATGCGTGCATCGTCTTGATACTATGTTGGATGCGCGTAAAGCTGATGAAGTTCGAAGCGCGCGAGGGTAACAACCCCGGAGATGATGCGTTGCACGACTTGACATGATTGATCTGGGGTATCTTGGATACTGGATAAACAATCATAGATCAAAAAAATAAAGATAAACCAAGAGAATCGGCTTAACTTCAGGACCCCGGATCTCCACATCGGCAAAGCAGCATTGCACCGATATCTCAGAAATTCGACATCACTTTGAAATATGCACACTAATTAGTGATAGGAACATCACTCTAAGTAGCTTTAGAGTGTGAAAAACTATTCCCATCATTTTCTCTCGTTAGAAAGCTGCATCTTTATGCCAAACGAGAGTAACATTGTATCAGGACTTATGTGATGGTCTCAAGTCGCGATACAAGGCCAGTATGCAGTCAGTCTCAGCTTTTTATAACCAGAATTATCATTTCATTTCATTATTTTGATATATGTTCGGCTTATTGCTATGCCATCCATAATATGTGCCTCTTGGGGTAAGATATAACTGGGGTATGCGTGAATCCTGGATGATAATCTGCATTGTGAAGAGGAAATCGGCTGTAAGTCGGTCAAGAATGCTAGGGGTGTCATCTTTAAGAGGACTGCGATAGATATAACATGGTAATGCAAGAATCGAGTGCACTTTAACAACAATTTTGTTGTTGAAGTGAGAATGTATATAGTTTAAAGTGGATAATTTTATGACGTTGACGCTAATCACGGGGACTCCACCAATCACGGTAAATGGACCTCGGCTCAGGGAGGTGAGAATCTCCCCGCAACAAGTCCTTTGATTTCAGTCACCATTCATTTTGCGATATGATCTTTCATCGCAGTCGCTAATCTACTATCACCACTTTCTCCTCCTCTACCTCCTTACCTCCTTGTGACATCAACAGTGTGGTTTCGCCCTGGACCATTCCCAGAACCATGCTGCATTTTCGCACGGAGGGCTATAACGGCTGTGCGGTTAAGTACTCCCCGTTCTTCGATAACCGGCTGGCCGTCGCCGCGTCGGCCAACTTTGGACTCGTGGGAAATGGACGGATGTACATTTTGGAGTTAACTCCAAACGGAATTGTACCCGTGAAATGGTACAGGTTTCCATTGAAGATGACCAAGTCAATTCATTCTAACCAGACGATGCCAGGTTTACCACCCAAGACTCGCTCTACGACCTTGCATGGTCTGAGATTCACGAAAACCAAGTTCTTACAGCCTCCGGGGACGGTAGTATTAAGTTGTTCGATTGCAACCTGAGCGACTTCCCTGTCCAGAATTGGAAGGAACATAACCGCGAGGTCTTCAGTGTGCACTGGAATCTCGTCGCGAAAGACCGTTTCTGCTCCAGTAGCTGGGATGGTACTGTGCGCGTCTGGACCCCCGATCGTCCGCATTCTCTCGTCACTCTTCCTACACACAGCTGCACTTACTCCGCATCCTTCTCGCCACATTCTCCCGACATCCTTTCCTGTGTTACGTCCGACTCTTACGTCCGTCTGTTTGACCTTCGAACTCCGGCTTCCGCCTCCAACCACCTCACTCTCCAGATCCCCATCCATGCGGCCCCAGTATCTCCGATTCCTGGTAAACCGGGTGTTCCACCGGCCGCCTGTCCTCCTTCCGAAGCTCTGACACATGACTGGAATAAATATCGACCTTCTATCCTGGCCACCGCGGGCGTGGATCGGACGATTCGCACTTTCGACATTCGTGCCCCGCAGCAGGGCCCACAAACCGTGATGGTCGGACACGACTACGCCATCCGCAAGGTCTCCTGGTCGCCACACTTATCTAATGTTCTCCTTAGTGGAAGCTACGACATGACCTGTCGTGCATGGAACGACCAATCCCCCCCTGGAGTCGTTGGGGATGTCGACTCGATGCGGGCGGGTCCTAGTCCAACGATGGGAGTGGAGATGGGTCGAATGGCGCGTCATACAGAGTTCGTAACAGGAGTCGACTGGTGTATGTTTGGAAGTGAGGGATGGTGTGCCAGTGTGGGATGGGACGAAAGTCTGTATGTGTGGGATGTCCGGGCAGTCATGGGATAGACGCCCATCTGATTTTGGATGACCCGTCTTGGTTTATTTCTTCCTTCTGTATTGGATATTAGATTGCATGATACCATTTCCTGGCAGCGATTGATTGGCCTGTCGGATATTGAATACTTTATGACTACGATTCTGGTTATTAAGTACTGTTGTCACTTGGGGTATAGAATATGCTTTTGTTTTTTTTTTTCGTTAGACAAATCTATACTATCCGACATCAATCATCACTATAAGTATACGAATCACCTTCCACGGTGACGCAGTTTAGACATGGCATTCTCCCACTTAAGTCCACCGCCGTGAACTCACCATGAAATCAAGAAGCCAAAGCCGGGTATATCAAGACAACAGGACCCATCTCAAACGTCCTGTGCGAACTAGAGCGCCCAGAGGAGCACCCCCTCCTTAAACGATCATGCCAAACCCCAATTGAAACGAAATAAGAAACGAAAGCGGCCTTATCTCGTCAATCTGGCCTCTGTCTTCTTCCTCTCCGCATCGCGAACAGCGGCAATCTCATCCTTCGATGCATCAAATGCGACATGTGCCTGGTTGAAAGGATTCTCCTCACTCTTGTCGAATTCCTTCTTAATGAGGTCCATACGCTGCTGCCTCCGCAGACCAGGATTCTCCTGCTCCACCTCGGGCATCCTGCGCGCCTCGTACGCCGCATAAGCAGCCTTGTACCGTCTCTCCGGATGGCGATCGATCTTCCCTGCATCCTTGCCCGTCAATGACAGGGCGTCCAACGCGTTATCGATACCCGAGGCATTGAGAGCCGTTCCCTTACGAGACGCAGGCTGGTCGTCAAGCTGGGAAAGATCCAATCCGCGGGACTTCTTGACCGGTTGGTTCGATTTGCCCTTAGGCTTCGAGGGCTGGGAGGCTTCTTCGGCGGCGAGTAGAGCATCGCGTTCGGCCTTCTTACGGGCTGCGTCTGCTTTCTTGGCTTCCTCGGCTTCTCTGGATTTGGGAATTTGATTAGCATACTAATTGCACAAACGAAGAAATCATACCCCACATTGGAAGTCTTCCCTCCTTCCTGCTTAAATAAAAGACAGAGAAAAAGGTCAGCACTCACTTCTTAGCATTACCCTTAGCACCCTTCGCCCACTGCTTATCCTCCTCAGCTGCACGCTTCTGATCCTCAACCGCCTTCTTAGCGGCAGCCGCTTCCGCTTTCTATTTCAAATCCATACGCATCAGCAATACAATCCATATATATCTTGTTGGTCGCGTGCCATACAACCATGTGGCGGGGGCGGGGCAAAGACAAAAGCAAGCTCAGATTTATCAGATCCGAACATATTATCAGATCGGGATAGGGAAGGGGGGCCTTTCACGTACGCGGGCGTTTCCGGCTGCCTTCTTGGAGTTCTCGACGCCCTTCTTGGGACCCATTTTGAAATGTCTTCTCTCCCGGTTTCCTTTGCTATTGGGGGTTTGTTGAGCGAGGTATGAAGAAGTGTTTGGTTGGGTTTCTTGGAGGGGTGTGTCAGAGCTAAGACCGATTGGGAATGGGGTGGAGCCTGACTAAACATTTCACTTATGTAACTTTATGCAGGTTCACATGATTGACGTAGCCCTCCGTCTTTTCTTGATGTATAGATCTGCGAACTATCATGTTCGAAAAATTATAGGTGGTTTCGGTTGTTAGCTTGTATGTAGTATTGTTGTGGCCTGGGTGTTCGTGGATATTCTATCAAGCATCATAAATGCTATCATCGGCGTCGCCACTACTCAGAATCTGATAGGGCTAGCTAGCACTAAACGGCCCAACTGTGATCATCCATCCGCCAGCAACTTGAAGGGATCAGATCAGTTGATCGTAAGGGACGTCTCACATCAACATGACTTCACACCAAATGAATCAATAAGATGCGGAGTACAACTTGAACCTGCAAACAATCGCGGAAACCCACTTGGCATTGGAGACCAATAGAGAGGGGTTCCATGAGACTCGTCCCAAGAAAGTGGACGCGCTCTCACTCACGCCTTTCGAATTGGATGCCTGGGGATAGGATATGGTTGACCTCAGGTGAAGGTTGATGTAGCTGGCTTTATTCCATGCAGCCAGTGTTGCTATCTCTGACGTTCAGACACAAATTAACAATTCTTCTCTTGTATCATGGATCAAAAAGCTATTGCCATCCAACGAAGGTATTCAATACCGAAGACAAATGGCTAATGTTGGGATGTGATACAATACTCGAATATTGTATGGCTGTTATGTAACTTAGGTCTTACGTTGTAGCATGAAAGAATTATTTTACAGTCCTCATCCATCCCGTAAAGTACACTAGTATATATCTACATGGAACATCATTCATTTAGGTACTTATAGCTGGCAGCTCATACCCTTCCGGCACACGAGGCCAAGTATCAACGCCGTCCATGATGGCCAAGGCCATACCGCCACTCAAATGTGGTTGTATGTGGCAATGCAGCAGAAAAGGACCCGGATTGGCCACATGATATCGGATCGCAAGCCACGATGGGCCTGCGTTGGCAGGTGGGCTGAAAAACGTATCTCTGATCTGTGGGTTGCGGAGATTAAAGCTTTCAGGAATGTCTTTCACAGCCTCGGCAACTGAGCGATGGCGGAAAGCACCGAATCCTGATCCAATCACGAAGTATTTATTCGAATGCTTGTGGATTGGATGAGGAGGCTGGCCGCCAGTTGTCACATTGACGATGAGATCCACCCAAGTGTTGTTCAAGGTGGTGATGGTGTACTTTGTGGGGATGGAGCTGCGGTTAAAAAGCAAAGGGGTCGCTTCTTCATTTGATTGTGGGTAACTATGATTGCCCAATGTCCAGATGTACGAGTCACCGATATGATCGACATTTAATATGTATGTCCGGTCCACATGCAAAGAAGGGAGTTCTACCGGGAAGGGGACGACCCTCGTCTCATCCAAGAACACCGTCTCTGCGGTGGCATTGGTGCCGATTTCAGTAATCCATGGCTGAGATACCTTCTTCTGGTTGGAAGTAGAAGCTCCATATCTCATGATGCCTGTGCCATTTATGATCTGGTTTGCTCCAGTGTTGGCAGAGCGAACTGTATACTCACCGGCAGGTTGGTCTAATTTAACCAGGACAGAATACCTGCTCCCGATAGGAATAGTAATCGCGTCGGCTCGGATAGGCTCGATGTAACGCCCATCGATCGCATAGACATACAAAGGATGTTGGTCAATAGAGAATGCTAGCTCTAGACTGCCAGCTATATTTATTAAATCCCAACTTCTGTACTGCAAAGCTGATTCTACCTCGAATATTTCAGCCGGGCCTTGGCTGGGTATACATCCGCGAAGGAAACCCTGTGGTGTTAGGTTGATCTTCTGAAGGTCTCCAAGAGGCAAACACCTGGGGTAGGTTAGTATATATTTGAATATTCTAGAAAGTGAATGAAAGCAGATTGATGATGTGGCTTACCCCATATCAGTAAGCGAATTATTCCTCAGCGCCCCCCTCTGAGCAGGTGTGGTGAGTGCGTCGATGCGGTCTTGAGGCAGACACAGTACAGACCCTTTACCATTGATCAAAACCGCATTGGCACAGAAGTTCTCAATCCCAGAGGCTACTTGGGCCTGCCAGATCTCTTCAGATGTTAAGTGACGCCAATCGGAGAGGATGATAGGCTTAGTCTCAATTTCCGCCCTACCAATAGCCTGTAGCTCTTCTGCGTCTTCAGTGATCAAATGAAATGGTTTTTCCACTGATTCATCTGGCTGAATGTAGATGGCCCCATATAGTCCATCCTCTATTTGGCCTCGGGTATGGGCATGATATATGTATGTTCCGTAATGCGTTGCTGTCCATGTATAGAGGAATTGATCGCCGGGGGCTATCGGTCTTTGTGATAGTCCTGGTACACCATCGGACCACGGCGTACCTCGTTGCTCAATACCTGATCCCAGAAGTTAGACCAGAGTTTTTCGGCGGGTACAAGAGGATGTTACCATGGAAATGAACGGTCGTCCCGAAAGGCATTGAGTTGTGAACCAGAAACTCAACTTTGTCACCCTGTTTTAATCGTAAAGTCGGACTGGGAAATTGTCCGTTGCTGAGAATCATTTTTCGCATAGCCCCAGCCACTTCGTGATTTTCCCATGTGAGGTTGAGTTCGAATTGAACGACCTTACAAGACACCCATTGAACAAGGCATAATAAAGCCAACAGGCCCAGCCGGCTATGAAAATGAGCCATGGCGGAATCGTACTATAACTGTTAAGGCAGCATAGGTCTAACTAAAAGAGATAAGTACAAAGGCTGTTTCAGTGCGTAGAAAGGATTGCAGAGCCCACAACTGGCCTTTAGAGCACTTTCTGTCTCTTCTGTTCTCCATGATTTCTTAAATGTATCCAACGGAGTCCCGAGCGTTGAAAGAAGCAAAGGTCAACGAAGAGCCGTGGCAACGGGGGCTGAAAATGCAAGGGATAATTGATGATAGCGGTAGGAACATGTCTACCGGTGAGTTCGAAACAGGACTGGCACCCTGGAGTATAGAGCGGACAGACGAGTAGTCATATACATCCAGAGTTTATGTGGTAATGGCCAATATTAACCATATCTGGTGTAATCCCGCCAAGGTTTGTTTGCTCTAATTAGTAAAGCAAATAAGAAGGATGCAGGGCACTCCACGGCCTGGCCAGAGGGAGGCAGTGAATTGCATGAAGAGACAAATATAGAACACAAACTTAATCGACGATGTATCAATGCTGAAGCGGTGAAGGGGGCAAAGTGAGCTATCCCAAATCGATTTCAATACCGAAAGGCAGCCGCAGGAAAAGGTTGCGTCGGTGAAAATGTCCGCAGAAATCTGGCAGGCGGATGCAACGCACTTGGCAGTTTTGGGTAAGTTTGGGTTGATCTATCCAGCACCTATTATTCACTTTGGGGAACCCTGAAGCACGAGAAGCGTTGATTATAGAGTCAATAGATAATTGAGTAAAACACTTCCGAAACCAGGGAAGTCAATGTTCATAAATTCAATAGATCGTAGGGCGCCTTGCAATTAATTGACTCCACAGGCATCCGAAAGGAGAATCATCAAGAAAAGGGAGTCCAAAACAAACAAAGAAAAAAAAAAAAAAAAAAAAAAAGAAGAAGCAAAAATATAAAAAATAATACAAAACAAGTTCATTAGAAAAAACAAACAAACACCAATCCATGCTCTTAATAGGTAAAAATGTTATATCCTGCGCTGAAATAGGGTCATTTCACTGGGCCAAAAACATCAATAGAATAGAAAGCAGAACGTTAGAGATTGCAATCAATCATATCATATCGGTCGTCAATCAGAAATTCAAAACGTGCAAATCATATTACCAAAATAGCCGAGGATTCTTCACCACCGTTCTTGAGGACTTCTGCCATAGGGTCCGTTTTGTCGGTCAATTCAGTATGATCTGTCTCTGCCTCAAATAGGACTGGGTGAACGGCTGGGTTCAACGGCCACGTCGAGGAAGAACGCCTTTCAACAACACCCTGGGAGGCTACAACTGTGGTTCCTTCAGAGTGGGCCTCAGCCTCAGACGATGATTGTTCTGGCTTGGCAAGACCCACCTCGGAAGCGTCACCATATTGGAGATTACTATGGTCAGGGCTCATCGGTTGAGTAGGAGCTGGAGGGAGATATTGCTGCTCAAATGAAACAGGCGCTGCTCGTACTTCCGAAGTCGCCACGCCTTCTTTTATGATCCCCGTAGGATTCTCCCAGATCGACGATGAGTGCTGTAGAGGAGATATAGTCGACTGGGGAACCATCTCCAGCATGTCCGGAGGAAACGGCTGAAGATGTGCTGGAGTTGCTGTGGGTCTGGCGTTGAGAGCAAAGAAAACAACCAAGACGGTAAGAAGCGCAATTGTAACGTTGCGGCGATCACTGGCTAACACTCGAATGTAGTTCACTAAAAGGGTTTGAAGTTCGATCTCTGCTGCTGGACTTCGAGGGTAGGATGGCCTACCAGATTGCCGATGCTCTTGAGGCACAATCTTTTCTGGAGTCGGTGACAAGCTGGAGCTCTCAACTCTTGTAGCGGCGAGAAGCTTAGGCTTGTCAACTTCAAGAGCAGGGGTCTGTGCATGGGCTGGATCAGTGTGGACTTTTGTGGGCCTGTCATTGACAGGCTCCTGTAACTGTGGCACTTGAAGTCGGTTACCCGGATGGGATATTTCGCCCTCGAGTAATCTCTTTTCTAGATCTCTTCTCACGTCGGATGGAAGCCAGAGACCAACCTCCACATCTACTTTTTCCATTTCTCTCCAAGCTGCAGCCCATGCTCCAGCTCTCATCAGTCCGTTGGCTGCAAACACCCTGATTTCCCACTTCCGGCCTGCCTCACTATGTCGGACGACGCGCCCTCCACAGTCTGGGCATTGCTCACCTTGTTCATCATCTGTTGCGCTCTCCTCCGCTGTAAACTGGCTATCTCTGTCCGTATCGGTCTCTTCATGACCCAAAAAGTGCCCATGGTCAAACCTTGGGCGCTGCAACTCCAAACTCTCCAATAGCCGCTCCTCAAGAAGATCGTACATATCCTCAGGATGTGAAATGAGCACACCCCGTTCACGTAGTACCACAGATCCAATCTTTTCCTCCAGTAACTTCCACCGCCTCCAATACTCCGGCGGCAATACTTCCCTCAAGAGCTTTTGGTCCGGATAGTCCACTAGTCCTGGGATAGGGAGCGATGGTGGAAGCAAGTTACAATGTAGTAGTACGAGAGGGTAATCTTTTTGGGATTTTTGCTTCGCCACGAGTCCGGTCGGCGAGTAGTACGAAGATCGCTTCAGCTGTGATGAGCCATCCGACATGTGATGCCCTCCCCTGCGTTTCGGTGGTGTCAAGTACTCGCCGTCACCCTCATCCTCGGTATGCATTTGCATCGCTCTGACCGAACTGGACTTTCGGAAGACACTGTGGTGCTTCCGAACCGTAGGAGTCAATCTCAGATGTTCTTCCATTTCCCCACGATCGGTATCGTTATGATCGCCCCACGAATGCGAAAGCATATCTTGCTGAGATCTGTGCACGACGGCTGATTTGACCCCACTGGTGGGATTGGTAAGCACCGAAGCAGGAATGGAGGAAATCGAGGAACGGCTCGATGCTCTGGAATTCACGTCCCGTAGCTCTTCATAATCTACATCACCGCCGAGAAAGTCGCTAGAAGACTGTCCCGTTGAGGATGCCGAGGAAATGTACCCGCAGTCTTGAGCTAGTATATGCGTATCTCCATGTGTGGAACTGGTATCATTGTGGTCCGGGATTTGGTGAAATAGATGGGCTGTCTCTGCCGTCGACGGCGGCTCACCATTAGGAACATACAGACAGAGGTCTGATTCCTCCCGTAGCGAGGCTGTAGATCCAGTTAATTGAGTACTGTGATCTAGCTCCTCCATTGAACCTTGGATCACACAAAAAAAAAAAAAAAAAAAAAAAAAAAAAAAAAAAAAAAAAAAAAAAAAAAACAAAATAAAAAAAAAAAAAAAAAAAAAAAAAAAAAAAAAAAAAAAAAAAAAAAAAAAAAAGGGAAAAAAAAGGAAAGTATAGAGTTGCTTTTCTCGGTCCAGGAATGCGGTAGACAACAAATGGCTCCACAGGAATGTAGGGCAGTGGATCTCTAATCGTAGTGCGATCTTAGGTTGCGGACCACGAGTATCCACCGATATAAGGTAATAAAGATTATAATATGTATGATATGTGGAAGAAAGAATAGATCTCTGGGATGATCATGAATACTGATTGATGGCCATGCATTCAATGTGTTGATGTTGGGGTTCACCGCCTTTGTCGTGCAGGGCAACCGCTCATTTCATTCGATCAAGCATCGAGAATCAATTCTATCTTCACCTCACCCAAACTTGGTCGCAAGAATACAATGCAATATATCAACAAATCCTCGCGTTTAATTATAGAGTAACAATATGGTTATGGTATATGTATACTAATATGGCACATGACCTCTGCTTCTTCCCCATCCAAGAGATGCACGGAACATACTTGGACACGACATAATTGATGAACATACACGTATGGGGACACGTAAGATAACCGTGCTGACTTCCCTCCCAGCCAAACGCTTGCTGTATGCAATATTGGTACGGGGAAGAATGAAGAGACAAACCAACAAGAAAAGCCTGCGCTCGCTCTAATTGTATATAACAAATTATATCCAAGAACCCTAGACGCCGGAAACCTCTTCCCAATCATGATAAAGCACGAATGATCGCTGGACATGACACGTAGACACTGTGATAAAAGTAACAAAAGAATCACGGGTTTCAATGCGGCGGCCGTGAAGTACCGTCATCGGGGTTCATCATAGACGGGTAGTTCGGATGGTCCCCGAAGTAGTTGAGGACATCTTGTGGGAGGTACTCTAGCCAAGGGAGTATTTCTCCACTAAAGGTGAATGGAAATTGGTCTTGTTGTTGAAGGGAAGCCATATCAATATCTTGGCTCTCGATGAGTATATCGCTAACGTGGGAACCCGCGCTAGGGTGCATTTGTGAGGGTCTGGAATTCATATGACTGCTACCTGTTGGCTGGCCGTTTCCAGTAGAGGCGGTGTTGTAGTTATAGGCGGAGGTTGGTGCACCAATCCGGGATGAAGTAGCGGTAAGGTTTTGATTGTAGGCGGGGTGAGAATGAGGAGGTCGGGATGCGGACGTCGAGAAAGATGTGTTCAAACCCAACAGAAGGCTGGCATCTGATGTTGAAACGCGGCCAGATGGGGCAAGTGGGGAATATTTTCCAGGGCCAGCTGTAATCGGCGAGCTCGGCGCAGCGGCGGTAGACCTGGAAGGCTCGAGCGTTTGAGTATAAGAGCTCGAGCTAGGACCAGTACTAGTTTGCATCGGTAAACTAGGGTAGCTATGGCTATACTGAGACGAATAAGCTGGCTTATTAGGAACGGAGTCCGTTTGCACAGCTGGCATTTGATATAGTACGCTAAGATTTGGCTGCGAAGAGTTGGTTGCTCCTGTAAGAGCCCATCCAATGGCTTGAAGAAATTGAAGTCAGCCCAAATACCGTCGATATCCAAGATTCAACTGAGAAAGGGAGCTACTAGTAAGAACCGGGACTCAAATGCCTACCTTGGCTGGGATCAATTCTTGGTGACCGTACTTCCAAACCTATGATCGACTCATCGGAGTCACCAACAGCACCTAGCGGCGCACTTGGCTGACGCCAACCAGGTGCAAATGGTTGAACCGATGCGATCTCAGCGGTACCCTCCATCTCTTCCTCGGTATATAATAGAGGATCGACAATTCCCTTGGCCTTTTGGTCGAGAACAGTGAGTATATACTTGGTTCCCTCCCAGTAAGTCTCGAGAGCCTTCAAGGCTTTGTAGCATCTCTGATAGTTTTCCTTCGCAGCAGAGGAAAGGAGGATATGTTTAGCAGTCGGCTTTCGTTCTGATCCATCTGACGGGTGGTCTAAATTCGGCATAACAAAGCCACTTGTTTGATTTGTCAACAAAGGCTGGCAGGGAGGAGAGCCTGGCCCTGACAACGGCGAGTAATAAGTGCTCTCCATCAGAAACGCGCACGCGGCGATGTACATCGGCTGACTAGTAAATGGATTGCCGATGAAGCTCTTACCGTCAACGAGCTCAGAAAATGAAAGTATATCCGCAATGGTTTTGGCAGAAGACATCGACAACTCCCTGCTATTTGGATAAAGGTGTTGTATAGAACCCCCAAACGAGTTTAGTAGCGTTGGTTGATGGAGGAGGACTATCAAAGTGTGGAACCAAAAATGGAGAAGGATGAAATTCGTTCCTTCTTTTGCCTTTACGTACGCTTGAAAGTTGGCCGCGTTAAAATGAAGCCTAGGCGACAAACGCTGGTATATGCCAGTAAGATCACTTTCCATCCCGGCTAATCTCTTGAGGGTGTCCGTGGTGACATGTTTCACATCTTGAATTCCATTGATGAGATCCGTGACCCTGCCATACAGATGTATTATGCGTATAAGTGGCGGGAAAGGCGCTGGCCAGCCGTTAGGCAGCAAGGATTCCGATTGCAGGGGGAAGCACAATTCTATGTCCTCATCACGTAAAGTCACCGGTCGTCCTGTCCCTGATGAGATGACTCGATCGAGAAAAAATATACTCCAGAAGGTGTCAACCCTCTCCCGCTCCCAAGCACGTTGGTTTTCATTATCCTGTGCATCCTTCATTGATCCCTGAGAGGTTTGGGGGTCGTCATACTGTTCCTCTCTCAACTTCCCCGCTTGCCCCGTTACAACTGCGTTCGGAGTCACACCACTCTGGCCATAGTTATATTTCAAACCCTGCAGTTTCTGCATCCCGAGATCCTGAGCCATGCGAATGGATATGCCTAGATACATCCACAGGCCACTGTCGTGATTTGAGCCAAACTCTTCGTAGGCTAGCAACAAACACGCCTGGACAACAGACAATGTGGGGCAGGATAAAACATCGACGAGAGCGCCCATTGCTCTATGCGCAAATGGTTGGCCGCGGTCTGACTTCCTCACATCCAGCTTTGGTTCTGAGCCATCTATGGGCGGAGCTTGAGGAGGACTCAGCAAAGGATGAGGAGAGAACCGTGCGGATAAGGTACAAACAGCATCCACGAGCATGGTGTCGATTTTCTTGTCCTTCAAGTCACGGAGGAACCTTTCACGTTGGAGGAAAGGAAAATTGCATCCCAAGTGTACGAAGAAAAGATCACAGAGGTGTGTCACCAGATTGCTGACTGGCAAGGAATCATCCCGATCGTAGAAGGGGATAGTATTGGCATCACGGTTGTCGCGGCTATCAGCGAGATGGTTTAGGCGACCAACACCGAGGTCCGTGAACTTTGGGCTTCGCAGAGGAGACATTGATTCTATGAAGTTCAAGGCATCAATCAATACACGTTGGAATAGGAATGGGATAAAAAAGGGCCAAGGCACAAAGAAAATAATCACCCAACAGGTCAAATAACCCGTAGACAAAGTGTTACTGACCTGACGATAGCGACGCATTACTCTTGCGCGAGCCCCTGACCTGGACAACCTGAATAGGAGTCAGCATGTGTGCATTTACGTAACCAACTTGAGTACTCGAACCATTTGTTTAAACCCAGGGACAATAGCAGTTGGCCCGAAGTATCTGAAATAGGGAACATGCGTGCGAGCGGAAGAGCTCAAAGACGTACGGCCTATTGAAGAAAGTTACAGTGAGTACACAAAACCAACCTTGAGGTTTATGCGCAACATACTACTTTCTGGACTTTCCCCTACAGTGTGTTGCTCAGAATCCCTCGGAATTTTGGAAGATGTTTCCCTCATCAAAGAAGCATCTTTTAGCTCCGACGGCTTCGGTGCCCCGGACGATTTGTCTGGACGATCATCACTGGGTGGTATTGAAACCTGCGAGGGAGAATCTGGAGAACGACTCTCAACTTTCACTGCTGTACAGGAGCTATCACTTGGACCCAGTAAAGGAGGAATGGCAGGGGTGCGTGATGCGACATCGGATTGCGATCGAGTATGAGCAGTGGGTTCGCTGTATCCTAAACATACGTGGTTATAGTCGGAGCACGTTTTGCACACTGGATGAAGACCGTATTAGCAAAATGAATGGTGTGCCACAGTGGTCTCATATACCCACCTGGTTGTTCACCTGAGCATCGTATCTTGCGCTTGCGACATGTCCGACACCTGTTCGACAGAAGCTTGAGTCAGCATCGCAGGGAGGCAACAATGGACAAAGGTTCACAGGAGTATGCTTACGCCGCGTTGACCCGACGTCGTTTAGTCTGGGGCTGTCCATCGGTTGAGACGAAGCGAATCTGTTTTGGAGGGGGAACATTATTGCCGCCGTTCTTCTGGGGAGAAGGGTGGCTCATTGCGAGCAAATGATCATCCGTGGTCACAACACATTGGGCACCTGCTTCTTCCTCGCTCTATAGCAATCGAACGTCACCGGTAACGGTGTCCGGGGGAGTCGCAAAAGAAGAAGACAATAAACGGGAAAAGCGGCGATACGGAATGTCTTTCGGAAGAAGCACTAGGTAAAGAGAAAAATCCATGGACGATGGGTGAATCCCACGTTGTTTTCCGGGCAATAGTATGATCGCGGGCTGGCGTGGAAATAAAGTGGGCGGGTGAGGGGAACGTGTGATTGTAATGTATTACTATTTTCTGTTTCGCTTTAGCGGTAAATTGGTGATAGGGGGCAACTGGATGGCGGCAGTGGTCTGAACCAGAAACAAGTCGCAATAGGAGGTTAGGACAGTATGTGGTATCCGTCCATGAGGGATCGCGAAAGGGACCGACTGACCACCTTGGGCTCACCAATGGTGAGATCTATTGTCCGAAAGAGAAAACCCCAGTTCTGGCCTGACCGCCCAGACCAGACCCTTTGCTCTTTGTTTGACCTTTGGACTTCTGGAATTCCAATCGCATGACCTAGTATTCTTTACGGCGAAATTACCAATATTACGTACACCTGTGGTTATTATTAAAACCACCATGGTATGTGGCTCAGGAAATGAACTGTACAAAGGAAGCTTAAAAAAAATTCTTTACATCCACGCGACTATCGGCACTATTCCGGGCCCAAAAGGATTCCAGGTTGGACCCAGCGATTCCTCATGTGACGTGCCCCAAATGTACCTTACTTGTCGAGCTTTGGAGTCAAAAATCTATCTTGCGACAATCTAACCAAGCGCTATATCGTGAAAATCAGAGAAGCTTAAAAAACAGGAAGATAGGCTGAATATACAGAAGAACTAAATTAAATACCATTGTCATGGATCGGTTCCTGCAGGTGTTTTGCGTCAATTTAACCGCCTAAGGAGCTGGACGGACAATCACTTATAAAGCTGGAGTCTGGACTCTGGGGTCTCCATTCTTTTCCCGCCCGGAGTCCCCGAGGCAGTGGGTTGTTGGGGAAATCAGACCCTCTTTTCTATCCCCACATATCGCAGTGTCAACCGACTTTCGGCATCAACTCCGATACCTAATTGATCAGAACCCACCCAAGGAGACACATCTCTGGCACGTTAAACCTGGTATTTCTTGGAAAATAATATGATCATTTATCGGAGTTTATGAGAGTCTTTCCAACTTTCATACTACATATCCAGCAAAGTGACATGGCTTCAAGTCGGGGTTGCAGAACGCCTACATTCTACAATACAGGACGAACTCTCAGGTGCTACAAGGTTCAGAGACCTATGTCAAATTGCCACTTATCAATTCTCGATGTGCACTCCTCTCCAACATAGCTCGCAGTTCTTTTTGTACTAGTCGGGAACCAACCCTGCTGGAACAGTTCCGTCATGTTTAGAATTGTGGTCTAGGTATCTCGATCGCATCGGTAGTTCGCCCGTACTGTATCCCCCCTAGCCGACTGATGGGCTTCAAGACCTTAAGGTCAATCACGCTTCGATCCTCATTGATGGCATCCTCTCTCGCCCAGAATCGGACACCCTCAATGATGGCCAATACTCCAGTCTTCTTTCCGGGCGTCGTTCTGCTTTCAAATTCTTTGGTTTCGACGAGTTTGCCTTCGATAGATAAGATTGATTCCTGCACGCGGGCTGGCTGGACCACCGAACTAGGTGCCTGGTGCAATCCGGATATCTCCCATTCGGAAACACCATATGGAGCGTTGACGGCGGTCGCATTTGCTGCCTCCACGAAATGTTCAGAGATGATGTTAATGACGCATTCTTCTGTCTCGGCGAGGTTCTTCAGCGTGTCTTTGGCTTTCTCAAGCGATCCAACAAAGCCGACGACAAAGAGAGGAGGGTCATGATTGACGACCTGTGAATAACTGAAAGGCGCCAAGTTGGCAGACTTTCCATCCTTCGACTTGGTACTGATGAGCGCTATGGGCCTAGGAACCATCCCCGAGATTAAGATCTTGTAGTTAGATGAAACCGGCCTTCCTTCCTCATGAGGGTCGATCTCGACATGATTCTTCTTCAAACTTTCGCCGCCATCATTCGCACCCTCGCCCTGTTTCCAGTCTGGCTTAGGGGGCTTTGAGAAAGTGACCTCTGCATCACGTGTAAAATCCGGCCGAGCAGCTTGAACCTTTTCAAAGTCGTCACCCGCTTTAAAAAATGCCGAAGTCATGCTGAATGAACGATTGTACCAAGGCTTGACGCCGTGCAGGCTATTTCCGCTTCCACTATACGTTCATCAGCGATATTGATCGCGACTTGTGTGACCTGGACTCTGCCCAAGTGTATGATGCCTTGCCGAGTCGGAAACGCCTTTCTGGGCGCGAAGGAAACTTACAACTGCTTATAGAGATGGCTAGTCGAAAAACGCAAGGTGCTTCTCACAACAGTGCGATGCATGGGAGGTATTCACAGTGGTGGATTTACCAAACCTAGCTGCTATCGCATCATTACATCCGTTGAGCAGATTGCGGGTCTCTCATTGTGCAATTTCCACGGACCATAAAGTGCAATTTTCCAAATCCGACGCCCCAATAGGTGAGAATTACTTAACGGAGTGCGTGGATGTAGAGTTCACTGCCGACTCTCGGGCCGATATTAGCTTGAGTTTTGTCAGCACCCGAAAACAACCCCTCACCTACGCTTTGGGTAGGAGATAGTTACTAGTAGTTGATGGCTTGTACTTGACATTCATCTCTTGAGAATGGAGTCAATCATCATGAAGGAAGTAGGTTATTTGAGAATGATTATATGTCAAATGAGTATTGATTTGTATCCTTGCACCCTCAAGGGCGGAATCGAAACCACGTCGGCCGTGACGTTACACATTTCTCCACACTTCTCCAACCTTGCTATCCCAAGGACGATGTAACTATGCAGGTTGTTCACCTAGGCTTATCAAGGTGGTTCAAACTCTCTCGTGTTCAAACTTTCATTTGTCAGTTTCGGGGGTCTTCTCCAATCATTGATAAGCAAACTGGGATAGGATACCTATATCTAGTATAAATAGAGTGTTAAGGTACTATCAGAGCGAGCCTACTTTCACGTAATTAACTTCCCATCCCCTCTCATCCCAAAGGGTTTTGTGCACTACAGCTGTTCAGAACCATCACACGCTGCATCTCTTGTGATCGAATATCCAAAATGACCCACCAAGACTTTGAAACCTTCAAGCTTGGAGATTGGGAGCTACAAAGTGGAGAAAAACTCATCGAGGCGTCTATCGCATACAAGACATTTGGTGACCCGAAGTCGCCAGCTATCGTTTACCCCACATGGTTTTCCGGATGTACGTATTAGAATTCAGAAAGTTCCGCAGCCATACTAACAGAATATCTCTTACATTCAGCGATCTCGGATAACGTCTGGTTGATCGGAGAAGACAAAACACTCAATCCCAAGACGTACTTCATCGTTATCCCGGCGCTCTTTGGGAATGGCCAATCAACCTCCCCGTCCAACTATTCCGCTTCCGATGTATTTCCGACATGTTCCTTCTACGACAACGTGCGCGCCCAATATACACTGGTCACACAGCAATTGGGCATAACGCATCTGCACGCTGTGGTCGGGTGGTCGATGGGCGCAGCCCAAAGCTATCAGTGGGCGACGCAGTACCCGGACTTCATGGACTTGGTGGTGCCATTCTGCGGGTCAGCAAGGACCTCCTTGCATAACCAGGTGTTCTTGGAGGGGGTGAAAGGTGCGCTGTTAGCAGCAAAGCACACGCCCTCTGCTGTACTGAGAGATACCCGCTCTCTCGAGGCTGGACAGGCGTCAAGAATATGGAATGCCCAGGAGAGGCAAATCGGCTTGAAAGCTTTGGGCAGGGTTTATGCTGGTTGGTAAGGACTGACAACAAGCCATGCCCTGCTGTACCATTTCTAATGTCCCTCTCTCTCATACAGGGGCTTTAGCCAAGCTTTCTACAGAGAAAAGCTGTATGAGACTACACTTGGCTACAAGAGCCTGGAGGACTTTATGCAAGGTTTCTGGGAGAAGTGGGCTCTATCTAAAGGTAAATCCACACAGCTCTGCTCTGTCTTCGCTCTCGTAGTTAACGTGGATCTAGACCCTGAAAATCTGCTGGTTCATCTGCAAACATGGCAGCAAGGGAACGTGAGCAATCAAGAGCCATACAATGGCGACTTTGAGAAGGCCATGGCCTCAATCAAAGCGAAGACGTTGGTGTTGCCGGGAAAAACCGACCTTTACTTTCCGTATGTCACATCTCCCTTCCTTAGATCAATCCGATAGCTAATTGCCGCAGCCCGGAAGATTCTGAGTATGAGGTTGCATGCATGAAACCGGGAATCGGTACACTTCGGGTTTTCCCCTCCATTTGGGGTCGTAAGTGGACATCTATCATACTGCAGAAGGATTATTGCTGACATGTTACTTGTAGACTGGGCGGGGGGCCCTGGTGACAGTAAGGATGATGTTGAGTGGCTTGACAAGCAACTGGCCCAGTTTCTGGGGAAGCATTCGGGAGCGTCATTGTAATTGGTTACGCCGTAGGTCTGCTTTTCTATAGCAAGTTTCCATGGAGAAGTGGGTGAGATAGCATGGCTGCAACCCGTCTTGAAACATTGAAAATTGGGGTATGATGCAATTCATATGATTGGTTGACGAAGATGTATGGGAAATCCACAGTAGCACGTGATTGTACACAGGCGTCACTGCTGAGTCAGTTGACCAGGCGTGGCGCCGATAAACCTTCTTTCTTCAACTCCGATCGTTGGCTTGATCAGCCTCTCTTTAACTATTGGGCATTTTCCCATCAATTCACTCACCCCGTTCTTCCCTTTCCTTCACTTTTCTTGTCTTGTCACGTTCCTGTACCCCCCCTTTTTTGTCGTGTTTCCTTTGTCTTTCCTAGCTCTAAAAGACATACGTTCTTTCTTAGCTTTGCAGTCTTTCATCTCCGCTTTCTAAGAACTTAAGCGCCGCATGATCCTACACCTTAAAATAGACAGTCATTATGGCCACACCACCAGTTCGTCAATGGGGGGTTACTCCTCCGATCTCTACGGTCTTGCCGACTCCAGATGAGCTCGCTGCAAATGACGATCTGATCTCTGAACTAAAGCTGCAGAACAACTTTGAAAGCCCTACAGAGACCGAGCACAGGTAAGGCAATCGGGAGCCTTTCACAATGCTCGACATAAGCGCTCATTGCCTTGGTTTGACAGGAAAAACACGCTTCAACTTATCCAACGTGTCACGGTCGAGTTTATCAAAGTCGTTAGCCGAAAGAAGGGACTATCCCCTGCTGCAGTGGAGGCCGCCGGAGGAAAGATCTTTACCTATGGAAGTTATCGCCTCGGCGTTTACGGACCTGGTGAGTCGCCAGCAGTGCTTGATAATTGTTCTGACTTCCCGAGTATTGATTGCGCTTCGTGGCAGGGTCGGATATCGATACCTTGATTGTTGGTCCGAAGCATGTTGTCATCGACGATTTCTTTTCCGATTTCCCCCCTGTTCTTGAAAGAATGGCTCCACAAGGGGCTATTGAGAAGATGACCCCTGTTCCAGATGCCTTCGTACCTATTATCAAACTCGAGTTTTCCGGTATTAGTATCGACTTGATTTATGCCCGCCTGATCGTCCCTTCAGTTCCGCTCAACCTCGATTTGAAGAACAATGACTACCTCAGAGGCTTGGATGAAAAAGAGGTCAGATCACTTAATGGAACTCGTGTGACTGACGAGATTCTGGAGCTTGTACCTCAACAGAAAACTTTCCGTCTAGCTTTGCGTGCTATCAAACTCTGGGCGCAACGTAAGGAGCTTTGTTCTTGACCCTTCCAGTGCTCGTCAGCTAACCGTTCCAACCTACGCACAGGCAGAGCCATTTACTCTAATATCGTGGGCTTCCCCGGCGGTGTTGCTTGGGCTATGTTGGTAGCTAGAGTGTGCCAGTTATACCCCCAAGCGACCGGGTCAGTGATTGTGGGCAAATTCTTCCGGATAATGAACAAATGGGCGTGGCCTCAGCCTGTGTTGCTGAAGCCAATTGAGGATGGACCTCTCCAGATGAAAGTCTGGAATCCAAAGGTGGGTACCGCAGCTGGTCACTTGATGATCTCGAAAGGTCGCTGATCTGGTCATAGATTTATCACGGTGACCGCTTTCACCTGATGCCGATAATTACCCCCGCATACCCTTCCATGTGCGCTACTCACAACGTCTCCATGTCAACCAAGACTGTTATCCTTCGCGAATTGCAACGAGGTGGTGATATCGTAGACAAAATCTTCCTGAAACAAAACACTTGGAACGACCTCTTCGCAAGACATTCATTCTTCACTCGCGATTATAAGTACTACCTCAGCATAACCGCGTCAAGCAGAACCAAAGAGGCGGAAGCGGTCTGGTCTGGACTTGTTGAATCAAAGATTAGACATTTGGTCGGGGCTTTAGACAGGAAGTCAACCATCGCAGTTGCTCATCCGTTCCCCAAAGGCTTCGAAAGGGTTCATATCGTCAGCAGCGACGAGGAGGCCGAAGCTGTGAAGAATGGCTCTACCCAGTATCAAGATAAAGGCCAAAAAACAGAGACGACCGATGAGATAAACGACGCTGCTCACCAGGCCGCGGCTAACAGTCAGATCGAAAAACGAGACGTCGCCGAGACCGTGGAGGATAAGGCCAATGGCGAGAGTCGAACCATCTACACCACAACATATTATATCGGGCTGGAATTGAAGCCATTAGAGCCAGGTATGTTAGCCGATTTTCCTGTCTGATCCCACTGACTTGACAAGGCCAATCCCGGTCGTTGGATATCTCAACCGACGCCCAGATATTTAAGTCGACTTGTACCTCTTGGCCTGGATATCAGCCCGGTATCAACGACTTGGCCATCATCCATGTGCGGAAGTAAGTGTTTCACCTGGAATTTAGGGGTTCGTACTTTAACACTCGGATCAGCTTCGACCTTCCCGAAGATGTCTTTCAACCAGGAGAAACGCGTCCCCAGCGGCCTAAGAAGAAGATTATCAAGAAAGCCGGAGCGGGCGGTCAGAAACGAGGCATCGAATCATTGGACGTAAGTGCAAACAAGAAAGTTCGAGTGGACTATGGACGGCAAGCTACTTCTACGAAATTCGACCCCTCGCGCTTAGCAATTCTCAAGAGTCCTGACGTCTGAACATGACTGATATCAACCGTTGATTTTTTCCTGCAGGATCCGTCACTTCCGACTGCGAAACGTCAAATTCCGTCCAACGGAGTGCCCAATACAGCAACACCTGCGTGAGTGCCTATCAACCGTAATTAGGCCCAAAACCACGATGGGGCAGGTCCCCGATCTGTTCGTGAGTGAGATGCCCGACATCAACAGTCACCGTTGCAGCCAGCCATATGAAGAACCGCATCCGGATTGGATGACATGTAGTAAATGGGCGGCACATCTCTTAGTATAATCCCAGCTGAAATCCACTAAAAACAAAAACCTACAGTTGATCTAGTGACTCGTCCCCCGAGACGCACTGTTGCAACTGACGTCAGGAGTTTCAAGGTTGGTTTCTTTTCTCTTTCCACTACCTTTTTTCTTTCTTGACCATACAGATACTATATCTGTGTTATCTTGCCCACCAAGCGACTACCTCATTGCAGGCGTTCGTGACAGTGGATGCGGTTGATCATACTTGCATTACGCGCGGTTGGGTTCATAACACCCCCCGCCCAATTTTCTATTTACTGTTACTGCACTCGCACGGAGGTTGTAGGTCTACACTGCGGGTGGTCTGAGACTGTACATATCACCTTGCTGTTCAGTTAGGCCTGGTGTAAGCGCCAGCTAGGTTTAGTTGAAATAAAGAATGTCTTTTCGTGGCCTACGGGCCACCAGTCACAACTACTGCTCTTCAAAGCACCATCTACTCGTAGGCAGTTGTCAGATTATTCTGGTTCCTATCGATCCGGTACAGGCAAGCCATTGTACTGAATACACTCACTTCATCTACTTACGTCTAGCATGTATATACACCCAACAACACGCATTCAACTCCAAGCTTCCACCAAATCACACAGCGTCGACTCCCCACCAACATTCCCAGGGAAAACCACAAAAGGAGCACCGCGGTGTCTCGAAGTGGACTCATCGCATCGCCACAAAGGCACCCCAGGCGCCGCCTGACCAACAATTAAAGCCCGTTTCATATTCAAGCCTTTAGTCGCGGCATCAGAGGATGTAATCCCACCCTGAAACCATCAGTATCTCGTCATACAAAGCCTCCAACTCTCAGAACATTTCGGGGAAAACAAAACAACTCACCTTGGCAATAATATACCTCGGCCGCACCTGAATCTGCCTCAGCACACTGACCAAGGCACTCGCGACCTTTGTCCCAATAGCTAGAGATGATAGCTCACTATCCCCCGTGATCAACTTGCGACTCGTCATGACCAAGGTGTCCTGGCCGGCTTGAAGACGGGACTCGGCCTCCTTGACTGTCTGCTGGATTGCGCCAGCAGCGCTTTCCGGCGACGCAATCAGTTCTTCGACGTCCATCTCGAGGATGGCGAGTTGGCCTGTTTGTCCGCGTTTGGAGGTGAGTACATTCAGTTGGGCTGTCGTCTTGGGCACATAGGAGCCGGCGATGATTAGCCCGCCTGTTTCTCTGGGGACGGGGAGCTGGAGTTCGCGTGCTGTTATGGGGGATTTGGAGCGGATCCCGAGGCGCGTGGATACGAAGGCTGCGCCGGTGCGGTAGAGGAAGTGTTTACCTTTTGCTTCAGCTATTGCGTGTTAGCTTCTGGGAAAATAACGAGGGAATAGGCCAGGGGATGGGAATTCATACCCAAGAGCAAACCGGCAACGAAGACATGCATGTCGGACTCCGCTGCGGCATTGACGATAATGACACCGCCCCGGGGGATGTCCATCAGCTTCTCGAAGACTGCTTCAGGGCCTCCCACCCGGATGTCGTGTAGCGATATCGAATGCAGCTGCTCCGGCTGAAACCTCCCGGCCGCTTTCTCAAGGACATAGTCCCGAAGGTTCGAACTCTTGTATCCGAAGGTGGCATCCTTCGCGAACTGTGTCGTCCCCGCCGGGACCAGATTCTCCCCTTCAGCCACATAGTGCACGTCGCCGATGGTGAAGCGTCCACCCTGAAAGAAGAACGGGGCCAGCACCAGCCCGTCGGCGTCCCCGAACACGGACTGCGCAACGTCCGTTTCGAGAGGGAAGTGGCCCCGTAATGTACTGTCGCCGCGCAGGACGATATCCACAGTCTGTCCTGCGGACTTGGCAACTTGCGCGACGTTCTCGCAGATCTCGCGGATCAGTTTCTCTGCGTCGAGGGGTGGGAGCGCGCGCGAGTTGGTCAGAATGAAGAATCCTGGGGAGTCCTGTCTGAACTCTTCCGTTAGGGTTGGGATATCCCAGACGGTGAGTACGGAGATGTCATGGCATGTTTGAGTTCCGGTGGGGTCGTCGTCGAGTACGACTAGCCGATTGAGGGTTGAGGAGGCCAGCAACTGGGAGATCTGATCTTGGGCGTTTGCGGGATATGCGGGGGGCAATTGGGCTAATGTGCTTTCGCGTGGTACAATGGGATATTCTTCTGGGGAGGACATGATGGCTCGTTTTCCCAGTGGAATTGAGTGGATGTTGAATTGATCCAGAGATTGAGGTTGTTATGGTCGGGGGGACGCTCTATATTTGAACCCCACACATACGGGGAAGAAAATGCGGGGGGGAGGAAAGAGAATCGGAGACTAGTCCGATGTATGGCCAAAACGGAACTTTCAAGTTCTCTCTAGATTATAGAAAGATCTAGCACCTGGTTATCCACAACATGATCACTCATTGAAGAATCCAATCAGTCTAACAGAACAATGCAATCGGGGGAGAATAAGAATAAGGAATATAGGGCTCTCAAAAACACCGCAAGCGCCGTGACATGTGCAGAGAAGATGCAAAATGGTCATGACTATGACAATGATGCAGATGCTGTTGATCCAAAAGTGAATAGGAAAAAGAAAAAGAAAGAATGATCGTATAGATCCCAACCAGTCATTACGCATGTCCTCCCTTCCCTTTTATTGTGAATAGCAGAAACCGTTCCTTTGCACTCCGCAAGCCTCATCGTACGCAATGCTCAAGAGATCTTCATCGTAAAAAAAAAGTAGAAACGAAAGACAACCCACGCAGCCATTCGAACCGGTCATTAAGGAAGCCCAACAAAAGAGATTCGAGATAGTATTAAGTGAAGTCATAAGCGCCGTTTTAGCCGACCACACTGCGGAAACTCAAGGCTTCAAGGAAGGCACCGAGGTCTTCCTTCTGCACTTCGACCACACAATGATCAAAGCTGTCAATGCGAACGCGAGTGTTAGTTTCTTGGACAACTTCTTGGAACGCAATTCCAAAACGGTTCCGCAGCAGATGCTTATCGGCGCGTGTATCGTCGTCGTCGTCTTCCGACTCGGACTCTGATTCAGAGGATGATTCTTCCTCTTCGCTTTCTTCGAAGTCTTCTTCGCCGTCTGCCTCCCGCCGAGCCCGCTCTGTCGCACGCTTCGCGCGCCGCTCTTCCTTTTCCTTTCGCTTCGTCTCTTTGGCCTCTTTCTTTTTCCGACGTTCTTCTCGCCGTTTATTCAAAGCGGCGAAGTCAACCACACCACCTCCCCCACCAGTCCCGACAACTACATAAAGGTCTCGATCTTCATCCAGTCCAGCCAGTACCAAAGGGGTTCCTGCAGCACGCTTGCGCCCAATCTTGACTGAATCGCCTCGCTCTCGTTCCTGTACCCGAATTGCCTCGGCAATCCACAGGGCCAACTTAGTCAACGCCCCTGGATTAGTGAACAACTTCACGTCCGGCCCATCCTTGACAACAGCGATGCGAAATGCACGCAAGTGTCGAATCTGATGTTTTGAAAGTAAAGAAGTACCGGTGCGCAAAATCGAGCGGTGAAGATGTTGAGCAAGGGGAAGCGCTTCTAGGAGCAGCGTGGGTGACTCGGACGTCAGAGATAGGGCGTCATATGCACACCAGAATCGGGGCACAATGCTGGCGAGATCCGACTCGGTAGAGTCGACGCCATTCAATTCGGGCGCGCTCCTTGGTCGCGACAGGTGTTTTGCGTCCCACGACCCCGGTGCCTCCTCTGGCCCGACCTCGAGCATGGCACCAATAATAACACCCACATCAGTGGCAGACAAACAAGCCTTCCAGCCCCAGCAGCGCACAAAACCCCATCCCTCACGAGAGGTAGCATGTCCAGATGCTTCCGCGGGTACCAAACCATCCAGGCCGTACATTGGTGCATACTTAAGGAGGCGTTGACGCAGTACTCGTTTTAATTCCATGTCCATATGGGTGTAACTTTGGTGGGACTGGCTCAGGCTGATGCCCATCTTGGCTAGGAGTTTGTTTAGTCGTTTCCTACCATTCTCGGTCCACACATGTAATCGGGATGCTAAGTAGGGGCTGTGGAGCATGCTATCATATAGCGACCAGTGTCGTATAAGAATGAATCTGGGTTCAGGCGACAAACGAATAGACTTATCTGTGGGTGATTTTGCCGTGGTTGGGATAACACCATTGATCTCTCCTCTTATATCTCGATCACGTTCATAAGGATCCGGCGGATTCAGTCGATGGACCTCGTCTCGTAAGATCTGTCGTATACGCTCACCCCGTTCTCCACCCCAACCAGCCGACCCTCCAGATTCCGACGAGTTGGAGATACCGACACCAGACATTGTGCGGCCGCTAAGTTCTAGACTAGATGCGCCGACGATAGCAAGCCATAGCAGGTCATTGTCTTCACGACCAAGCTCCGATGCCAACGAGTACACTAGAGATGATATAGGTTCTGAGTATGAGGTGCCGGAGGAGTAGTAATTCTGTAGCACACTCTCATGTTTTCGTTTTAGTCGCAGTAGACGCCGTTTCAACGAACGCGCGGATGGCTGTTTGGGTTGGGCAAGCGACGGCGATTCTAGTACTGGTGTGACAGCGCGTGATGAATGGAAAGGATCATGCGCCCTGGGTCGTTGACGAGTTGGGGAGGAAACAAGCGAGGACCCCTACAAGCTACATTAGTGCCACAAAAGGAATACTAACCCCACGTAGAACATACCGAATTGCTCCTCCTCCGTTGACGAGGCGGCCCGTCCTCCTCGTCAGATTCATCCTCGTCGTCCGTCCGTGACCATGACTTGCGTTTTCTGGAATCCGAACTGGACGGTTGGTCTACTTCCCCTTCACTGCCCGAGTCTTCACCGAGATCCCCCTCGTCCTCTTCATCTATCTCTGGCATTTCTAACAATGCGCAATATGCTTCTCGCTCCTTGCTCATGTCCTCCTCGATATCCCCATCGTCGTAGACCACGATACCCCCACTACCTGACTTGTATGAGGGAGTAATACATCCCTTGTTCACACCGCGCGTTTTCCGTCGCGCATTGGCATCAATCTCGCCCAGTGCTTGCTCCGACACGGGCTGGCCACCAAAAAGATTGGCTAAATTCCACGGTCGTCTCGCATCAAACACCCAGACCTCAACCCCGCCCATGTCCTCCACTTCCTCCTCGGGGTTACTGAGACAAAGTATCTCGCTCAGGTCCACCAAGCCGCCCACTCCTAGACAGACCACCACGCCGCCACTACCACCATTGGTAGTCTGCATGGGCTTCACGAGCTCCTCCCCCGCACGAGACAAGTCGCCATATCCCGCAACTGGTTGGATTTTGTGGGGTATATAATCGCGTTTTAGCAGAGCAGTGAGAATTCGACAAGCGCAGAGCGCATCGGGCTCGAGAGCCACGAGAATCAACACAGGCGGAGACAGCGGATGGTGTGATCGGAGGAGTTGTAGGTAAAGGTGCGATATGAGCTGGCGAGGTAGATACATGGCAGCCGGGGGAAGTTGACGAACGATACGCGAACGAAGGAGCCAACAGATACTGAATTTAGGCCTCCAAGAGGCCCTGCTCTAAGCTGAGAAACAATCAAACCACGGGCTGCTCACACAAACAAAGTCAATGGTGTTTTGGTTGGCTCCATTCCCGAGTGTTGGCGAGTCTCTTGGGGTAACAAAAGCACTTCGTCGCGAATGTCCAGACGCGTCCGGGACGCCACACGTGCGGAGATTGCCGCCAAGCCCGCTTTTTGGTTCAATAAATTTAATTTCCTGGCATAAAAACATCCTTCATGGCCCGCATAAAATTACTAGTCAGAGAATAAGCAAGGGAAGGAAGAATAGTCAAAAATCATATTCATAATAGTCAGTTAATAAATCATGAATCTCCACAGGTCATATAGAAACTGTCTTAGCTGTCTCAGTATCACAATGACTAACGCACAAGGTTATTCTCCGCTTCTTTGTTTTCTTGAGATACATGCAGAGTACGGAGTAGCTCGGAGGTAGATGACTCGTGCTCTTCAACTAGATTTGAGCATGAAGAGCGTTTGTAATGCCGTCGATGCAAGATATCTAGCTGCAGTATGTCCATTATGTGCGAAAAGGGCATACACTAAGAGTGAGGGAGAAGAAAGAAGAGATAAAAAAGATCAAATAATCCAACAACGCCTGTCAGTACTCCTGAAACTAGGTATCACATAATGCAAGACCACAAGCTGTAGTCACACTGTACGCTGGTAGTATAGGAAAGCACAACCGAATGTCATGGATGAGCAAAAGAATGAACCTATAGAGACATGAAATATATAGTTAAGTTGAAATTCAAACCATGATCAAACCGAGGGCCTGCCTAGGATCGATCCAGTCAGCCAGACAGCAGCGCAGACCCCCAAGACAGATGCTCCGACTAATCGTTTCTCCCAAGGAGCTTCCTGGGACATTTTGGCAGGCTCAAAGTTCTTCTGCGACGAATGATGTGATGAAGAAACTTGTGGTCCAGAGTTGTCGTTACCTGCGCGAAGCGACGAGTCGTTTTGATTGACCAAGTAGTCTCGGTCGCGTGCGCGCCATTTCTCAACCAGTCGCGCAATCTCAATGAGATCTTCTTTTAGGGATCCCGGGTCTGTCGCAGTGGTATTCTCAACCTCAATGTTCTGGACGTTTCCGAAGAAGTCCACCACCGTTCGGAGGCGGCCCTCCTGCTCGGCACCAGGGAACAGATCCCATCGTACGCCTGGTTGTGAGTGGATCTTGGTTTCGTCGTACGAATCGAACAAGTCGCCCAATGTCAGTTTAGAGTTCGCACTTGTGACCTGGGTTTCAAGAAACTCGAGGACGTAGTACGTCCAGCGGTCAATCACTGCAACTCCAACATCGTTGTCGGCATGATGAGAGTATGAAGACTGATCAAGCTCGCTGGACCCGGTGGCAATAATATTGGGCGAATAGAAATGCGTATACATCGTGTTGGCCTGACAGGTATCGATCATGAACAATAGCTCGTGATAACGCTTCTTCTCCCACATCTGACCGAAGGCATCCGCCAAGTCCCAAGCGCCAATCTCCTCGGAGTCCTGAAACTTGAGAAACTGATCTCCTCCATGTCCTGTCATATACACAAGTACATTGCTTCCCGCGTCAGAGCCAAGGCGTTTGCTCCGTGGTACATCTTCGTCTAGCCTATCGGTCAACAGGCGGATGAAATTTTCCACGGTGACCTCGTAGCCCCGGTAATCCACCTCAATGTTGTCTCCATAAAGGTCGACTGCGCGATCCGCATTGCTGTAGACTGTTCCCGGGAACACATTGCGAGGGTTGCAGGCCATATCGTCGGGAAGCATCAGGATAATCTGCGAATCGGGGATTCCGAGGCGCTTGACGGTACGATACAGCGAGAGGACATTTGCGAGGTGGCGGTAATTGAACCAAAAGCGCGAAGTCGAAACTAAGACGGCCCAGTTCGATGTATGCTCAGATAAAGCTAAAGACGCAAAGGCTGTGAGGAGGAAGGGAAGGACTCTAAGGAGTCCAAAGTATGGAGACATAATGAGCGCTCGAACGTCAAATCATAATATAATTAGAGAAAGGTTGCGTGATGAACGACAGACAGGGGTGAACACAGTAGTTACAATAAAGGAGTGAGCACGACTAGGTAGGTGGAGATGTTTCTGAAGAAGTAGTAATCAGCCAGAACATCGGGATGATCAATAAGGCATCCATCAAAGCCAGAAGATTCAATGCCTGAGGCATTAAATCCCGCAAACAAAGCTTGGCAGCCTGAGGCAACAAGCATGATGGAAAAGAGGAGTCCCTCCTACGGAGAACTCCGTAACACCAATCACGTTGACGTCTGTGGCGGTACTGGAATGAAACAGTCGTAGTAGTACTAGTAGTAGTACATAGGTCACGGTACTTCGAAGGCAGAATGTGACAGTGTCCTAATAAGAACGGCATAGGCAGTCGCTTTGATTCCTTGTCTATACTAAGGGACCGAGACGATATCCACCTTGTCAGCTACAACTACTAACAAACTGCAGAAGCATGATTGGAATCATCATTTTTTCTCTATTCATCAGCTATACTGCCTACCTAGGTCTCTGTCTCATTCAACACCGGAACCGTGTGCGGAAGATTGGATTGCCATACGTCTCATTTCCTATCTCGTCGCATAATTTATTCTTCCTATCTCTCTTCGAGACTCGAATCGTTCCATATGTGATCAACACGTGGCTCCCACCCAAGTTGGCCGATTATATCTATGATAGCGGCTTCAAAACCCGCTGGATGACAAAGGACCGCCTCCACAAGAGGCATGGGGGAGTTTATATGCTTATTACACCAGCCGTCTCAACTTGCATGGTGGGCGACGCCTCAGTGGCCTCTCAGATCTGCATGTCTCGTCAGGGTTTCCCAAAACCCCACAAACAATATGGTAAATCATGTTGGCATGGCTCACGTGTTGCTGTAAAACTAATGAATAGCCACATCATAGGGGCTCTGGACATATATGGTCCCAATATTGTCACAGTAAGGTGTCCACTGCATTATGTGCATTGACATCGAGTGCTCAAAGGCTCAGCTAATAAATCATAGTCCGAAGGCTCTCAATGGGCACATCTGCGTCGGCATACAGCGGCAGCGTTTAATGAGAGAACTAGCGCCCTGGTTTGGGAGGAAACAATCCGCCAGACGGACGAAATGATGCAATATTGGAAGGATGAGCACACTCGAAGCTCTTCACAATCCGAGTTTATTCTGACAGATGCTAGAGAGGACATCTTAAAATTCACTCTCAATATTATCTGCAGTGTTGGATACGGAGTGAAGCTTCCGTTCAAACCCATCCTTGAAAATTCGACTGACAGTGCTGAAGGCTTATTCAAAGACGCCATATCACCTTCTCCAGGCTATCACTTCACATTCCGCTCTGCGATGGAGTATTTGAATAAGCACATAACCTCGATATTTATAGCCAATGGCCTTCCCAAATGTATCCCACGGTCCATACTGCCATTCTTCAAGAAAGACTTTGATGCGTTCGACGATATAGGCAGTTATCTACGGGCTTTAGTATCGATGGCTGAAACAAAGGAAAGCCTAACACAGAATTTGATTGATGGTTTAGTCAGATCTAAACAGCAGAGAAATAAAGGCCAAGGACTCGACCCTGATCTTACGGATGATGAGATACTTGGGAACCTGTTCGTATTCACAATCGCTGGGCATGAAACCACTGCTGTTGCTCTTCGGTTTGCTCTTGTGCTCCTTGCTCTCAATCAAGATGCACAGGAGTATTTGTACGAGGGGATTCGAGAAGCAACATGTGACGAGCCTCATAACCCTGTCGAGTGGGATTACAGACGGGTTTACCCAAAGCTCGTTAGCCCTTTATGTGTAATGGTATGTGACATAGCCCACCTTTGTGATTGTCATTGTTCCGAGAATGATCACTGAGTCCATCAGCTTGAAACACTTCGGATGTATCCTCCAGTGACAACCATTCCCAGATGGACAGGAGACTCCGCAGTCGATATCACGTATCAGAACCAGTCTTATCTCCTTCCGCCGCATGTTTATATCAGCGTCAATGCTAGTGGGCTTCATTACTCTGAAGAGTACTGGGGGCCAGATGCAGCTGTGTACGATCCCAAGAGGTGGGATAAGCAGAACACGGAGAGCTTCCTTGCGAAGAACGAGGGAGTGGGTCTGTCTGGACCTGGGTTAGAATATGACACAATCCATAAACCAGTCCGAGGGTCATATATTCCCTTCAGCGACGGCTTCCGGGTGTGTCTTGGCAAGAAATTCGCTCAGGTCGAGTTTGTAGTTGCCGTGGCTATTATCTTCCGTGAGTATCATGTTGTGTTGGCGAAATCCAGTGGGTGTAAGACCGAGGACGATATGCGTCGAAGGGCGGAGAAAGTTTTACAGGAAAGTACTTCCTTTATCACATTGTCAATGCGTGATGAAGTACCGCTGCTGTTCCAGAAACGGTGAGTTAGCAAGGCTTGAGAGTCATATAGCTTAGTCGCAGTTCGAATGGACAGAGGAAGTGCCATGAGTGCTTTAGGTGTCACATTGGGGTCATTTTCATACCGTCGATCACAGCCATCCTTTCTTTGTGTTTTTTTTTTTTTTTTTTTTTTTTTTTTTTTTTTTTTTTTTTTTTTTTTTTTTTTTTTTTTTTTTTTTTTTTTTTCTTTTTTAGCATCTTCTGGTATGAGATGTTGTTGATGTCGTTGATGTTTCTGATGGAAACATTTTGCAACAATAGTACAGCAGAATTAAGCCTCTCCTTACTGTCCGCCGTATACCTTGTCGTGATAGCCACCAGTAAATAATCTCTGTGATCAATGGAAGCGACATAACCGCGACGCTTTCGTATATAATTCGGGAGAAAGGATCGAGTAACTGCACATAGCAAGACATACGAGAGGCATTTGGACGGATAGCAAACGAGGGCGTGAACAGTAGGATAGGGTATGCTATGGTCTTCTTGGCCTAACCCATGTTCTACGTCAAGTCCCATGGTTAGTAGTGGGGAGGATTGTGGTTAAGGTGGATTATGATAAATTGAATCCAAAGCCGTGAGTGGTGTTAGCAAACGTCGCCAAGCATCTCCCGCAGCCCTAAATCAGGGGTTGACGAGGCGCAGCAAGGCATCATCTGGCCGATTGCTTCAAATTACCAATTATTGGATAAATGCCAGCTCTAACAGTGGTGCAGCTTTTGGTCAGGACGAACCATAACTCGGAAGATGGCCGATGCCACTAACAGGGCCCCTTCACTGCTCCGGGCCATCGCGGTCAGTTGAGACCAAGCTCTCCAGCCTTGTCACAGATACAACGGTGATAGCACCTCTTCTTAGAGAGTCTACTAGATAAGAAATGGATGTTGTTGATGAACCATAAATTCAGAGCATAATAGAGCATGCTGAACTCATCTTTTAGAGGACGTATGCATGCACAGGTTACTTATATCTGTCTCATGGTCATTCCATCATAAAAAACGAACAGCTTCAGTAATGTGGACGATTACAACAAGTTTATCTGCCCTCAACAAGTTGTCATTCTCGGAGTAACTTCGCTCTTCAAATGGGTATATACACAGCAGTAGCAACATCGACCTGGTGGTGATCCACCATTTTCCTCCGCTTTCCACACTAGCCAGCGCGGTGTGCTTTTGTACTAGAATATTTTCTCTTCCCAAATGGCCTATCATACTTTGTTCCAACATACTATCCTTGATATAAGTAACGTCTGTGGCACTGATTATACCTGATGCCGAACTTTACACAACATAGACGCTGCACTTTCAAACATTCAGGGCCAAGCATATGAGCAGCTAGATAGTTGGCTAATATGGCAGAGGATACGTCTATTATAGTACGGTCTTCAATGGACTAGCATCTCACTCCGCCAAGCACTTGAGTTACAGTAGCCTCCTTTGTGTAGCGAGTAGCGTCGGTCATGCAGGGGGACTGAGCCCGTCCATCAAAATTTTCACTCCCAGTTCTACCTTCAGCCCTCTCATTTCGATAATCTGCAGACGCTCTCTTATAGACTATAATGCCACGCCACCCATTTAGGAGATCAGTAAAACATTGAAGTCCGGAATATACATTCCTTCAAGCGACACACTCTGTCCCGAAACAAAGGATAGAGCCATGTTGACTATGGGTAGCGATGCCTATCACGTACCGTTTGATGTAATTGACCTGGCATAGCCCCGCCATATGTCTGAGTTTAGTCAATACAGAGAGGTGGAGCATTTTTGGTTGGGTATCTTGAAACAACTTAGCATGAACGGGCAAATATCCAAGCCAACACCCGCAGCGGATCTAAGTGGACCAGTCCCTTCAGCCATCTTGCACTTGGCCCACGATAGGAGTAAGCCTAATATATGTAGAGAGTATACTTGATCTTTTTATCGTAGACACGGGGAATAGTCAAGAGGGAAGGCCAAAGAAGATTGACCTTACCATGGAATCGCTGTGGTGGCTTCTACGCAGGGTTTGGAGTTCCCTCATTACCCTTTGGAATTTTCTATGGCTGCACCCTCTCTTTTCATTCTTTACTGTCTCCCTAGTCTTTCTTTTAGTATCTCTTACACGATCGTTCATTGAGTTCTCTGACAGCCTTAGAGCCCATTCACTTTCGCTAAACAATTTTTCTCCTGCCTATGTTACAGCGCTCAATGAGTCTATTCATCTTGGTCAACCGATCCAATTCGATGCTGCAGACAGCATAACTCCTCCTGCCTCCATCCCACGAATCATCCACCGAACATACAAGACAGAAGATATACCCTCTCACTGGAAAGGCACCTACGAGTCATGTCGCACGTTGAATCCCACCTACAAGCAATACTTCTGGACCGACGAGTCCTCTCGTCAGTTCATCGAAACCCATTTTGACTGGTTCCTTCCCACCTACGATGCCTACCCATACAACATTCAACGCGCTGATGCCATCCGTTATTTTCTACTGTGGCATTATGGGGGCGTGTATATCGATATGGACATAGCTTGTCGCCGACCGTTGGACCCGCTGCTGGACTTCTCTGCCTGGATGCCCAAGACCCAACCATACGGTGTCAGTAACGACCTGATGGCGAGTACCCCAGGACATCCATTCATCACCAAAGTTGCCCTGGCTCTGCATGATCACGACGGCTTCTACCTCTCCAAGTATATCACTGTGTTTTTTACGACGGGGCCGATGTATCTCAGCAGCCTCTTGACAGAGTGGTTTCGAAAAGTGCAAAATGGCCCGGGCGAGGAAATTACCATGCCACATGGCGTTGCTATACTTCCTTCTATGATGTACGACACCACTGCGTACTCATTCTTTGGACACGCCCCAGGATCCACCTGGCATGGAAACGATGTAGCGATAGTTAGTTACATCTACAAACACTGGCGTGAGATTTGTCTTGGAGCAGTTGCAATTGGCGTACTGGTGTTGACGTTTTATATCCTACGGGTGAGAAGAAGACGGTCGAGATATACCTTGATATTAGATAGGCGGGATGAGGAAGCAGGCATTTTGTGATGATTCGTTTGTTTTCTCACCAGCTCAATGGAATGTGGGTGCTGTGTTCGTTCGTTCGTTCTTTCTACTGTCTTCCTTGCTTTCCTTCACTCCATACTGCCTTGATTCATACTCTCCTTTGCCGCGCATTATACAGCGAGAAGCTTCTATTATGTTGAATATATATTCTAATAGATAACCGGCGATCTACAATAAATTCTTTACACAATGGAACACTATCTTTAAAGAAGCGAAGATTAGGCCCTACAGCACCAACAAGAAGATAGGGGAGGGAGGATAATGCCTAGGTGCAACGTGTATGAGCAACACCCTAAGACAGTCCAGGCCGTTACAAGCTTCTATTTGGTGGCTTGGTACCTTGAACTTCTGTTTGCCCCATAAAAACCGATGAAACTCTTCCGCTTAGTAATTTTTTGACATCTGAGGTAGAGCTACCAACAAGAGCAAATCCTACTAGAAACAGTGACCCTAAAGCCTTATTGATTGGGACCCTTGTGGGGATGTTGCGGGTATCGAACCCTAGAACCGTTGGGTTGGGGCCCTAACCATCTGCCCTTGTAGGTTGACTAAAGCATCCACTTCAGCGAGGCAGTGCCGCAGTGCGGAGGGTAAAACATGCTGCGCCTCTCGGTCTTGGCCACAACCATCGGCTTTTCAGGGGCTGAAACATGGCCAAATCAATGCTTGCTGCGTTGAAGGAGTTCCCAGTGAGGTTCTTACAGAGTATAACGCTGATCTTTGAATCTCAAACTTTATCATACTGGCATTTGTATTGCTGAATGGGGGAACAGTATGTTTCAAGCGAGGTATATGTTGAGTAAGCTATATCTCAAGGTTACCAATAGGTTACGCTGCGTCTATAGACGTACTCCGTAGTACCAAGCCAAGGGTTCAATAGTTGGGTTATCTAGTGTTGGTGCAGGTATCAACTGCCGGTCGACCTGCATTTTGCTTGGGATATGCTGGTTCTTCCACTCATCACAAGGTATAGAACATGGATATTACGAGTAGTTGAGTCGATCTATTACGGCGTGCTAAGACTCCATATGCTTCTTTCTGGAGCGAGGTACACTGAGGTCCTACCTAACCCAAGGGAAGTCGAACGATTATTCTGGCATGTCACCGACAACAGAGAGAAAGCGACCTCGTTAGGGCAAATCGACAATCCTGCCAAGCTTTCAAAGGGGCCCACCGATTCTGCCTTGACGGACCCTAATCATTAATATCGGAGGTTGCTCGCTCTTACTCTGTCCACGGCTCATGTATCGTGGCGTCCCCGCCTCCTCATTTCTGATGTAACTCCAGACTGCCTTGTCCCTGTCTAGGATGCATGTTTCACTTCTCCGGGGCTCTATGTAGTTCAGGTGTCCACCGACTATACTCTCTTACCTCATATGGTATATTCTGGTAGTGGACCTATGTACTATCTTCCCTTATGGCATAGAACATGAGAGGCCAAGGATTCCCCTGCATAAACATAAAGTCTACAAGGTTAGGAAGTACTAATAGATTCACTACAAGAATATGACTGAAGACCCATTTTCTTGGACACTATGCGTCTAGGTATAGCCACTCTGCCACCACGACATCTTCGAGATGCCTGGTATATCGCTCCTATAACCAATATTTTTTCCGAGTAAGGTAACTGTTATACAAACCTGTATACTAGTGTATTTCTTTGCGCTCGAGTTGTACATTAGCGGCCCGCACGGAATTGTCAACCTATGCAGCCACCCTATCTTGTCACCAACCAAGATCCTAACCAGTTTTCATACATAGTGATCACAATCCTGGCGGTTTTGTCGTGCTTTACAGCCAACCCTATCAGCACACCATTGCAATTCGCACCTTATCAAGAGTAATATCCCGCTCAATACGACAATTATCCACTCGTACTCCATCTATCGTACAGAACGACCCACGCCATCATCTGCTCTTTGCAGATCTCCTGGACTTATTGACGGTGGTGTGACCAGAGAAGGACTCGGGTGGACTTTTTCGGAAGGGCTGTGGTTTGATCCACACAATCAAGTCGATGGGGCACCGTGTCCGGAGGCACTCCGTTTTTCTCCCATTCCAAGGTTGATTATATTTCAAATTACTCTTTGGGTTATGTAAATGCTACTCACAGTACTCCCCGAGACCGCAATTACACTCTCGTTCTGAAGTCGAGAGCTCCTTAGGGCACACCATACCTTTATACATCTTTCATGCTCTGTAGTGGTAATCTAAAGTGGCACTCCATTACCTCATGCCATTTGCAAAACTGCACTGCTATCATCCTCAAGATGCATACGCTGTTAAGCAGGGTAAAGTGAGCAGGCACAGTGCGGGGCGAAGAAGACACGGTATGAGCTTGCTTCGGTCAGCTCCTTTCCCCCTTGTACTCGAAAGTAGCCATATCACTCTCCAATAGAGGCTCGCCATCTGGCAACCACTATGGAGAACATATGCAACCCTGGATTTAGCTCCCCCATGGACACCCTTGGCAATACACTGACAGAGTTTGTTGTTTAGGAAGCAGCAGAAATTTCTGACTTGCCGCGAATGTGGCAGACTAGAGCTGGATGGCTCATTGGTTTCAGAGATCTTCTGTTCTGTGCCCTCTGGGCTGATGTCCCTGTTATTAGCATGTGGGAAAAAAAAATTCTGTCTTTTTCGCCTCGTTCATATATCTCCCTTGGAGTTTCTCGAAGACTCAGCCTCACGTTCATGGATACCTGCGATTCCTCGCCCTCTTGTGCCTTGACGGGTTACCTTCCACATCTTGTGATCTACTTGACGGTTGTTATTGTCCTCATAATAGTAGCTGGGTTTTCGGAGAATACCAGAGAATTTTGAATATGGAATCAATGCCAAACTAGGTATGACCGAGCACGACTTCATAGTACCACACGTGTATCTAACTCTATACGGTGTATATCAATGAGAATTGTTCGCATCTACATACATACCTCGTCCCCTTACCCAGTCATTGAGATAGAAGCCCTATCGCCACTCTTCTGTCCTCCATCTACCCCCTTCGACGCAAACCTACCACCCACCTTCGGCACCAACTCACAGCGACACAAAACCCCAAACGGTCAGCATTAAGCGTATCGATCCTTCGGGATATCCTCGATGAGCAGATTGTTCGATATCGAGCCGGTGAATCCCACGCCGTAGACGGCTGATATGAACCGAAAAACTATACAATAAACCTCTTAGCTTGGTGTCTATGCTGATCTTTATCTGAGCATCACGTACATAGAACGATGGCCATAGCTATTGCCAGCTAGTCTTCAGTCGATCTTTAAGTCGCCAGAGGCGATGATGGGGATCTGGACTGACATTCCTGCCCACAAATATGGCGGTTGTTCTGCTAGGCCATTAAATGACTTAGCCGCAACCTCCGCCAGCAATGGAAATGGCAGAGCATTTCACGATAACTATTAGGCTAATGGCCAATCCTTTCGAGTTATGAAGCTGCAGCAGTACTCTCCTATCCGTCTCATTCAACACTATAGGGCCTCGGCTGCAGCACAAAACACATTGAGGATTGGATTAGACCCAGAGAGCTACCTCAGATTAAGCGCTGTATGGAGAACGAGTGCCGTCACCATTGACAGGCAGGTGGTTGAGCGTGCACATATGAGGCCATCGGGGAATGTGTCCTTCGGTTATCTTCCGTGCGCATTCCTCTCATACGCATCGCAATCCTCCCTGACCAATTTTTATACCAGTCTATAGACACTTGGTACACGCTATTTGGACAGAGAGCCGACAAAGCCTTATCTGTAGGCGTGTCGCAGAAGAAAATTTTCTGGCGAAGGCTCAACACTACTTTGTTATCTACTGGGTGGCCACAAAAGTCCAAAGGGTGTGTATCCAACATATCTTTTATGTGATGTCGTGTTATCTGAAGCCAATGTGTATCTATCTATTATATACCTTGCAGCCTGAACCAAATCATGAGTGGTTGTTCCTTGTTTAGATATCGTACTCTATTAATCTATCAGGGTATAGACGTTTTTCCTGGCTGGGTCTCTCTTGACTAAACAATCATACATGTCGAATATTCCCTTCGGTAGGCCGCGTGGGAGAGAATAGAGTGCCCATATATATTCGAGATGCTTTCTTTCGCTTGAAATCGCAAGGGCTTTTAAGTCACCTCAACAGAAACCTCGTTGAAATGAGGTTCCTACTCCATCCTGAAATTACCCTACTATTAATACTATTACACTAACCGAACGTTCATGAACGGAAAATAAAGCATTACAGCACGCCCATAGCATGTTTAGCCAGTACCGGTTTGTTGTGGATATCGTTGCAATTGCAATCACAGAGAAAGAAATCGCGAAGGGAAATCTATTGCGGACAAATATTTTTAACGCAAATCTAGTAGCATATAGTACACCAAACTAGTCATGTGGTAATAATCTATTTGCCGATCTCAACACCACCAGTGGCACCCAAGAGACGCTTGATGTCACCGTAGATGGCGAACTGACCAGCAGTCAAGGTACCAACCATGAACAGACGGGCACCAATACCGGCGTAGGAGCCACGGAAACCAAGCTCCTTACCGATCTTGATGAGACGAGAGACGGTACCCTCACCAGGCTCGCCGGGGGTCTTGTTGATCTTGCTCAGCATAGTATCGGCGGGCTGGGAGACGAGAGCGGCAGCGAAACCAGCAATGAGACCAGAGCCAAGGTTGATAGCAGTCTTAGCACCATCGGTGAGGGTCTCCTTGTCAAAGTTGCGGTAGATAGCCTCAGAAGCCTTCTCGAAAACGACGAACTTGGCCATGGTGTAGGGAACCCTGGAATTTCGATTAGACTTGATTGCCCAAATTGGACTAGACTAGCGCAAACTTACTGCTTGAAGAGAATAGGTCCGAATCCAGAGTAGAAAGCGCCGACACCCTCGTTCTTGAGGATCTTACCGAAACCGCTCAAGAGACCGGTAGCGAAAGTAGGCTGGGAGACGAGACGGATACGGGTGGCTTCAAGAGGGCAAAGAGCGATATCGGCAAAGAACTCGGCGGTGGCGGAAGAGGCAAGGTAGACAGCGGTACGGTTGTTGGAGGCAGTCTCGTAACCGAGCTGGTTGATCCACTGCTGCTTGAAGAACTCATAACCACCGAACTTGAAAGCACCCTGGAGGAAGTAACCGGCGGCGGTAGGACCGAAACCAGTGAGGAGAGCGCCAGCACCCTCGTTGGCAATAACCTGACGGAAACCACCGATCATACCACGGTTGTAGGTGACGGGGTCAAGCTGGATTCTGGTCTTGACGCTGCACAGCAGGAAAGGAAATATCAGTACGGACAGTACAAGCGGGAATGCCGGAACAAGGCGCATTTAATGCAATTATGGCGACCCAATTGGACTTACACATCGACAGGAGTAAGAGCTCCGTGGGTGACGGAACAGCAGACAGCACCAGCGAAGGCGAATCTGGAGTAGAGAGCAAGGCCGCTGAGCTGCTGAGGAGCAGCGGGAGCGGGGGTTTCGGCTTTAGAGGACATTATATTATATGGAGAGTCGTACTCTGCTCTAAACACAAAAAGGAAAAGGGAAGAGAAGAGTGGGGAGATGGAGGGTGGAAATGTCAAGCAATTGAAGCTCAGGGATTGAGATGGAAAGAAATTGAATCCGGGAGGAGAGGATTTGAAAGGGATGGCGGTCGGCACTAGTCGCAACCCGAAAACTTTTCGCGGCCAATGCGGGTGAGGGTCGGAGGCACGATGACTTGCCACCGTTAAATCCGATCGCCCGGTCAACAGCAGAGAGATAGATATCTACCTCTTGAATTCTTATGGTTGCTTTTACAGGACTATCTATATAGTTCCTCTGACTACCAGTCTTCTTCGTTTCATTTTTCTTCAATTACTTACAGTCGACGAAAGGGATAAAAACCAAGAAAAAGCTACGTGGCCCATGTTATCATCCAGGTTTGATAGTACTGGCAATTGGTCGCCTCAGGCATTCATGACCGCCCGATGAACAGGAACGCCTACCTACTATGCCAATAGAATTACCGGAGCATTTCCATGACCGTCAGTAATCTTAGGGCAAAGAATGCACTGCGTCACAGTGTCCTATCATTTCAATAACTGTTACAACTTTTTGTCGGGCTTTACTTAATACTTTACTTAATATCTCTTGGCCATTCAGCTGTTCCCGGGTTGATACTATGTCATTCCCTCGGATCCCCACCCGTGACATCCCTTATGGATACCTGAGGCAGCCGCCGGGTGATTGTACAATCTTTAATTGGTGCAATATCTCTTGGGTTCCTTTCACAACTTCCAAGGTTGACTTCCAATCCACCTAAGGTTACCCAGGAAAAGGAGAAAGAAAAAACAAAGGATCTCACAACTACGGTCGAGTTTCTAAATCGTTCATTGTGGAGGGAACTAGAACACTTTACTGCTGGCACCGTGATTAACAAGTCAATTATAAACAATTCTGATCACCCATGGCGGTCAACCACGCAAAAGCTCAATCACCACCTAATCTTCAACTCGAATCGAGGGTGCCTGTTTGCTTGCTCTGATTTGTATCCACTAAACACCTGACAGCGGTTTTATCATATTTTTAAAAGTCATCCAGTATCTGGCCCCTGTTCCACACCGACTGCTTGGGTACCGAAACAGTTGATACGTCTATTGAATAGAACGGTGCATGATGACGCACCTCTTCTATATTTGGTACCTGTCAGAAAATGAGTTTTCACTTGTTGGACTTTTCCATCAGCTTTAGTTCGTAGTCTCTCGCGGCGACTTTCTTTCCATCCAAGCCATCAATGTTACCCATCCCGTCCTGGTGTGATCCCAAAGCAAGGGATGAAAGAAGAAAATGGAAGAGGATTGAAAGTCAGTTCTCTTGCCTCTCTATAGATAAGCTGCCACTCTGTGGATACTGAATACGCGATTATGCATAGAAGAGGCACAGCATCTAGCTAAACTCCCATCATGGGATACCCCTGATAATTCGCTCATGCTACAGGGTTTCGAATGGCACGTTCCGGATGATCAAGGGCATTGGAAACGTCTTCAACGCTCACTAATGAGTCTGAAATCTATCGGTGTCGATAGTATTTGGATTCCTCCGGGATGTAAAGCAATGACCCCTTCCGGTAATGGCTATGACATCTATGATCTATACGACCTAGGGGAATTTGACCAGAAGGGGTCACGATCTACAAAATGGGGTAGCAAAGCAGAACTCCAATCTCTAGCTTCTTCTGCGCGGAATCTCGGTATTGGCATTTACTGGGATGCAGTCCTTAATCACAAAGCTGGTGCAGATTACACCGAACGATTTCCGGCTGTAAAAGTGGATCCAAAAGGTATGGCCTCTATTCGTGGTGTCAGTTGGCTAACTAATGCTCTTGGCTGGTACAAAAGACCGCAGTGTTGAAATCTCCGCTGTAAAGGAGATCGAGGGCTGGGTTGGATTCAGCTTCGCGGGCCGTGGCGGCATATATAGTCCCATGAAATATAGTTGGCATCATTTCAGCGGCGTTGACTGGGATGAAGCTCGGAAGAAAAATGCGATATACAAAGTCGCTAGCAAAAGATGGTCTGATGACGTGGCGCACGAGAAGGGAAACTATGACTATCTTATGTTCGCCGACCTAGATTATTCCAACCTAGAAGTTCAGAAGGACGTTCTCCGATGGGGAGAATGGATAGGAAGCCAGTTATCTCTCTGCGGCATGAGGTTAGATGCAAGCAAACACTACTCAGCTGATTTCCAGAAGAAGTTTGTCAATCACGTTCGAGCAACCGTCGGGCCGCAGTTTTCCTTCGTTGCAGAGTACTGGAGCGGCGATGCCAGGGTTCTTATGCATTATCTGCAGAAAATGGACCATCAGCTGTCTCTGTTTGATGCTCCCTTGGTGGGGCGCTTCTCGAGGTTCTCGCGCACGGGGGGAGCAGATCTTCGCAAGATTTTCAATGATACGCTTGTAGAGACCAAGCCAGCACACGCAATTGTAAGACCCCTCTGGTTTTATCCTTCGTTTACACTATGCTTACCGCATGAGTTAGACACTAGTTATGAATCATGATACGGTAAGGGAGAGACCTGTCGTGGACCAGCATCCATGGAGATGTTAATAGATCATCCTACAGCAACCAGGACAGTCCCTAGAGGTAGGACACATGGCCCTTTTTGATCCTGAAAACAACTAATAAGCTACCCAGGCTCCGATTGCATCATTCTTCACGCCCCTCGCCTATGCTTTGATTCTACTCCGAGACAAGGGACAACCATGTATATTTTATGGAGATCTCTACGGTATCAGATGCGGTGTCAAAAATCCCATGACTCCATCCTGTGGTGGAAAGCTTCCAGTTCTTGCACGTGCTCGCAAGCTTTACGCTTACGGCGAACAATGCGACTATTTTGATCAGGCCAATTGCATCGGTGTGCATCCCTAGCAGTATTCGAGGTGCTTGGTCATTACCGCCTAACAAATAGTAGGATTCGTCCGTTATGGCAATTTGTATCACCCGTCTGGTCTAGCGTGCATCATGAGCAACGCGGGTGCGTCTCAGAAACGTATGTACGTCGGGCGGAACCATGCCAAGGAACAATGGACAGACATTTTGGGGTGGCATCCAAGGACAGTTATCATTGATAAGAAAGGTTACGGGATATTTCCTGTTTATGAAATGCAGGTTAGTGTCTGGGTCAACTCGGCCGCAGAAGGGAGAGAAAGTCTTCAGGAACCTTTGTGAGCGCCATTTCATCCGTTCCCTCATATGTTTTCTCAACATAGGTTTCTTTGAGCTAATCTATCGATAGTGAGGGAGGGATTTACGAGGATTGACCGGCCTGTCTGTCTCATACAGATATCTGACAAGGCGTATTTGACCTATTATCCGGCGGCGTTACCATTTCCTTCCACTCAATAGCTTGAGCTTGATCTATCAAAATTCTATATACTAAGAGTTTTCGAATACCCATCTAGTGGTTGAAACGGGCACTTTAAGTGTATATCGATTATGGTTATTAGGCTAGTTTCTAACTTGAAAAAAACGTTGATCGCTAGCTTCTTACAGATATCACAAAGGTTTCCATCTTTTTCCCCACCTTGTTTCTAGGGTTATCACCGACTACTATGAGCACTGTTATGCTTTGCTTATATCAAGAATTGCCACGGTGTACAAATCATTACCCTTGTTTTATATAATTTTAGCTGAACTAGCGTGATAACCTGAACGCAGAATAGTGGATGATAGATCCAATTTTACGCGTACAGCTTACGATTCCACACAACATCCCCATCATCTTCCTGTGCCCCAAACAAGATTCCCTGTTGTCTCAAATTCAAAGACGGAATTCTAGCAGGTTCTACAAGCGGAAATATCCGCAGTACCTTGTTATTTAACTTCTTTTGTGCAATGATTTCAAACCTCTTCTGGTGTCCGTTTACATTGGCAAATTCAGGGAGGTTGGCCATTACAAGCTTCCTGGTAAGTAGATATGCTCCACTATTTAAGTCAGGAGTTATCGGTTTGTTATTCGGGAATGCTTGTCATGACGTGGCTCTGTCCACCAGATTGTCTCCAAAGAAGCTACTACTCGCGCACAAGAACCCTTCAACTGCAATGATCCAAGTGTCGGATCATGCATGATATAGGTCTCGAAGATGAAGAGCCAGACATTCTCAGTTCAGTGTGGGAGCTTTCCCAAAGGGCAAGCTCGATATTCTTTCTCTTCGGCGTTCTGTCCGTTGTGACGGATCTGCTTCCGAAGGGAAAGATGTCGATGCAAGGGATTGGCGAAGTTTAACGGTAGGGGCTCCACGCAAACTAACAACCTTGGCAACTGTTCCTAAACATTCTCAAGTTCGGCTAAATCTATATGGCTTGTGTCATCATGTGAAACAAGGTATTCAGATACCACTTCAAGGTTCAAGTCACCGCAACTCGGATTGCCTGTCCGGACTATGGGTGCCATAGACAAGCTTTTCTGAGTTAAGCTTGAGTTCAGTAAAGGAGCTTTGTTAATGATGATCCGTTCTTGCCATGACGAACCGCAACTCTAAGGTCTTGGTAGGGCTTAGGGTGAATCACTTGGAACACGCCGATCTGCCTACTAGTTCCAAGCGCAACAAAAGGACTGAATCATGCCTTGCCTCATATGCTCTGCTCCGGTCCAGTTACTGCACGGCCGTTGATCCGAGAATGATGGAGCGCTCTTCCTTGGTGGGGGGATCAACATGTTTACACATATCCACATATTCATCGAGTAGATCATGATCCACTTCGCCTCTCTGTGCTAATAGAGGGTATCACAGGGGTATATTTGGAATAGTTGAGATTGACATAGATGACGACTCCTGTCTGTTATTTCTGGCCTCCTTTGGGATCAATGGCTACGGTAGCCGTTATTTATTAAGACATGAGTTCTCAAAGCTCCTTGGCGTCCTGGTACGGTGTAAGATCCATAGGTTAGTCGACGGTCACTATATAAAATATGCCTAACTCCTCACTTTCAGCGAAATCATGCCATACAAGAGAGACAATAAACGGTTTGTTTCCGAAAGTTCATCAGATCCTACGCTTGAGCTAACATGTTAACTAGAGGAAGCGATCACCTCATCAGAAAAACCATATAGCTTGTCTAGTAACGATCAAGCCAATGACTCTCATTCCTCCGACAGTCAATCAAGCACATCTTCTCGTTGGAGCTGCTGTCATATGGAATCGAAAACCGTGGTGGCCTTTGAGCCACACGATCCAGATCACCCTAATAATTGGTCAAAGGTACAGTAGAACTGTCCGAAATCAAGAGCTTCCTACAGCATAATATCTCCATACTAATGGACTAGTTTTGGAAAATATTTGTGCTTGTTACTGGTGCAAATGAGGTCATGAATAGCACTGTCGGTTCCTCGGTCACAGGCGGAGCCACAAAAGCAATCGCCCAGGAATTTAGCGTGACAAATCAGCAGATCCTCGTCTTACCGATTTCTGTATTCCTCGTCGGCTATATTCTAGGGCCTCTGTTATGGGGCCCTTTTTCGGAGGCTAAGGGACGAAGGTATCCGTTATTGATAGCTTTCTTGTTATATACCGTCTTCATGATGGCATCTGCCCTGGCAAAGTCGTACCCATCTTTGCTTACCCTCAGGTTGCTCGATGGAATGGCTGCTTCTGCGCCCATCGCTATCGTTGGCGGCATCTATGCCGATATAGAGGCAGACCCTACGGCTCGTGGTCGACTCATGGCGTATTACATGACGGTAAATACCCTATCTTCAGTACCTAGTACTGTTGGTAGTATTTGTTGGGATATTAACCAACCTTCATAGGCTACAACTATTGGACCCGTCCTCGGGCCTCTAGCGTCAGGTTTCCTCGTGAGTTACGGCTGGAGATCATGTTTTTGGTTTGGTCTCGCGTATGCAGCCATTAGTCTACCTATGGCTTTCGTGATGCCTGAAACATACGCGCCTATAATCCTTCAACAAAGAGCTAAGAGATTACGGAAGGAGACGGGTAATTCAGATATAGTATCGCCGTTGGATCTCGGTAGTCGAGATCTTAAACGAACACTCATTATCCATTTGGCACGGCCGTTGCGAATGTTGTTCTACGAGCCCATCATATCTTGTTCCTGTTTATACCTCGCCCTTACCTACGCAATATTTTATCTCTACTTTCAGGCCTATCCATTGGTTTTCCAGGGTTAGTGACACTTCCGCCTGTTTCCCATCCTGCTTCATGGCGACCATTCCCAGACAGATTCTCCCAGCTACAACTCACTAACCTGGAAATGAATGCAGATATCTACGGAATGGACCCAGCTAAATCTGGACTTTGCTTCCTCCCAAGTGAGTGTCATGAAGCCTGAGATCCCGAGAACAGTACTGATTTCCCAGTGCAGTCGGCGTCGGCGCTGTAGGTGCTTGCGTGATATTCATCTGGTACGACAAGTTTTTATCCCGCGCAAAAGCCCGGAATGTGAAATGGGCCCATATTGAAGAATACCGTCGTCTTCCTCTTGCTTGCCTCGGAGGGCCATTATACGTTGTAGCTATCTTCTTCATGGGCTGGACAGCTTTTCCCAGCGTTCACTGGTCGATTCCTGCATTATCGGGGATTCCGTTCGGGGCGGGATACCTGTTGAATTTTATGGCCATGGCCAACTATATGGCCGACGCGTACGAAACCTACTCTGCTAGCGCTATGTCCGCATCTGCTTGTACGCGGAGTATTTTGGGGGCTATGTTGCCTTTAGCGACCAAGCCAATGTTCGATCGCCTTGGGGTAAATTGGGCATACACTCTTGTTGGCTTTTTGAGCCTTGGAGTCACCGTGATTCCATTTGTCTTCATTCGTTATGGAGCTCGGATCCGAGAGAGCAGCAAGTTCTGTCAAGAGCTCAAGCGGTTAAAGGAGACCGATGCTCAGGGACCACCAACGGATCGAAGCGTGGGAAGGTCGGGTGAGGTTTCCACGATTCATGTCGAGCCCAAGGACCTGGAGAATCAGAGCGATCGGTTGTAGCTACGCTCGTCTGACTTCGAGCGACACCCAAGTTGATGTTGTATAAAAGAAACAAAACCAATTGATCAAATTCGAGAAATTCATCTTAATTCTTTTTCTTACTCTTCTGTTTTTCCTTCCAAATCCCCCATGGTCATGAGAATTCTGGTATGTATGTGAATAGGTAGTATCTCCAGATTAGATCTTCTCTTGCACGGATTGGGGAAGTGGCTGTGATATGGAACTTACATGCTCCTTGCTCATCCTTAGTCTCGGGATGAGTGGGGAAATTTGGATTGGAGAGGGGAACTGTGGCATTCCTTCGCGATGTCGACAAAGTTAGTTACTATTTTTGTCTGCTTATCAATGTCCAAATGTTGGCTTTCGCACTGCAGGCTGATGTACCTGTGGCTGAGCAGTGCAGATTTACGAACTTCTCGCTTGCAAGTGAGATTTTCAGATGCAAAGAATCGCAACTTAAGTGGAGAGAGCCAATCACCCCTGTTACTTGCAGATTCAAGGGCCAATCCCAGAGCACGGGCGCGGATGATTTACAATCTAAACGGAGACCGTTTGTTTTCTTGCAGCTTCATTTAATCCCCCTGCCTCTCTCTTTTTTCCTTTCTTTTTTCTTCTTCTCTCCCTTCTTCTTCTCCGATATCGTACGCTTAAACTGTCCTATCTACCACTTACCCTCTTGATATTCTGGTTGCTGTCCTTCGTTTATCAGCATTCTGCCTTTCCCTTGCGGCTTTAATCTCCCTCAATCGGTCGTTCTAATATTGTGATATATTCTTGACTTACATTAATACCATTGATTATTGCTACCAGCAGGACACCTCTGTTATCTATATCCTATATGAGCTATTGGTCTCTTCCAGGACCTGTATAGTATTACTAGAACATATCTCGTATATTTCGCAAGAGACGAAACATGGATTCGCCTCAATATCAGGAGCTTGGACTTGTGTCTCAGGAGCAACAGCCGACCGATCACGAAAACGTGCGAGCGACTTGGAAATTCCTGGCGGGCTTATCGTCGAACTTGATGCTGGTGGGGTATGTTTTCTTCTGCCCTCCTCTGTATTCACGATCTGATGACTGAGATGCCATCGCAAAGGTTTCTCGTCATGCCTCTAGCATTTGAAGACGCCAAGGATGATTCTCGTGGAGACAAGACAGGCACAGCTGTAGCAGCATTGGCATTAATCGGAAATGCATACCTTCTGTCGCTCATCTTAATCGGCGCCCAGTATCGTAAGCGTACATACTTGATTCATTCTGTCTTCCTGTAAATGCCCGACGTGTTTTTCCCCTTCTTGGATTGCAATCTCACCACCACGCAGACCTTGTCTATTCTCCAACCTCCTCGGGCTGTTGAATGTCGTTCTTCATATTTTCTGTCGAAAGTTACTCCCCATCGGCCGATTGGCAACAGTGGGCATGGTTCTTGCCTCTATATTCGCAGTCGTCTACGCGTTATGCGCATTATGGGCATATGGAAGAGGCATCGCCGATGATACTCGAGTCGACGAGTCCGACCGTACAATGATCCCTTTGACGGAAGAGGAGATGCAGCGACAACAGCTCCTCCGGCTTCTCCAAGAAAATCAAGATAAAAAGCGATCGAGCTCCAAGGTTATGCAAAAGACTTTCAGGGTTAAAGTTCCGGAACACATCAATCCCGGGAAAGGATGGGATTCTTTCATGCCTCCTCCTCGCGAGAACAATTATTATAGCTGAGTTGGTCAACCTACGTGCATATAAATGAAGCGAGGTGATGGGGTAATATACTCCGAAATATCCAGGCTCTTCCTTGACTGGTCAGCGGATCGTGTTCATCACTACCAAGCGCATACCAGGTTTCACATCTCCAGTCTCTGATCGTCTAAGGATAAGAGACTAACTAAGTATGACTTACACGATACTTCACACCAATGTAGGCATGCAGTGCAGCACACCGTATCCGACAAGACAGAGTTCGAAAAATCTACGGGGGCTGTGAATGTGTTGGGAAGACGAAGGCCAACCAATAACGTTGATGCTGATCTACCGAGGATCTTTCTATAATCTGATACCTTCTTTCGACCCTGATCCAGACATCACATGCTTTCTGCAGTCGTGCTTACAGCAATACAGAAACTCTGTATGTCTACTCTATTCCCTAGATTAAAAAGAAGTCAGTGCTCTGTGAAGCGAGTCTTCTCGATCGTGTAGACGAGGGTATGAGAAAAGAATAGAAGAAAAGAGAAGAACAAGACTGGGTGGGTTGGGAGCAACCAAGTTGTTGGTTCACTGGTAGTTCTTCATAGCTTAGAATGCCGACGGAGATTCGGCACGCAACCATGGAAGTTGAAACAGGAACGCCTCGGTAGTTACCCGATTAGGAATCTCCTGCCCGCGTCATCCACGGAGTCAAGAGTCCTCCCTCCACCTTTTTCCCACTCCCCCATGAATTCAATACATTGCCTCCATCGTTATTCACTGTTCATCTGATCTCCTTCTGTAGAACTATCCGGTTATCATCTAAACCCAGTCATGGCGAAAAGGGTGACTCTCTTTGAACCTCCCCCGCTAGATTCTTCCAAAGCCCCCATCGAAAATGTCTTGGAGTTAACGCCTGTGATAGATATTGGTCCGGTACGTTTGTCCAAATCCACACCACCTACCTTGCTCTGTCTCTAACCATTCTATTCCTATCGACAGGATGTCTTTACCAATACTCGTCCTCTCTGGCACCCACCTGGCGCGCGGGGCATCTACGGTGGTGCGGCAATCGCCCAGTCACTCGCCGCGGCGATGCGGACGGTTCCGTCGGATTTCGCCGTCCACAGCATGCACTGCTATTTCGTCCTCGCAGGCGATTCCGAGATCCCCATTCTATACCATGTCGAGCGAGTGCGCGATGGTAGGAGCTTCATCACGCGCACTGTTCAAGCCAGGCAACGCGGTCGACCGATTTTCACCACCACCTTGAGTTTCAGCAGGGCCAACAGTGGTGGGAAGAAGAAGCTGGAGCATGCGAAGTCAATGCCTGTTGTCACGCTGCCAGACGATTCTTCTGCGGATGCACAGAGGAAGCTTTATAACGTTGGAGGCGGGCCATTCGAGTCGCACAAACTCGGGACTGTGAACCGTAAGCATGATGACCTGCGTGCTATGCTACGAGCGGGATGAAGTTCCAGTCATGCTAACGGGCCCAGGGGATTCGTCAAAGCCGGAGGAGAAGCGAATCCGGCGCTGCATGCGCGCACGAGGAAACATCTCCGAGGCCGGCGGCCACCACGCCCATCTTTCCGCCCTCGCCTATGTGACCGATAGTTATTTTGTCGGAACTGTATCGCGCGTCCATGACATCCCTCGATTTGCCTCCCCCGCCGAACTCAAGGCAGCCCTAAACGCACTCAAGAACCCATCCGACTTAGATGATGACGAAATCTCACGAGCGTTTAAGGAGTTGAAGGACGAAGAAGCCGCTGAATTGCGCCGTCGGTTGGAGGGCGCCCTCAGCAAAGCCGAGGACCCGAAGAACAAACACAACCATAAAGAGGTCGGCATGATGGTCAGTCTTGATCATTCGATTTACTTCCACAATCCTTGGGCGTTTCGCGCAGACGAGTGGATGGTCACGGAGATGGAGAGCCCTTGGGCTGGCGAGGGGAGGGGTTTGGTCCTCCAGAATATCTGGTCTAAAGATGGAACATTAATCGCCACCTGCACGCAAGAGGTATGCTCCCTATCATTCGTTTGTTGATTCCCGGTCTGTTGTCGAATGCGATTCACTAATGCATGGTCGGTATAGGGTGTTGTAAGGTTAAAACAAGATGAGCCTCCTCGGTCAAAGATATAGACCGCTGCACTGTATTGAACAACACCAAATACCCTTTCATCTTGTTGGCGATATATATTTCTGAACTAGACTTTTCCGTTTGCTTTTTGGTTATAATACATTATTGCATAGACATTCATCACATATATCCTTTCGGGTGCTTCCTGTCCCCCAGTCTACATTTGTATACATCATTCTTTGTACATACGTTTGAGTTGATCACTTCGGCTTATCTTTGAGGTGTTGAAATCGATCTTCTTGCATATATATCTTGCAGGTATAGCATACATGGATTGAACAATTCTCGTCTGCCCATCATGAAATCACGGTGGCAAATGGAAGAAGAGAAGAGAAAAGGAAAAGAAAAAACGAAGCAACCATGACAGCATTTGATGCAAAAAAAAAAAAGAAAAGAAAAGAAAAGAAAATGAGAACGCTTTCGCAAAAAAAAAGATCAGAGTGCCACCCACCCGTTTTAGCCCAAAACAATGCCCCCGATGCAAGAAAAGGAAAAGAATAGTGCTACAAGTGTCGTGACCCTCCCAATTACACCTCCATCATTCCTACCTCTTCCTTCAGCTTCTCTTCCTCTCGGCTTCGCTTCTCACAGAACTCCAACGCCTTGGCCCCCCAAACCTCCCTTCCTTTGTATTCGCCGACATAGTCCGGCCAACTTTTGATTTCTTTGGCCAGATTTCGCAGTTCCTGCATTGGAAGTTCATTCAAGGTGGTAAGGAACGTCTTGACGCCGAAAACAAGTGTTCCAGTCCGAGGCAGTCTACGGAAGGTCTGTCGTTCACGGCGGATGACGATATCCTCAGGGGATGGGTTGGGGTTGTCCTCAAACAATGTCGTAGGACGATAAAGGGTCTCAAACAAGTCTTCATCAGAGCGCTTCACTTCAACAAAATAGTTTGACCGTTCCATTGGTGAAGATGGCGTAAGGCGGTTCAAGAACCTAATTGGAAGTCAGCTTCCCATCTTCTTTATAGAGCATCATATCCACTCACTTGCTAACAGAAGCGGCGACTTGCTGATGCCACAGAGGCACGGGTTCATGAAGCCGCGAGATTGTCCATCCAATTCGTTCCTGAACAGTCCATCCCACCGGAAAGAGGCTTGCACTGGCGGCCCTGCCTTGTTGGTCAGCTGTCGTTACCCTGAAAGTAGGCCAAGGAGGGTATCTTCAAACTAACAAGTAGTACTCGTCGTCCGCATTCTTCATTAAGATGCTTAGGTCTTCCATGGTCAGTCTCACCGCTATCTCAAGCGGATCGACCTGCTTGTTTTGACCCCCAAAAACGAACGTTTCGCCGGTCACCTTGCTGTGAACGGTCGACTCGTCGCCGGACCTCTTATGTTCGAATTTGTCTGGAAACCGCTGACACAGGAAATCAACCACCTCCTCCAACGCTTCAAGGCATGCTTCATATGACTCTGGGAGGCATTGTAGGACCTTTTGCTTTTCTTGTTGCAGCAATTGACTCCGGACCTGATGCTCCGCCATGTAGTTCTTGTCGATGGTAAGCCAGTTTTGGGCATCCAGTTTCCGGATATCCATCATAACTCTATATCGCTCCCTCCCTTTGATGGGAGGGGGCTTAAGATCCTCGCAACTAACATCTTGTGGACGGTGTTTGGGCTGAAGCCAAGGAAAATAATTTCGGAATCTAACAGCAATGAAGGACAGAAAAAGAAATAAAAATCCAATGCATGAAAGGGTATTCATCGCCTTTTTTACCCGGAATCCAATCAATATAAGAAAAGGAAAGAAAAAGGAAAAAAGAAAGAAAGGATGATGTTAAGGAACTTTTGGTTGTCTCTCACTCATCGAACGCCACGACCAGGAATCACTGTTAACGTCAACATGGCAAAACCTTCTTCGGAAGAGGGCAATGGCTGGAAATTTATCTCGTCCATGGACCCTAAGAAACGATGATCGTCTGGGTCAGACGATTACCTACAAAGGCTACAATGGCTTCTACATTCCTGATTCAGGCAGCTGGGTCGAACTCTGATACGTCCTGGACTTCCCCGCAAAAAGCCGCAATTCGCCGCTCCAAAAAAAAAAAAAAAAAAAAAGAAAAGAGAAAAAAGAACTGACAGCATCCACATGATCTAGTAGACTTTCTCAGCTATCATAGCAATTGAGCTTCAGTGGGTCCTGGGACGGGGGTGGATGAGAAAGTCAGGGTAAGTGAACTCTAAGTGGATCAGGGAAGGGCCAGGCAAATGGACTCAATGTACGGAGTACAGCGCCTCAAGATCCGCAGCTGGGGCACTACTCGGAGTCCTTGAATCGGCCGTACAATTGCATTACCAGGATGCTCCCCTCCTTGAACTAAGTACGAACTGACTAGCTTCATGGCCCGTCCGATCGAAAGGGCTGAGGGTATCTCTGCTCTTCGTCAGCCGGAGTTCACGCGTCTACCGTCCGTGCGCATAAGAATGAAAGGCCTCGTGAGCTAAACCAAGAGCCTGACTTAGGGACTGTCTCTACTGCCTAACAGTTCCTGCAGTTCCGCTCCAGCAACACTCGACTTGATTTCCGAAAGGCAGATGCAGAATGCCAATAATGGCATCATGACATCAACCTGGGATTACAAAAAGTAATTAGAAATAGCGCAGGGTGGCACGTTTGCGTGGTGACTGGCCTGGTATTGCAGAAACCCATACATCGTGCTAACCAAGCGCACTTGTACGACAGAATGAATATTGCCTGGGAGCTTCTGGGGCACAGCGCATGCGTCGATGCGTGGGCCGAGTCCCAATTTGGTGGTTGATGGTCACACAGTTCTAGAGCGCCTGTTGTCATAGGTCACCGGGCTGTGGATGGAATCCAGTCCAGGTACCACTGTACATCATGTTCACTGACGTGCTGGCATGCTAGTCATTCGGAGTACTACGACTGGTCCATCTTCTCTGGGCGACCGTGGCACTACCCTCGAGACTAGGATCAGAAGAGAAGGTACGGGGCCGACACTGACGTACCATGAGGGACAAGTCCTTACAGTCTTTCGGTCCCCGCGAAGCTATAGGAAGACTAAACATGCTAGGGTGGTGCACTGTAGGTACGCCCCAGCCAGTGGGGAACCTCAACTAACTACTTATCTACTTCGGTACGAATGTATGCACATCCATACTATGGAAGTGCGCACTTACTCACTTGACGATCCACCACCAAGGGCCCAGAATTCGGGTTTCTAAGACAGTCGGTTTGGTTGGGCGACTCCACCCTCCCCGAAACTGAAGATATCTGGGGTTTTGCGCTGCAACCGCCTTATCTCGCGCAAAGCGCGCTTGCCGCAATCCTGCTTGGTTTTTAGTAAGAATCAACAATCAATGGTGTACTAGCCAGCCCCCTAGTATAGCGGTGTCTCATCCAAGAATGCGCTTTTTTTTCCTGCTGCCCACTTCCCATTTTGACAATGTAGGTGGCCTTTTCTCCCCTCGCATTTTACTTTGATTTTTGCTTTTTCCTGCATCTTTCCTTTTTCTGGCATGATCGGACGAGATTTTACGCCTCATTTGCTGTCCCTTTCTTCCCTACTTTTTCTACCTTTTTTCTTTTTTTTCCTCTTTCCCTATATTTTATCCTTTTTTTTTTAACCTTTCACACCCTCGCTCACAACGTATTCACACAGACTAGTATCCAAACCCTCCGATTGAACTACGTCTGACTAATGACGTCGATATAATTGCTTTTCTCGGGCTCCCAACCTGCAATCAATGACCAGAGCAGCTACGACACGACCTAAGACTTACTTATGAGCCCCTCTTACCTAGTCTGACTGTACTGAGCCCATAAAAGCAGAGATACCAAGGCTAAATAGTGGTCTTACCCACCGTGCACGAAAGCATCACTCTTAACTAGCAATGATCCACTCGTCAATGGGGCATTCGCAACCCACTGACCAAACGGCTTTCCTCCATTATAAATGATGGACTTGTCTAGACAGGCCTGGTAAACTCAGTCGAGACCCTTCTCCTCGAGTCTCCTCGGCGATATCCTGTCTAATAGGAGGAATCTACTGGGGCCGATAGTGGGACACCTACTCGTGCTAACCTTCTCCAGTATCAAGGGACTGGGGCTGTGGGCACGGACTTCGCTTCAAGGCCATTGTCAAGGCCTCCTGTGGCTCCCAAATTCTCCCTAGAATGGGGCCTCTCGGCGGATATCCTCCATTTGGCTTCAGAACTGGGCCCATTAACGTAACTATGATTTTCGGAAGAATTGTCCACTCAATCGAGCATCTCACACAGTGAAAGTAGAATTCAACATTTCGCTATTACCGCTAAATGAAGTGCACACCATCTAAAGCCATGAATCGATGCATTATGTCCTCTGTACTGACAACAAAGTACTCCGTATTCAACCACACACCTACCTATTCTGGAAAGCCACAGGAGAAACATCTCGAGATCTACCACCCATATAGAGATTTTACCTAGCTGCCTGATATATCTATCCCCGTCGTAAACCAGAATCCCACACCACTAGAGCAGGATAACATGAATCGAACCAAAACACAAGTACATACATGAATCATGCAATCTAGTAACGAATCCTTCTCTCCACTACCTCCACCCCAAGTAGCCAAGTCAACTAAGTTACCCTCTAAAGGTAGATCCTAATAAGTGAAACCATTGCAGATTCCCGCCGAATACTAAACAAATAGCGTATCAGTTCCTCAAGACACACTCTATTACCTAAGTGTGCGAGACAATCTCCTCTTCGATGGAAGTTTACCTATAGGAGAGACTGGAACAGAACCCACCCGCTCACCTATATTCCATTTCCTTCCGTTGATCACCTGAAGGGTAGTTATTCCGTCTTCTTTATAGCATCAAGTAGGGTTTAAGCTTATGTTTGCTCTATCCTTGTCTTACGGATTTGAGTTATATTTTTTTTCTACTTCCCTGAGTTGACGTTGGATTGGAGATGTATATTGATTCTTATTTACCCTCCTTTTGCCACGTTCTTACAGGGGAAACATCCAGAAGGGAAACGTGGGGTTAGTTATTGGGCTGGCTGATGATTTTGTTCTTTATGTTTGCTTGAAAGGTATGTCCAGGTGATGGGTTGTGATTCTCTTGGTTACGTATCGCTTGTCTTTGACTTGATGGGTGGCGAGGGAAGGTGTGCTTTGCTATGTATTGATTAGATTGTACTGATTGACTAGTGCTATGCTCCCGGATGGGTGATGAGATGATGAGGTAAGGTGTATGGTAAAGGACGGGCATTCGTCGTGAGTATTTTTCTTTTCTCATTAACTGAATTAATAAATCAACCAATCATCAAGGTGGGCTCATATAAAGGTATCCAGGAAACATCAAACATGAAGGAACATAAGGTAAGGATAAGAGGTAAACTCCATGATGGACCTCTGGGCAACATTGCCCAGTGGCTTCGAAGGGGAATAGATGAGAAAGATGGTATAAACGCCCGCCCTGTGCAGTTGCCGGTCAACCGAGTCCGTCGGTTGGCCTTGAGTTTTTTTTTATAATACCGATAACAGAGTGAATGTGCCCGATTTACCGGAATTTGGCTCGGCATCGGCCCATAACCTCGCCTTGGCAGACGAGCTCGGCGCTGAATTCACTGCCGTCCAGCGTGAGGTAGATGTCAAAGTATACACGGTAGAAGACTCCCTGAGGGGTATCCATGCGCTCAAAATCGGTTTCCAGGTTCTTGCGCGATAGATCCGATGTAAGTGTTACGACCTCCTTGATCCCTGGTACACAGTTAGTAGAGCGTCGTAAGGAACGGCAGGATGTGTAACTTACGGGGGTCTTTCGTGTATTCAGGGCAGACATCCTCGTCACAGGCGTACAGAATATCCTCATACATCAGGGTTGCTCCCGGCGCAACCTGTCGGAAAAAGCTAACCTTGACCGGCTCCCCGATCTTCACTCTCTCACCCTTCTGCACAAAGATCTGTCGCGTGTACTTGCAGCGATCTCTGCCGTCAAGGCTGGGGACACGATATTGTTCCGGGTGATATCCTTCTTTGAACGGCTGCAATGTGGCCATGAGGTAGTGTCGACGGGCCACACGGTGTGTAATCACACGTTCCGTGATCCCAGCAGTGACAGCGCCCTTAACGATCGCAGCGACCGAATCCATTGGACGGACCACCTTTGATTGATATTGAGGCGGTACATGGAGTTTGATCTGTTGGAAGAGATACTCCGATGCGCCGAATCCACCCACCACAAGAACGTTCTACAATGCTGATTAGTCAAAGGAAAAGCTAGACGAGTAACACTAAAGCATACCTGTAGAGACCGGTTCTGCGCTTGGATGGCGATAATCTGATTCCTGACCAATTCGAGAATACGGTTGACGACGGGCTCAAAACATTGAAGGATCTCTTCGTTGGTAAACGTCATGTAGCCCTCCTCGATGCCGGCATCTGGGAAGTCGGCCTCAATGCCGACATCTACGGCCCACTTCTGTCCGTTGTTTCGGAAATCGGCCTTGATTCGATTCTCGAAGTCCATAATACACTTTGCATACACCTTACCTGCCGTGCGGGAACCGTCAGGGAGCTTCATCTTACGTATTTTCGCACGAAGGATGTTGCTGAAGTTCCGATTGAGAGCCGTTGAGCCGCACGAGTCACCCGATCCAGCTGTGCATTCGGCAACACTGAACGGTTGTTCCTCCTCAACCTCGTAGGCGATCAAATCCACAGTTCCACCACCACAATCCACGATCAAGATCGCATCACCAACCTTCAAATTGAGCAACCCGGTCTTTGCACAGAACAGAGCGGCAGCCTCCGGCTCGGATATCAGCGTTAGGCGATTATCGTTCTCGTCCCGCAAGAACCCAGCTTGTAAAGCCGCCGCTCGTGTCGCTGCCTTGCCCGCATCATTCCAGATAGCTGGTACGGTGAGGTAATACCGGATGTTGCGCTCTTCCCGAGTAAACACCTCACCGAGGGTCTTCTGTAGCTGAGCGCGCATCGCCTGTCGTAGCTTGAAGAGGTAGTCGGCGGCCACGTCGATTTCCGACTTACCGGGCGGGAGGGGCGGCAGATTAATCGGATCGATGTAGGTGTTCCCGGACAGCATAAGCTGGAGCTTAAACCATTCGACCTTCTGCACTCCCTGCTTCGGATAGCCCGTGGGGGCCAGCGCATCTGCAATATCAGGGCCCCAACCCACCACTTTCTGGTACTGATCGTAGTATAGGACAGTGGGGATCTGTGTGAAATAGCTTGGTCAGACAGAAGTATTCTCCCTCAAGTGCGGTTTGGATTAATCACCTTCTGTTTAGTATGGGTTCCTGCTCCGGGCCATTCCGTGATGATGTCCTCTCTTGCTTCATTGTTGGTCGCAAAGGCAAACGCGACACCGGAGAATGTGGTGCCAAAGTCAATGCCGACAATCAGCTGAGCCTTACTCCGACCGGCACCTTCAACCTCAACCGCGGGATTCCGTACCCCATATTGGGGCTGGGGCATTCCCTGGCCCATTCCATGGGCGGCGACTGGCTGTTGCAAACCATACCCGGGAGGAGCACCCAAAGGCTGGACCGGCTGTTGCGTATAGTGCAAATTGGTGTTCAACGGTGCGGGGTGATGACTCAACTGCTGGCCTGGGGGCATCGGGCTGGTCGGCCGCTGGTATGTATAGCTGGGGGGTCGCCCCAGAGGGTTTTGATTGTTCATCGGGAGACTCGTCGTGGACGAACTATGGTGAGAAGGTGGGGAACTAGGAGAGGTGGCGCTCGAGGGCGGGGCGACGAGTGTATTGCTTGATGCGTTGGGTGGTGGTGGTTGTTGTTGTTGTTGAACTGGCGCAGGCTGGGCACTATGCTTGTTCCGCTTCGTTCCAAAAGTGAACGATTTAAACCGTGAGCTCATCAGGTCCAAATAAGTGACCACGATGGGGTCAACGGAGTATTAAAGAGACAAGGGAGGGGGGAGAGGGGGAGGGTGATGCAGAGCAGATATAAGACAAAAAAGGAAGAAGAGGAGAACGAGTGGAAGAAAAGGCACAAAAGTCAAAAGCGAGAGCGTAAGAAACGAGTGGGTGTATTTGGACAGAGAGGCTGTGCCAACTCTTTGCTTAGGCAGTCAGAAAAGCCTCTCCCGAGTTTACTGTTAGTTTGGGAGTGGGGATGGGGGGAAACACGGGAGGAACACGAGCAAAAGAGATCGTCCGGACAGAGAAAAATCACAGGATAAGGCAATTAATTGGTTCCCGGAGGGACGCATGGGCGTTTCGATGTGAAGTCCGTAGTAACGTAGGAAAACAATGGTGGTTGAAGAAGTAACAAAGAGACGAAGGGCAGCGAAAGGCTAGAAAGGTGCAAGTCACGGACCCCAAAGTCACTGGTTTAGAATGATCATCCGTCAAGATCAATCTCCCTGGAATGCGCACCCCTCGGTGGGATATCAATTCAGTATTTCTCCGACCTGGAAGAGTAGACTGATCTTGTTCATTCAGCCTTATTTGTTTCGAATGGCTGTATGTCTTTCTTTTCTTTTCCTTTTTTTTTTTTTTTCCGAAAACAAACGTGGCGATACCGTTTGTTGATTGATGATGCTTACCATGGATGATGGCACATCATCAAGTCATTCCTTCCGCCCCCAACTTCCTAATTTACACATTGCGGAGACAACCGCTGTGGTACGGTACCATACAGGTACATACCACTATACTTTCTCTTGTGTATGTCAGGCAAACGAACAGTATTTAATAGGGGTATGACAAGTCCCCAAGCATCAAGTTCCAAGTTATCTTTCTGCCATGTCCGATTCAAGATTAGCGGATTCCGCCAAGTTGTCCGTTCCGCTGTTGACATATCTGTCGCTCATTTGACAATACTATATATATATCTACAGAAGCTTCTCCAAACCATAATACCCCTAGGAAAGGAGGTTATCCTCCAAATTTCCCCAATCCCTCATGCTCTAACTAATTCATTTTCAATTTTCTCCTTATATTATCTCCCTCTTGAATGAACCCTCAGTCTACAGTAACCTTGAAAAATCAGAATGATGCTAAAAAAAGGAAAACCGGCGATGTGCCTGAGGCGAGCCATGGTACGGAAGGATTGACGCCCAAGCAGGGACAGCCTTATGATTACAGCCACGCTGCTCAGCCTGCTGTTGGTCCCACGTTTTCTTTGTCTGGCTGCGGCTGAATGTTGTATCGTCGATCCCTCGCCATGTACCGTACCGTTTCATACAAACTCTAAAGCTTTACGCACCGACCAATAATCAGCAGCCTTGACATTCAGGCAACGAGGCGGACTGTTCATGGATCTAAATATGGATAAGTTTCTCTGCCTGTACTATTCTAAGTTCCATTATGGATTCTTCTTCCGTGCCACCCACTTGGATGGCTTGTAGAGTGGCTGGAGCATACTCTGAGGATCCTGAATATAGCCACACATCGGCCGATCTTCCACTTCCTGCCGCTTCTCAATGGTAAAGCCCATGCGCTCCACAAGGCAAAAGACTTCTTCCTCTGTCAGCTCCACATTACCAGGTTCCCCAATCCCCTGGTGCTCATTGTGGTCTCCTTCCCGCTGGCTACGGTTGCTGCCGTCCTCGAAATGCCATAACAATGGGCCGATATTGACCCACACCCCATTGGGTTTCAGGCAGTGTCCGATCGTCTCGATGTACCGAATGAGATTGGGGGCTGTGTCGATGAAGAAGACCGTGGCCACCGCATCGTATGCTTCTTTATTGGACGGGTTGCTGTAGAGCACCACGAAGTCGGCTGCGGACATCCCCATCGATCCAAAGGGTGTCTGGTTCGCCTGCGCCTCAACCATGGCTACTCCAGGGTGCGTATCTGGGATCATCACCTTCTGCAGCTGTTGCTCTCTGGATAGGAGATTTGAGAAGTGTAGTGCAAACGGATGCAGCGCATGGTGCTGGGGCCCAGACGTATGGTTCAAGACCCAGCTGCTGGCAAGCAACTGGTGGTATGAAATTTCGTTGCCCTCGGCAGCAAACCCAGCCTGGCAGACTTCAAAGACCAATCTCCCCAAGCCAGCTCCAGGGACTAGCACCTTGATTTCCTCCCCGGAGGCAAGTCTCTCGCCGAACTCATCTCGCAGTTCGCGCACAGCTGGTTCCACGCAGACTTCTCTCTCCGCTTTGCCCTCGGAGCTCCAGTCGCGATAGAATTGCCTGATAGTTGAGTGGGCTTTGTTAACGTCTGAAGAAGTCGCCGTGTTATGCCAATTCTGGCGCGGGTCCTCTGGATCGGGGTTCGCCGGTAGCCCAAACGAGGAAAGCCCCGTGGAGAGGATGGCGTCTGCGATATCGGCATTCACATCAATGGCATCATCTACCCGGTTGAAATTATCCAAAATCGAGAATGGTGGCTCCGCAAGCATTTGCCAGTGAGCAGATGGCAAAGCATAGAACGCCTGGCGCCGGCGATGCGTAGTGTTCATGTGAGCAGTTCTTCGATATTGCCTAGCAGAAGTTCAGTCACATAATTTAAGAACAGTCAATCCGATGTAGTCTCGAGACGCCAAAACTGGCACTGAGAGAAAATAGACCAAAAGAGAATATATTGGAGCTCCAAAGCAACGAAATATCCTTCATCTTTTGTCTCACGCCTCATCTCCTCTCTGTTACATTTCCACATATGGACAGCAATACAATCGAACTACCAACAAGCACAAGTCCATACCTAAAAGAGTCCAACGCAGCAAAGAGAACTCGTCGTTCGTCGGGGTCAGCCAACGGGTCGAAATCCCCTGCCCAACTGCGAACCTCTTCATCATCCTGGTGCTGCGAATCAGAAGGCATGCTGCTTTAACTGGAACCGTCGTGATAACCAAGAAGTACTCTATACAGCTGTGATATGTCCAACACCAAAAGAAACAGTCACCTCCAATGGATATGGGAGGCAGAGAAAAGAAGTATAACTCAGCGTTGATTTTAATATTATGGAGGAACAAAGAATGTGAGGATCTGAGATGGTAGCCAAAGCTCAAAAGAGTGAATAGTGGACCCGCTCTGTTTGGCGGGGAACCAAGAGCGGTACCTCAAACGTCTCACTCATCAATCAATATCAACATTAACAACCACATCGAAACAGAACATCTCGGAAGGAAAAGACTTAGTATATTGCACTCAGCAAATCGAAAATAGATATCTCGCAAAATAATCCATCCTCCAAACATGGCGACAGCAGCGGAAGCACCCATACCGCCTCAAGTCGAAAACGTGACGCCACATGCCAAACCTCAAGAGTTATCATTTCCCCTTCCAAAGGCATTGCATACGACCGCACACGTCCATCTCACATTCTTGGACACATGCGCAACGGTATTCCTGGCGACATCGACACCGGGTGACTCGGCGGGCTCCGTGAAATCGATGGGGAGCTTCGTTTACGCTATGCCGGATGTGAGTGCTTTTTTCTTCTTGCATTAATTTTGTGTCGGACTTTTACATAGTTGGGTTGGCGGTGTGAGAGTATATCCATATAGACAGAAGACTATACGGAACATTGGAATACCATGTGTCCTCGAATGTTTATCCAAAATACGGGACTCTTTCTTCCATGTATACCATCTTTACACTTTTCACCACTCGCATCTTGCGCCACTACAAAAGCAACCATCGATCTTGAAACACCCTGCTCATCCAATCAAATTGAAACTCAGATACTCACACATACCAGCGCTCGAACCCTCGCAGCACTATATCCACAACGCTATATAGCATCCCTGGAAGTGTGGAATACACGACTCGGATCGCTAAGATCCTAGCTCGTCGTATGAGGATCCCAGTCTACGTGGGCTGCAGCATTGATCCGACAGCGCTCGGGCTATTGGTTGAGGAAGAGATGGAAGGGTTGACGAAGATAGTGGAGGTAATTATGCAGCGGTGGGAAGAATCCAGGAAATGAGAGAGTGAATAGATCATATGGTTGTGGGTGGTTGGTAGTATTGATGGAGTAAGGATATCGGTCTCTGGAGTCACCATTTGCCCTTTTTAGTCTTGATAATATCTTCTTTTAATAACTCCCTGGCTTTTTCCCTCGTTTTCATTTCAATGGTTTCATAAGTGGTGTTTTGGGTGTGGATGGATGGGGTCCAATTTGGGATGGAATTAATTTATGAGAATTCGTGTTAATCATTCTCGTTATCTAAGACGCTCAAAGTTGAGATTCCGGCTATAGGGAGGCACAGCCCCCTCAATAAACATCTATCTTTCATAGGTAGTCTAAGATTGGGCTAGTGATCGTAAGGTGCGTATTACTATTTGCAGCAACCGAGAATACGCATCTCGACCGAGAAAATTAGAACAGCAAATTAACATCCACCTAATCGGATCTTATTGAACCAAAAGGTGCCCCATAACGACTCTAGTACCTGGACTTGCGTATCTAGTCTCCGAGCATCCGAACAAGCATGATGCCGAGAAAAGAAACAGTAAAATTATAAACTAATAGAAACAATCGAGAGGGACAAAAAGGGAGAACGGAGAGGAGCAAACAAAAAGTAATCTCCATCCAAAGGAATCCATAATTAATTTACTTAGGGCTACCGATACTACTCTAATAACTTAGTGCATCTAAGCCACCAACTCCGGTTGGACGATTCCCCAAGCTTGCAGTTCAATGACAGATGTCGGACATCGGTCGACTCCGATGCAATTGCGCAATGTTGAAACATGTCCACTTCCTGGGTGGAGTTTGACCATGGTTTCAGAGGCCCCTTGTAGAAGGTGGTATTGGATGTATGGACATCATGCGAGCTAAATGCTGCGAGTTTCACCGGCTTTGTCTTCCAGTTGGTACACTGAGCACTCATTCAACCAGTCTACAATAATAAAGAACGGTTATATTCGGAATCGTTTCCGAGGCGGCGGATTTAGAATCCGTCTAAAGTAGTGGAGCGCCAGGTTCCATGTGTTCTCTCTCTCTCTCTCTTTTTTTTCCCCCTTTATTTAGGTGTGGGTGTTTTTCGGCGCCTAATATACCAAAATTGGTTGCGTTTTCGTTTTATTATACTTCCCCTTTGGATTAGATATAATTGTGAATCCATAACATAAATGAAAATTAATTGGGTGCAACAGCTCGCTCGGATTTTCCGATTTGAGACAAACATTTGTATCTGAAATGTCAATGAGCCTCAAGAGTGGGTTTCCACCACTCACCGTAGTGCGTTCATAGTGAAACCTCCGATGTTGATTCAGAAGTATTATCGCGGCCACAGGAGCTGATTCAGGCGTCTCATTTCGCCTGATTGCCCTGCAAATCTATATATAGGTTGATTGAAAGAGACAACGTAGAAAGCGGGGACTCGGTAATGAAATTCTTATCGTGAAGGCGGGATTGCGTTATAGATTGGCTACTCCCATCGCTCTCCAGATAGATTGGGACTACTGACGCCATCGCATTGGTTGAATCGATTTATATCAAGAAGCGACAATCCCCATTCATCCTCACGTGTGCTGTTGCAGCCAAGCGATGTCGCGGTCGCCAGTCCCCCATTTTCAAGACCCAATGAAGACCGGTATAGCCTCACAAGTCTCGATCGAGGCTGATAAAGAGGGGGCAAGGCACGGGATATTAGACCAGTCACATTGGGCTATAAGCCAACATTATCAACACGAGGTCGATAGCTGCAGGAACCTGTTTTGCATAGAGGCATGGTGGGATTCCAGACCACGGAATCCACCGATTAGATCTCAACAAGACCATATCAAGCGTTGTAGCCGAAAAAAAATGACAACGAAAAAGAAAAAGAAACTTAATGAAAAAAAAACCCCTCATCAATCAAGCAGGATGGGGTACAGCAGCGGATTGTCACGGGAGGGACCACATGGGGACCGGAATCTAGGCGATCCAATCACAGCTGGGAGACCAGCCTCTAAAAGGATCATTTCCCGTGCGGTCAGCCCTTTTCCTCCAAGCCCAAAAGACGAGGTAAACGGCTGCTAAGTTTGCCTAACGAATGAGGCGCCACACTCAACAAGGTCCGATACACGCGCTAAGTAAAAAACACACCCGAATCCCGAGGTGCGTGCGGCGCAGTCCTCTGTGCTGTATGTGCTAAGGCCAGGCTAGAAATCCCGGTGCGCCCATTTACCCTTTTCATTGTCCATCCCATGATCAATCTTTATCAGAGCGGATCTCGGTTAAGATTGATTCCATTTGGTGCGCGGGCGCTGGTGCTCCGAGTCAGGTTGAGCTGGTTGTCGTAAAATTCACAAACAGATCAATAAAAAAAAATATGCATTTTGATCACTGTAATCACAGCTGCAGGAGATAGATAGTTACATCCCTCGTCTCCTGGGCAGGGTTCATTCGCAGTCCATGTGTCCCAGTGAGGTTAGCAGCACAGGGATCGGTAGTCGTCAACTGATGCCCTAAATCATGCCATTGCTATCCAGTCAGAACTACCGACGGAATCCTTCCGTTCAGAGTAGCAGTAGCCAACCCGGTCAATTTGCGGCACTCCTATGCGGGCAGTATGGATGGATCTAGTTGACAAAAGGCGGGTGTGAAAAGGCTTTAGTAAAGTGATAGGCCTTGAGGTATAACACCCCGCCCAGACTGCCCAACCAATCGCCTGAAGGTCAGTTGGTCTACAAGACCACAGTTGTCGAATAGGCACCGTCAACAAATCTAGGATATATTCTCCGAGAGGTTTTGGATAGGGTACTGGACGTGCACGGGAGCTCGAACTCAGGTTGCCCCTCTTACAAAGCGCAGTATCATTCACCGACAATGTAGAGGTTAATGAAGTACTATCCAAGGGTCGTAGCATGAGTTAATCATTAGTAACTAAATACTACGGTTGATCACTGATCGCTCGATGTTGTCAACAATAAGAAACCAGTGGAAAGACACTAACAAGCCGCTATCACATTGCCAGGCAGTTAATGCCGGTTAGGTCAGGCCGAAAGCAAATGCATTATGGGAAGAACCTTAGCACTCTGATCGACACCAGCCACAAGCAGGAGGCACCATTACCCACCACGGAGGTTCCCGTGTGTTACGACGATTAAGAATCATACTGTAATAACCTCGACGACCAGGTCGTTATTTTGCTCGAGTATTCTAGATTCACATACATTTATAAGCCGACCTGACGAGGAAAGTCCCCAAACCTACCCAAAAGCTTACGTACCCCGTAGTACAAACCATATTTCGTTCAAGGACGTTATTCGGACGAAACACGGAAAACGTGGTAGCGAAAAATCTCCGGGGGATGTTCGATGGGGAAAGGGTCTTTTGTAATTTTCGAAGAACCGCGGTGATTGGAAGCGGGGATCATATTTCGGGGTTCAAAAAGTGACAATCATCGCCTGTCCAGTAATAATTCTTGCCAGGAGTCCATTCTGGATTTGTTTCTATTTTTTTTTTTTTTTTTTTTTTTTTTTTTTTTTTTTTTTTTTTTTTTTTTTTTTTGTTCCATTGGGAGAGTAGGCAATTTCGGGAGATCCCAATGTCGTAGGTTGTGCTGGGTCGCCACATATTCATTTCATTGATTATGAGCAAGTTTATCATCAGCCGGTCCACCCGCTAAACTCCTCTCAGCCGTCCCGGTTGAGCTTCCGGGCTGGCCTTCCATGTGGCCCGTCCAATGGCTGCATCCGAGGAAGGATTCCGAGAGATCGTCACAACGACTACAATGGGGGGGAAAAGGTTCTCTACCTATGAGATTCCTTGGGAGAATGCTACAATAGAGCTCCTTCTGAACCTGTTCGGATCTCGGAACACAATTTCCCTATTAGGTCTTAGGTCCTTTATTATTATTCTTAGGATCCTTTATGGAGCTCCCATGCAATTTCAATCACTGCCTACTCTGTGCTGTTTATCGAGTGTGCAGGGATATTAGGATTACTACAGCAGTATTAATTTTAGCTTTGACAGGCAGCTTCAGGGGTGCACTGACTGCACGACACAGAGAGGCATCGGTGAAGAGAATAAGAATAGAACCTTAAACCGTATTATGGTCCAATCAAGCCATCAACCTTGGAAACCCACAGGAATAATGAGGTAAAGGCCTTTTGACTTTCCTTATTCCCACCCAATCACTCATAGATGCCGCCGTTTTTTTTTTTTTTTTTCTTCCTTTTTTCCCCTTTTTCCCTTTTCTCCTTCTCGATTTCATTTGGTGGCAGTACCCCCTCAGTGCTGGGAAGAAAGTAGGCAGCATCGGCTCTTTAATCTCATGGCAGGGTGGTTGCCTGTAACGAGGTACATGGTCAAGCAAACCCGTTGCTAGATCCTGTTTATTTATAGCTCTCAGGGTATACGGACTACTCCGGAGTATGTTCGAGAACGCATTTAAGCTCAGTATGAGCAATTACGGTGACTAGGATTATCCCTCAACATTAATTCATCTCATTATGATACTTATACCGAGAGTATCTTAGTCTAGAGTGGGACCATTGGGACCATGAACCGTGGGAAAAGGCGACAGACACGTTACCTTTCAAATTCCTAGTACACTAACACTGCCACTGTCGATCTCGGGTTACCTTGAGTGTTAGCCAGAGGTCTGATCTCTCATTTGTTGCCTAATGTCAAGGAAATAAGTAGTTTTATAAAGAGTACTACGATTGTTGATGAGCACGGTAGAAATAGATCAGAATGGTAGTAATATCTCCGTAACTCGAGACATACGAACGCTGCGATCTACAGGTATGAACACTGTCGGGTTTCGTCGCGGATTTAATAGATTTCGGGAAGATATCCGAATCTCACATCGATTTTAATATATTAAGTGGATGACAGGAACATACTTCTGGAGCACCATGTACTGTATGTATGTACTGTACATTGTATGTTTCCTTCACCACCATGGCCGTTTCACAGTGAAAATAAGGATACCTCGAGGTATAAACCTCGTCCACCACCAAGATTTAATACCCCTCTTTATACCCCAGTGTCCCTTTACTCTTTCTCTTCTTCTTTTTTCCACCCCCTCTCTGACTCTTACTTTGGTAATTGGGGGGGAAGAAAGAGAAATGGAAAAAATGGGGGGAAAAAAGAATAGGAAAAGCAAGGAAAGAAAGAAAAAAAAAGGCTAACGATCAAGCTAAGCGACACTAAATCCAACTAAACCAAAGAAAAGATACTACTCCGGAGAAAAACTCAAAAAGAAGGCCTGTCGGCAGAAGATTCCTGAGAAAGATAAATTCTGCAGTAAGCTCCAATTTACTTAATCTCCACCTTCCTCACGATCTGATTTGAGTAGGAGCCGGTGTCGTTTCAGCCCATGGTTAGAAGTAACTGGGGTCAGCCGAGAGACTTTCGGAGTCGCTTCCTGGCTCTTGAACGAAGGAAGACCCTGGAGAATGGAGTCCGTCCCGGCCGATTACTTAGTAGGCGTGTCTAGGATAAAGTACTTGACGCATTGAGCGCGTGGCATTGGGAAATTAATTCATCATGTCGATCGATGTTCCTTTTAGGGTCTATGATATCGCAAAGAATTCTTCTTCTGGAGATGTAGTTTCTTACAAGAAATTCCTAGTAAACGAAGAGAAAGAAATTTGAGGGACACCAGAGCAAGAGAATGAGAAATAGAAAAATGAAAATGAAATAAAATAAATACAGAAGGGAAATTTCATCATCATCATCTTATTTCTTCACCCCCGACGGTTTGATGCTTAAATTTTATTATTATGTTATTTTCTGTTCTTTTTTACTTTTTCTTTATTTTTAAAATTACCACTGGCCATCATCACTATAATATCATTCCATACGGTCATTCTTCTCCGGTAACCATTTTTTGCTTTTGCCTCACTCTCTCTCTTCCTTCTCTTCTTCCCTTCCTTTCCTTAATTCCATCCCTCCTCTCTTCCTCCTTGTTTCTAGAAGAAGCATACTTCCCACGCTGGGACCCCACTCCTTTTTTCAACCGATCATATCCCATCATTGGCTCTCACACAACCCTTCACGGCGACCTCGGTATTTAGCAAACTGCTCGGTGGAGAAATTTTGAACGAAACAAAGTAATGGTTTAACAACCTCCATCTATCCGCAAACAGCGCAATTCATGTCGACACACCCAGCAACGTGAACTTTAATTTCTCCCCGACTGAACGACAACGACCTAACTTATCGTACCGTACCTGCCCGTTCGGCTAGGTAATAGAAGTATCCATCCGCTCTGCGTTATAATCTCCTCTATTATATTACGTTACTGGGACTATACCGGTTGCCTCAGGCGTCAACCATCGTCCCAACTTAAAGTGATACACAATCCCAATTGGCAACTCACTCGCCACCACTCGGGATTTCTCCCTTATCCATTGGTTTCGATCCGTCGGGATCTCAATTCTTGCTTTCCGTTCTTCACTTCAATCATTGGTAACTTGACACGCTGGACTAGTGTCATAACCATATATACAAAGGAGAAGCCTCGAGCTTCCCATTACCATCCGGCTTGGGTGGATTCGGGGGTTGCTCCATCTTTTCTTGTCTTTTGTTTCTCTTCTTTGTTTTCTTGTTTCTTGTCTCCGCTCTATTGAGAAAATTTGAACACAAGGGGATAAAGAAAAGAAAGAAAAGGAAAGAGAGAGGGAGCCATAAAAAAAATAAGTTAAGGTTGCACGTGTCGGGATTTGTTGGGTTGTCACTCCTTTCCACTCGGAATCATTTCGCCCTTCGCCATACTTCACCCATTAGTATTTCTTGTTCTCCCTCTATGAGTTGGCGTTCGGTGGCTCGAGATGCAGACGCAGTATTTCCGTTCGCCGAATAGCCAAGGGCAACCGGGCGTTTCCTATGAGTTGCCGCCGGTGCAATCGGTAACATCTCCCTCAGGTCCTTTTCCACAGGCTGGCCCTCCACCTACTCTTCTTTCCGCTCCGCCGAGTAGACCCGCCAGCGGATTGAGAATGGCTCATCTTTTGCAACCCCTGCCGCACCAGATGGCAAACCCTCCCCCGCCTCCCCCTCCTTCATCATACTCACGATCCTATGAATCAAGCGGCTCGCCGGCCGAAGGCGCCTCTATTCTTCCGGATGCGCCACCACTCAATGGTTCGGCCCCAGGGTCGTCGGGGCTTCTTCCTCAGCCCAGTGGTGCCGGGCAGCAGCAGCAAATGCAGCAGCCGCTACAACAAAAGAGAGCCTATCGTCAGAGGAGGAAAGACCCTAGTTGTGATGCATGTCGTGAGCGCAAAGTCAAGGTACCGAGTTTTCGCCGACGCCCCTGTCCTTTTGGCTTAAGATCATCCAAGGCGGTTTTGTTAACTTTCCCCGGTTCAGTGTGACGCTTCGGAGTCGTCTAGTTGTACAGAATGTACAAATCGCAAAGTGCGATGCCAGTTCACGAAGGAAACTAACAGGCGCATGTCGTCTATCAAGTTTGTACCACGGATACCTGTTATAAAAAGCCTTGTCGTTCTAATTGAGTCATAGGCAAGTACAGGACTTAGAGAAACAGCTTCTGTCGACCAAGCAGCAACTACAACAACTGCGATCGGGCATGTTAAGGCCGGACAACCTGATTGATCTCGATGTTGATGGAATCGGACAGTCTCAATTGAAGCTCCCTGACATTGGGTATCGGCCACCGCGCCAGCCAAGAGCTCCGGTATCACAGGACCTAACCGAAGCTCGAGCCAATCTGCGAAAGTATGGAAGAGGAATTCTAAAAGTACCAACTCCGTATCGCCAGCCGGGTCCGAAATCGCTCCTGACGTCCGACCCTCCGCCGCTTCCCCCGAAGGAGGTTGCAGACCGTCTCCTCATGCAATACTATGAATGTATTCATTCGGTTCTGCCAGTAGTTCATTGGCCTAGCTTCGTGGCGGAGTATGAAAAGGTTTACCAAACTGGTTCCCTTCTGGGCCTACCTCGAGAATGGGCGGCCGTTCTGTTTGGTATCTTCGCTTGTGGTTCACTTCACACACTGGAAAAGACTAGGGAAAACGACGGTAAAGAATTCATACGAATCTCCTGCGGGGTCATCGATGTCTGGAAGGACAATTTCACCTTGGATCAAGCCCGAGCCGCGCTTTTGGTTAGTCTTTTTCTTTACGAGGTCAACGCAAAGTCAGCCAGCTGGGTATGGATCGGATCTGCAGTGAGGGTTGCACAGGAGATAGGACTGCATATTGAGTCGGGGCCGTGGTCAGCCCTCGAAGGGGAAATGCGCAAGCGGGTATGGTGGGGGGTGTATGCCTGGGACAGGTGTGACTCAAGTCCCCCATGACACAAAGTTCCGTTATATTGACTGTTATCTCCTTAGGCTTCTCGCCCTGGAAATGGGAAAACCAGTCCTCATCAACGATCAAGATTGCGATGTTGATCTTCCTTGTCCAGTCGACGAACGGGGTATTTCAGAAGGTGGCATTGTGGCGGAAGGCCAACAGACTACTCCACTCCTGGCCACTATACATGTCGTTCGGTCAATTGGTCAATTGGTCCGGACGTTGAGAAGCTCCACGATCAGCCCGGCAACCCTGGAAATATTCGAGCGACATTTTCAAACTTGTCAGGCCACGTTTCCCCCGCAGTACCATCCGAAGTCCGACCAATACCTCGACCCCCGCTCTATCCTCCCACTCATCTACCTGCAAAACGCCCGTCTCATCCTCTATCGTCATAATATTTCCCCTTTCTGTGCCCCTGAGGTCCGCTCGTTGGCGCTTGATTACTGTGTTTCAATCTCTCAGGACACTGCTCACCTCCTTTCACGCTGCATGCGGGCTCCTTCGGGTCCTCATGGTTACTCTTCGCCTCCTGGGGATGATGACTGGCGGCCTTTGTTGGCGTCCTCTGCGGGAACTGTGCTCTGCACCCACATCTGGCGTTGTGTGCTAGTGTTGCTATTCCGCCAGGAATATGATGCCGCACTGGTGTGCGTCCGGGCAAGTGCTGTGGTTGGAGACTCCCGAGCGGTCAATGCGGCCTGTGGGCGGTACATCGCATTTTTCCTGAAGTGCCTTGTGGACCGGCTACGTCACCCCGACGGTGGGGATCTTGAGCGAGACGAAGAAATGTTGGCATACGTGTCGGGCGACATGCAAGGTACAACTGGTGGCAGCTGGGTGTGGCAAGGCAGCGAGACTGGCTCTCAGCTGGAGACATTGACTGACTTCGGTAGTCCTGTCCCAATGCCACACCCCAGTGCCCGAGACAATTTGTCTACAGGGGAAGTAGAAGATTGGGAAGGGTGGGACTGGGTTGAACAGACGGTTCAATATCTAATCAGCGAGAAGCAAAAGCAACAGCAGGAGTATAACAGAATGGATGTGCAGACTAGCCCTGGAGGTGATGAGCCAGCACCTCAGCCACAGTCGGCCTCATCTCATTCACGCATGACAATCGCAAGCATCATCTAATACCACGGGATCTGTCGCTCATAATTTGATACTTTGCGGCTCTCCCGCATACCCTTGTCTCCATATCGATACCCACTCTAGCGGCGTCAGCTTGTGAAAGACCATGAAACATCGTCAGTTCATATAAAGCGGGCCCTGAGGACCGGCTTAGAGCAGTCAACACTCTGCAGATTAAAAACTTACGAGACAAACCAAGGACACAGGCGCCCAGGGCAGCGACGGCTTTCTTCGCCAGGGAGGAGGTGGACTGTATTATCTATTTGTATTATCTGTCTAGATGATGGTCTGGGGTTCAGTGGAGCATGTGAAACGAGATATGTCTTACGACCGAATCTTTGATATCCATACGATACGTTTGATTACATTGAGCATACCATCAAGATGCATTTCTGTGTTGTAAAATTCACCTTGTCTTATTAGACAAATAGACTATGTTTCATATACAGTGACATCATGATTTTATTTTGACCTCTATACATTAATGATAGAACCTTTCAATCCACCCTCATACTGCATATTCCACAGATCCTTGAGACCCTTGAATACTACGATGATAATTTAGACTTCCAGGTTAATACTCCGTCCAAAACGCGCATACAGCGCCACCTTCAACTGCTGCAATTCGTCGCGCAGATCGCTCAACTTCTCCTCCAGCCCCGACACCTCGGAGTCGATCTGCTCCGTCGATGAAGACAGGAGAGATTGAGCATCAGCAAGGGGAAGTTGGAAGAAGGAGTCCCCAATCTTGTACCTGTTCGAGTCAGAGCGAAAAATACTTTGAAGCAGGAAAACCGAGTCGAAAATTAAAATAAATGAACACTCACGGCACTAGTTCATCCTCATCGGCCAGTTCCAGCTCCGTAGAAATCTCCTCGAGATCCTCTTTATCTTTCTGCGATATAGACATCATAGGTCAGTATGCGGACCACAAAAGCCATGATAGTATCAACGCATCGCTTCCCGGAGCCAGTGACTCGAAAAGAAGATATACAAAAACGCAAACAATTACACGGGATAGGCAAAAACCAACCTGTTTGGCCTTCAACTGCTCCTCTAGCAGCGTCTCACGTTGATGAAGACGACTGAAGCGGTTGATCTTCTCCTGGTCTTCGCGACGGACCTCATTCTCTTCGCCTGCCGCGGAGACTTCGTCTTCTTTCGAGAGCTGTGGGGTGTTTGATTAGCTCGGCTATGTTGGACCGGGAAACTTGAGCCGACTTACCATGCGATGTTGCATCATTTTTGCTACTGGGTTGTCGGTTTTTATATCTTATAGTACAGGGGAGGGGTGGAGGGTTTTGTGTCTTGATAGATCTTGAGTTTAATTTGGTTGGATGTGGTTTCGGTGGGTGGTCTGTGCACGGCTGTTCTTGGCGGGGATGTTGTGGCTGATTGTTTTCATGGGCTTGTTACTTGAAGCTTGTTGTCCTCATATAAGTGCGTTATATTGATACTCCATACATACATCTACCTACTTTTTGTTTATATCCCGGAGAAGAAGTCGACTGTGACGAAATGCCCGGCACGTGGCATCCCTTCTAATTGGAAGAACATGACCTACAGTCGGGACATACTTCTAGAGGCCGATAGAGCCCTGGCAAACACTCAGAAATAGCTCCCAGAAAGTATCCCATGTGTGTGTGTGTTGACAGGGCTCATCCCAGGGGGTTAGAAGCGTTGATTACTCGTGCTCGATAATGATCTTGAGGTTCTGGGATGCCGGGGCATAATCTATAGAGTATGGATCGTCAAAATACCTGTCTCGCAGTATATAGTGCTACTGTATCTTAAGATGGAGAGTTCTGACGAAGACAAGTGTTAAGGCCTTTATCTCATCTGGCTGGCTAGAGTGGTCGGCCCAGATTCGGAGACTTAATCGGTGTTAACTCGATGGTTGGAGCAAGGGACTGATATTCAAATCCACAAAGTGGATCGAAGAGATGCAAGCCAGGTCAAGGGCTCGGAAACTTCACATTTAGTGAGGCCGGAGGCTTTCACACTCAGTAAGGGGCCCTTTGGTTAGATAAACTGTGGATTGTGCGGGGCGGTTGAACTGCGCTTCAGGTTCAATATATGTGGTTCTTATGTTGTTTGCTGTGCATCACTGGAGACTACCAGACTACTACGTAGTACGTAGGTCGAGGCACGACTATTGAATGTCTTATCAGATCCCTCACATGATATGCATATTCAGTACCTCAGTACCCCATCTTCTCTCAGTTGGTATCCCGATTCGCTCCTAAGGTGCGACACACCATCTGGAAGACACTGTTTTATGGTAACAATTGAGACATGCATGCAAATCTCATCTAAATGAGAGCATATGAGATCCGGTCTTGCATTTGGTCAAAGATACTAATAGTATATAAAGGCCGCATCTGTCTCTTTCTCCTTCCTCACTTTCATCTGCGATTCACGTTACTTTGATCCCCCAACGTAAACCCAACTCATTTATCGCCGTCTACCGTTCAAGATGAGACTCTCTGTACTCGCTGCGCTTATCCCTGCTGCCATCGCAAATGCACAGGACATCAGCTGCGCCAAACCTTGTATTCAGCAAGGTATACAGCAATCGGCACCCGAGTGCGGTGTTGATATCAGGTGCATTTGCTCCCATTCGCAGGCGATATTGAATTCTGTCAAACCATGTGTGGAATCAAAATGTGGCCCCGTCTCGGATGGTGAGTATCGCATATCTCCTGTGGATAGGGTAGAGCTATAGCTGATTCCGTCCCAGACGAGATCCATCAAGTGATGACGCAGTATTGCGGGTAAGCTCAGTGTTTGAAGAAGCGGTCATTGAGCACAACAACGATCTAGCGCCTTTGAACAACATCATAATTTCTATCAGGCTACTGGGCTGCTTCGAGTGCTGGACTATGACACGAAATCGAAATGTTTTTGCAGGATGGAAAGGCTTGGGACGGTACTAATCATTTCGTTGGATTATATCCAGATTCTTGTTTTGGGGCTAGACGTGTTTATATTCATTCCTTTCGTGTTGAAACTCACATTCGTTTTGGTGTGATGTGTATTTTTCTTTGGACGATAGAAGCTATGTCCAGGCCTGCTGCTGGAAAATGTCTGATGTTATATGCAAGGGAATACCTGCATATTATGCGGAATTTATATATATCATTTCATGGCCTGCCTTACTGATTTCCCTGTAATTGACTATGATAAAACCTCTCGACGTAGGAAGGTTAAAAGAGAGACTATTCTTCTTCATCTAAGGGTCTAGGGTATACCATGAACGAACTGACGCTCTTGGATAGAGCCCGGGGCTGAGTATACTACAATAACTTTGAATGTGGGAGAATAGGAGAATGCCTTTTTTTTGTATTGCTTGTTAAGATTTAAACGGGAACCGTTTTCCAATAAGTTGGCCGGATGGTGTAGTTGGTTATCACGTATCGTTAACACCGATAAGGTCCTGGGATCGAGCCCCAGTCTGGTCATTTCTTTTTGCATATATTTTTTTTTTTGTCTCTTCCTTTCTTTTTCCTCTCTTGTTTACTGCGCAGTATAGCGTCCTGGTCTACTCGGTACTCCATTCGTCCTTATATGCATATTCAACAAGAACAAAGGTATACTCCGCAGTGTCCGATGAACTCACTCTCACTGCAACCTGTTGGCCAAGCGCATTGATGTTTTCTTCGCGACTAGGTAGCATCCATGTACTCAGAGACAAGATGTACTCCGTAGTAAGCTGATTGGTTCTCGGTCGGGTGACATCATCATCGGCCATGTCATGTGCTCTGAGGAAGTGCCCCGGAGTAAGTACTGTAGCAACACAAGAGCATATTTACAACACATTAATAGAGTCTCTCTGTCCTATATGTTTCCAGTCTCAAACTGAAGCCTGAAGTATATCACTGGATTACTGGAGTGATCCTCTCTGTATCCATTGATACATAATTATACAGCAGCAGTGGTTGACGTTGGTCTCGGAGAAAAGAAAGATAATCCCGAACGACCAAACCAAAGCTATCGTCACCAAACATAACATACCGGCCGTCGATATCCCAGCCTTCCATCAAATCAATCTTCACCACCATATAGCACTAAACCCACAAATATAGGGTGATATCTCAAGAGCTATTTTTCTAGATTGTATCAAGTCAAGCTCTGTCGCCTTGATCACCGCAGCAACACTGCTATCACCAAACCGTGACGAGGCAATACACCGACGACACCGGCGCCCTTCGTCTACCCTCCCTCCCTCACGTCTACACCATGCGAATACCCGCAGGCCTCTCTTCGATTATCCTCTCCTCCGCCTTACTACCGAGTCTAAGCGCCGCAAGTGGCTTTGACTGCGCTCACATCAACGTCGACGGGTTCAAGTATGACCTAAGTGAGCTGGGCGGTGTCCACTCGCTCTACAATGTCGAGAAAACAGAGGAACACGTCGTGAACACCACATATGTACTGAACATATGTAACATTCTGAAGGGAGCTTCGATCAAGGGCCATCTGAAGTGCGGGACATCGAAGAACAGTATGTTTTTTTTTTTTTTTTTTTTTTTTATCCGCTCTTCATACAAAGACTCAACACCCCGGACCTTGGTCATATTCCTAACCACTCAACCTACCTAAACAAACAATGCACAATACTAACTATTCTATATCCAAGTTTGTGGATTCCAATACAAATACCCGGTCGACGGCTCCGAGGAAACAAGCCGTGCCTTCCCCATCGTCGGACTCGAGCATCTTGGCCACGGAACCAAAGACCCTGAGATCACCCGGCTGAAGAAACTCGACCCGGATGAGGAGGGCCTACTGGTCAAACTTTCCGGAGGCAACTACGTCGATGACGAGGGGAAGAAGAAAGATGCGGGCGCGGTGCTCGAGTTCCAATGTGATCCTGAACGGTCAGGATTAGAAGGCCTCAAGACGGCCGATGAGACCGACGACGAGAAGAAAGAGGCCGAGCGGAGACGCGCAGAAGGTGGGGATGATAAAGAACAGCCGCCTGACGAGGAAAAAGACCGGTCGCACAGTCTCCAATTCAAGAGTTTCGGAAAGGCCGATGACGACTCGTATGTGCTCAAGCTGAACTGGAAGACCAAGTATGCCTGTGATCATTACCTGGAAGGAAAGAAAGGTGACTCGTCTAGTCACTGGGGTTTCTTTACTTGGTTGATTATTATGTATGTTCCTTTCATTATCCCTGATCTATATGGATGCTAATTATGAGTCTCAGTCTCTTCCTCTGCATCGCTGCTTACCTTATCTTTGGCTCCTGGCTTAACTATAACCGCTACGGCGCCCGAGGATGGGATCTCCTCCCTCACGGCGACACTATCCGGGATATCCCCTATATCTTCCAGGATTGGCTCCGTCGGGTGATCAACACGCTCCAAGGATCGGGGTCCAGAGGCGGTTACAGTGCGGTATAATGCCGTGAGGTATAGCGTGGTGGAGGTATTTCTCTTTCGCTCATTTATGTTTTGGGATCGCTTTTTGTTTCTACAGCACGATGGGGCCGTGTGTGCGATATTATCTCAGAAAACCTCTATGAAAGGTAGTTGCAGACTGGGTGGATTGGGCACGTGCATGATAGTACTGTACGATGAATGATATGCATTGGTCTTTCTGGCTTTTCCCTCTATATACCATTACACATTTTGAATAATAGACATTTGGTGCAGAATACGGGGTAGGGTGAGCGGAATCTAATTTCTAACTCTATGGTGTATGTTGTAGTGTCTATGGTATGTTGTAGTGTTGCCGAGGCTGTATAGAGTACCCTACCTGAATCTACTCGGACTTCTACGCAGGGTCAAAAAAACAAAACAACTTTGTAACAGCGATGAGACTCAGTCTCCCAATACAACACGATACAACAGTAATTCAAACAGAAAACCCCAGGATCCAACGCAAGGAGAGTTCAAAAAGAAAAGGACAACACGAATGAGCGCGGAGTATCAAATGGCGTCATCAGAGCTAATATCTCATCATGATCATCACCGGCATTGAACAGACAAGCAAACAACCCAGGAAACCTAATAAGAAAAAGTGGATTCCTCCTGTCTGTTCTCCTGCAACCTAAATTCCTCCTCATCTCTTCCTTTCGACTTACACTTTCATGGCAAACTGCTTGAGATACAGGTAATCCGCCATGTTCTCATCCACTGATTTACGGATTAGGGCGGCAGCCTCTGGGCCGTACTTCTTGCACCATTCGGCGTCAAATTCCTCTTCGGTTTTCACGGGACGACCCTGGTGAACATGGTTTAGTGACTGTTTACCCCCCCCCTTGTCCAGACGTTGCTGGCTCTATTTTGTTGCTGCGAACTTACATGTTTCCGGGCTGTTAGGCCCTTCGATTCGATGGCATCGTTGTGAAATCCCCTCCACTTCTCGAATGCATCGCACACCTGCTTCTGTTCGGACTCATCGTCCCAGTCCAACATCGACGGGTCATAGTCGATGCCCACGCTGCGGCAGAACGCCTCGATCATCGCACCCGGCTTCTCGAGCATATCGTCCGCATCGACGACGCAGATCTCAGCCGATTCGTGCGCCGCACCAACCCCGTTGACCACGGGCCTGAGCTTGTTGTCGATCTCGTCTGCGTCCTGCTCCTTCGTTGCGATATGAGGCCCGATCAGGTGGACGCTCCGCAGGTAGTCGAATGTCCGACGGGTCTCGTCGTATCCAGCCTCAGCCGGATCATAATAATAGAACCCGGTGACGTCGTCCAGAGGGGGAATGGTGCAGCGGTAGTATGAAGGGACACTGAAGTGGGGGTCGCGGATAAGGAAGGCAAAGTGGAACTTGGAGAGAAGTTCCTTGGGCATGACGGTGGGGTTACCTGGCTCTGGCTCTGTGGGGTATGGGTACTGGGACGTCTGCTTGGTGCTTTGCCCAGCTTCGACATGACCGTTGGTCTCAGTGCCGACACCACGCTTCACTTTAAGCAGAGATGGCGCAATACTGGCTGGCTTCCCGCCTGGTGGAAGGAGATAGTGGATGATATCCTTGATGAAAACTCTTTTGCCCTGTGATCCGGTAAGTGACTCGTCTTGAAGACCACGACGTGACAATCTAAAGGAAAACAAGAGAAAATCGTGGTTCACTTGCGAGATGGGAATTGAGATCCGACACCTTCGGTGGGAAAAGTGAGAAAAAAGAGGAAAAGGGTTGAGTGCCTCATCTGGCATTTGCAGAAGTCCAGAGGGGACAGCCATGCAGACGTGCTTGAGATTCAATAGGGCACAGGGATTACATCAATCTCATACGCATTCTGAATGCCAATGAGGTCGATCCATCACCGTCCTGTCAGGACGGTGCATTACGAGCCAAAGAAGAGGAAGAGAGGAAAAGAGAAAAGAGCAAGGGTCGGACCTCAGAAGCTTCGCGCTCTATTCTATCCATCACGGTTCTGTAGGTTGACTGACTGAAGCCGCTCTCAAGGCGGACCTTCTCGTCGTCCATAAACCTCGTACCCAGTCGTTCTGGGCCATAGTAGAAAGCATCGCCAAATGGCTCATGGATACACTGGATGGTATCCCGGCGAGTCATGAAGACCTGCGAATGTTAGTAATTCCGCATTTATGTAGTTGGACTAGGAGGGATCCAAGGGATTTATCTTACTCGTTCAAATGCTGTTGAGCATGCGCGCGGGTGAGTAGCGACAAAGATGGGTTTCTGCGACATCTTTGCAATAGTCTGTATCTGCGACAGACACTATCTATTTGAATGGTGGTGAAACGATTCAAATAAGGGCTCTGAGCAATATGGAGTGTACACCAACCGCCAGGGATTTTCACCACAGGCGTAGCTACTGATATCTGGTCTTCTTTGGTTGAAATCTTACACAGAATGGGGGGACGATCCGGGAGGCAATATACCGGAAGAGAAAGCGATGAAGAGAATTCAGTAGGTATGGGGAATGGAGAGAAGATGTTTCCAGATCAGTACTGACTCAGGTCGATAAGGAACTGAGACTGAACACGATAAAAAAGAAAAAAAACTGGAACTAGGGAACGAAAGATAGGAACGAGTGGGTTCTTATAGATTTTCATAGGGCCGCTGGGTTTGGATGGATGAGGGGGCCCAGAATAAGAAAAGAGAAATTCAAAAATAAAATCGAAAAATATACGATGGTAGCCACTGACGAAGGATACTAAAATAAAATCAAAATGAATTTCCATGATTCTGATTAGTAGAGATGCTATCACAAAGTAAACTACGCCTGAGGATTATTCCCCAAGAAGCAAGTGCAACGAGAGACTACGACATGGATGGCAAACCGAAGGAGAAGCAGCATGATAACTTGCAGATTTAGCTTGACGACTATTTCCCAAATGAAACAGCGATTAAGATACTAATTCACATCCACTTGGACAAACCAGGTGGTCTCTCCGATCACAGATTTTGACACCGGTGCAGGGTAGTCAGAAGTAGTATGGATATAGCTGTTATGATAGTACCTCCACAAGGTAAACGTCCCCTCTCTAGGATAATTCGGATTACGATCTACCAGATGCTCCGCCGCATTGCCTTCCTTTCTCATCGAATCCCCTGCGCCGAGGGGCGCACTTAGGGTCTAGACAAGACACGAAGTGGACTCCAGTTCCTGAACCACGGGCGCATAACGAGGCTCCTGCGCTGAGGGAGGAAAAAAGTGGACAGGCAAGATGCAAGGACGGGCTAGTACTTACGTACCGGAGGGGATCAAGGTTCCAAGGATAGTCAATCATGCCTCGGGACGATATGCTAACAGTCGGCTGCCTGAAGTCATCCCATCCGTCAAAAATCCAGGGCAACTTGGGCCGTGCCCACTTTTGACGTCATGACGAGGCGGATGGAAGATAAAAAAAAAACTCGAGAGAAAGGTAAAGGACAGGGGATTGTTAGGGAAAAACGTGGGATGAAAGAAAGAAAAAGGAACGAGAGTCGACGATCTTAACATCGTGGAGTTAATATACAAATCAAGGCGGTTAAGAGGAAAAGTCGAAAAAATAACATAAAGAATAAACTAAAAAAAATCGAGATTGAGCCAGATGAGGGATGTTCATTGATTAGTATGTATGGATGGACTAGACCCGAAAATCTCTCAGTCTAGAAACAAAATTGAAAAATAAAACAAACAAAATTCAAAGGGAAGAGAAGAGATGTTAAGACAGAGAGAGAAAAAAAAAGCCGCGGATAATAAAAATATTCTCATTACCATTATGTATTATGAGAAGAGTTATTCGCGCATCGTGCAGACCACGCAAGGCGTCCATGGTGATGGGAAAACATGCCGAGTTGAATTCTCGTCCGTTGTCATGATGTGTCATGGACTAGTAACCTTAGTTTCCAAGGGCAGATGCGTCTGAAACATCCAATGGAGATCGATCGCGGTCCATATTGACCGTTCATGGCACCAGCGGTCGGACGGCATTGGTTATATTTTAAGTTATCGTGCCAATGCAGGTGATCCAGTGTCCCTATCTTGACCGAACGCGGTATAGTACTTTCTCTCCTTGTTGGACGGTTCAATCGCATTCAATCGGATCACGATTCATCCCATCGTGGGGGTAAGAAAAGCTGAGGGACAATCAAGGTTTTAAGTTAGATGGGCAGAAACTCGAGACTCGACCGTCGGAAGTTGACCCAGCGACCGCTACTCCAATCATCGTCGCCGGTTGATAATCGGTCCGGCAGATCATTGGCCCATATGGAGTGGGTGGGGACTTGGAGGTACTCGGAAATACTGAACAAGGTAGGAAGCTCCAGTACCTTACTGTGTACTGACAAGTAACGCTGATGTACCATCGTACTGGTAGACTACTGCGTAGATTGATCTCAGGCTGCCAGGCAGTGAAGGCATTCAGGCATTCAGGCAACTACTAGTATAGACTAGCGTAACTAGTTCAAGGTACTTGTAGGAAGCTATGCAGTTGCATATTAGAAGATGTACTACAAAGTGTTGTACTGAGTCTTAAGCATAGCACGTGCAATATGTACATACTCCGTACTCCGTACTGTCATAGTATATAGAATTGTCCAGTTGACACAGGTCATGTGTGTTGAAGAGTAGCTGACAGTCGCCCGTTCAATCAGGCCACCACGCCACGTGACGTCAGTGACCAAGAACTCACCCCTCCTTTTCATAGGTGCTTCTGGAAGGCGGTGGAAGTCCCTAGTGTCGTCATGGAAGGCCTAGAAGGTAAAAGGATGCCCAACACCAAGCTATATAGACATCCAAGAATTCCAACCACCAGCATCCTTCTCCTTTTTTTCTTATCAATCATACAGATAACTATAATAATAGTTAAATCAACCTTTCCTATTCCTCTTAATTACCTCAACTGCCTTAACTAACTTTGCATATATTCGAACACACACAACTGATCATCCCGTTTCACCATGAACGGTGCTCAATTCACAGACAGAGCTAACAAGGCCCTGCTGGATTCCAGCAGTTTGGCTGAACAATACTCCCATTCTCAGATACTCCCTGTTCACCTCGCAGTTGCCCTCTTAAATCCTTCCTTAGATGAATCAAAAGACCAACAAGTTCCGGCGCACCCCTCACACGATTCCGCCTCCGCCCCTCTCTTCCGCCAAGTCATTGAACGCGCCCATGGCGACCCTCAGCTCCTCGAACGCTCTCTCATGAAGATCCTGGTCCGTTGCCCAAGCCAAGATCCTCCACCTGAGTCCGTTAGTGTCTCTCCAGCACTAGCCAAGGTTATCCGGTCAGCTAGCGAGTTATCCAAAACCCAGAAGGACAGCTTCGTCGCTATCGACCATTTGATTGTGTCTGTCGCTCAGGACTCTCAGGTCCAGCGAGCATTAGCAGATGCCAACATTCCTAACGTCAAGTTACTAGACTCTGCCGTTCAGCAAATTCGCGGTACGAGGAGAGTAGATTCCAAGACAGCGGATTCAGAAAGCGAGAATGAGAACCTCAAGAAGTTCACCATTGATATGACGGCCCTGGCAAGAGAGGGAAAGATCGATCCTGTCATTGGCCGTGAGGAAGAAATTCGTCGAGTGATTCGTATTCTCAGTCGCCGAACGAAAAACAACCCAGTGCTCATTGGTGAGCCTGGTGTCGGAAAAACCACCATTGTGGAGGGGTTAGCTCGCCGAATCGTGAATGCCGATATCCCGGCCAACTTGGCTCAATGCAAGTTGCTTTCACTTGACGTCGGCTCACTGGTTGCAGGAAGCAAGTACAGGGGTGAGTTCGAAGAAAGAATGAAAGGAGTCCTCAAAGAGATCGAAGAGTCTAAGGAAATGATCGTTCTATTTGTCGACGAAATCCACCTTCTCATGGGTGCAGGCTCCAGCGGTGAGGGTGGCATGGATGCCGCTAATCTTCTGAAGCCGATGTTGGCTCGCGGCCAACTGCACTGTATCGGTGCCACGACACTAGGCGAATATCGGAAATATATTGAGAAGGACCAGGCGTTTGAACGACGTTTCCAACAGGTCTTGGTGAAGGAGCCTTCTGTTAACGAGACTATCTCTATCCTTCGTGGTTTAAAGGAGAAGTACGAAGTGCACCATGGTGTCAACATTCTCGACGGTGCCATTGTCTCCGCAGCCACCCTGGCTTCGCGGTACCTGACCGCTCGTCGTCTTCCCGACTCCGCAGTCGATCTTATTGACGAAGCTGCCGCCGCTGTTAGAGTGACACGCGAGTCCGAGCCCGAGGCCCTGGATAACTTGGAGAGAAAGCTCCGACAGCTGCAAATTGAAATCCATGCCCTTGAGCGCGAGAAAGACGACGCATCTAGAGCTCGCTTGGAGGCAGCTAAGCAGGAGGCAGCCAATGTTACCGAGGAACTGCGCCCGCTGCGTGAGAAATACGAAAGCGAGAAGAAGCGCAGCAAAGCCATTCAGGATGCCAAGATCAAGCTCGACTCTCTCAAAGTCAAGAGAGACGAGGCAGAGCGGTCCGGAGATACTGTAACCGCTGCTGACTTGGAGTACTATGCTATTCCGGAGACCAAAGCTCTGATCGAAAGGCTCGAGGAAGATCGCGCAAAAGCGGATGCAGAACGGCGTTCTCGCTCCGGAGACGCTGGAGAGACACTGCTCGCTGACGCTGTCGGCCCCGATCAGATCAATGAGATTGTTGCCCGGTGGACTGGTATTCCTGTCACCAGACTTAAGACCACTGAGAAGGACAAGTTATTGAATATGGAGAAACACCTCGCCAAGCTAGTCGTCGGCCAGAAGGAGGCTGTGACCTCCGTATCGAATGCAATCCGACTCCAACGATCTGGCCTCAGCAACCCCAACTCGCCGCCAAGTTTCCTCTTCTGTGGTCCATCTGGAACTGGTAAGACCTTGCTTACAAAGGCTCTTGCGGAGTTCCTCTTCGATGACCCCAAGGCTATGATTCGATTCGATATGTCTGAATACCAGGAACGCCACTCTTTGAGCCGTATGATTGGTGCACCTCCGGGATATGTCGGACATGATGCTGGTGGCCAGCTGACCGAAAGCCTCCGGCGACGCCCGTTCTCCATTCTCCTCTTTGATGAAGTTGAAAAGGCAGCCAAAGAGGTCCTCACCGTCCTCCTCCAGCTGATGGACGACGGACGTGTCACAGATGGTCAAGGCAGAATTGTCGATGCGAAGAACTGCATCGTTGTCATGACATCCAACCTGGGTGCCGAATTCCTGTCTCGTCCCAGCACCAAGGATGGACGGATCGACCCTCAAACTCGTGAATTGGTCATGGGTGCTCTCCGTGACTACTTCCTTCCCGAATTCCTCAACCGTATCTCTAGCACCGTCATCTTCAATCGCCTCACGAAGAAGGAAATCCGCAAGATCGTCGATCTCCGTCTGGACGAAGTTCAGAAGCGCTTGGAGCAAAACAACAAAAACGTCACCATCGAATGTACAGATGAGGTCAAAGACTACCTCGGCGACGCAGGCTATTCGCCCGCATATGGCGCTCGGCCTTTGGCTCGGATCATCGAGCGTGAAGTCCTTAACCGCCTCGCTATTCTTATCCTCCGTGGAAGCATCCTCGATGGCGAGGTGGCTCGCGTTATCATGCGCGATGGTCGTATCGACGTCTTGCCGAATCATGAGATCCCGGTTGACGAAGATCAAGATATGCTCGATAGTGAAGATGAAGCCATAGCCGAGATGGAAGACGGCAGTGGTGACATGGATCTCTACGAGTAAATTAGCCGAAAAAATAAGGATTATCAGCAAATAATAAAAAGGGGGTGTATGCTTTTGAAGACATGGAATGATGACTGATGATGATAACTTGACTTATTTTTTCCCTCTGGCCTGAATATGGATACTGGCGTTTGTTGTCGATATTTCTTATCTTGGACATATTATATGCACTTTGTACACAGCATTGAAACGATGTGCCTTAACAATAGATTCAGCTGAATTACCTGGATGTATTAATCAAATAATTTATTCTATACGTTAAATTGAATGTACAAACGGTATTGACATTCCAATCAATGCTTCCAAATGGTAATCATCGTAGATGTTCTAAACTTCAGAAAAGAAAATTATTAATGTATCTATACCTATACAACTGACGAATTCCCACTTCTCTCTAACTCCTTTATCTTAAACCAGCTCGCAATCTCTCCCGTCTGACAAAACTCAACTTCATCCCCCCACCCCTTCAACCATGTCAACAGCCGCTCCAACATCCCAATGACATGCGCCATCCCGCTGGTATCAGGGTGCATCAGGACGGGAAAGATAGGCTCGTCCTCATTCTCGCGAATCCACAAAAACCGATCCCGCCAGAGGTTCTCGACCACGCGGACATCGGTATAGCCGTGTGAGTTGTGCGTATGAGGAAGGTACTGCATGGGGGTCATATCTTCCATGTACCAATTACAGGGGACGCAGACGAGGGGCCGGCGGTCTTCTGTTGTAGGTGGGATGGGGTGCATCCAGGTCGAGGCGGGGAGGGAGAAATTGATGGGTTGGAGCGGCGGACGTTTGGGGGCGAAGAAAGGGTGGCAGTCGTGGTCTGTTAGGGAAGCGTCTGTTTTTGCACTGAGTTAGAATGGTGGGATTGTCAGGGTAGAAAGGGAGGAACTCTCTCACCGTATTCGAATCCGTACTCTTCTAGTAGGTCTAATGTGGACTCGCGCAGTTGGTATAGAGGTGCGCGGTATCCGACGGGCTTCTTGCCTGTTAGTTTGGTTGCAATGTCGATACACCGCGTTAGCACGTCCCGTTCTTGCTCCACTGTCAGTTGGTATGCTCCTTCGTGGGCGTAGCCGTGAAGTCCTATCTCGCAGCCTGACTCGACTACCTGTTGCACTTCCTCTGGGAAGCTCTCGGCGGAGTGGCCCGGGATGAACCAGGTGCAACGATCGGCTAGGTCGAGCTTTTTGAGCATCCGTAGGAGACGGGGTACGCCAACTTTGGCGGCGAAGAATCCGGAGGAGTAGTCTGCGAGGATGTTGTCGGGATGCTGACCTGATCGTTGTAGGGGTTTGTTCAGCGTTTGTAGACTGTTTAAAGATGGAAAAGATAGCTTACCTGTCCCTAGCCATCCAGATACCGCGTCTAGGTCAATGGAAATGGCTATCCGGATTTTGTTCCGCTTTGGCTTTGATACAACCCTTGGAATTGATTGGACTATACTCGACTTGGGGTGAGCGACTTGGTCCTCTGTCTTTTTGACGGCTTCGTTCTCCTTCCAGATCAGGCGACCTTCCATTCCTCCGTCGACACTTAAGCACTGTCCTGATATGTGTCCCGCCGCGCGGTGAGAGGCCAGGAAAGCCATTGTACGGGCTACGTCCTCCGGCCTTGCGATTTTCTTTAGAGGTACACTACTCTAGTTAGCGAGGATCCATGAGGCGCGGCAGTAGGGGATTGAACGTGAGAAACATACGTAGCCTGGGCTTCTGCCCACATCTCCTTCGGGTCGTCGAGCCTTCCTTCTATCAAGGGTGTATCTACCCATCCAGGCGCAACAGCATTGATTCGGGCCTTGCTATTGAGGCGAACGATTTCATTCTTCACACTGCGGATCAAGCCGTACTGCAAGGCAGATTTCCCAGATGCGTACTCGGCATGGCCTTCCTGGCCAAACGTTCCCGTTTCGCTTCCCGTTACTACGATAGCTAGGTTATCCAGTTCTTTACCAAGGGTCTGTTGAGATGCACGTGCTGCTCGCAAGAAATGCTTGATTGTCAGGAATGTTCCTCGGACATTGACAAGGTATGTCTGGTCCCAGGTCTCCACTGGCAATTCCCAGATAGGGTAGTCTTTGCTTTCATCTGTGATACCTGCATTTGCGATCAAAATGTTGATAGGCCCGAATCGTTTGCTGGCCTGCGCAATATTAGATTGGACGGATTCTTCGTCCGTGATATCACCTTTCAGGACGTGTAGCCGGGAGTAGGGCTCCCCTTGTATATCAGAAACCTCCAAGGCTTGGATGTCCAGTGCTGTCACTTTGCACCCCTGATCTATATAAATATTATGTTAGATCATGGAATGTGCCATTCATTTAAAAAAAAGAAGAAAGAACATAAATGCATGAGATGTGGAACGCAATGATGGGAATTAGACTATCCACCTCTCCAGCTTCTACCGTCAGAAGGCATGGTGTAATAGAGGTAGTATACAATCGCGTAATGTAGATTCTCAATCGCCATATTTAAGTAATACAACAGCTTACTTGTGGTCCTCTTTGTGCTGGAGTGCGACCAAGGTAAATAAAGCAGTCTGCATATCCCAATCGAGAATATCACAGTTACATCAGTCAACGTAAACGTACCTAAGAATTCTCGCACTGCTTGTTTTCCGATTCCACCAGCGGCACCGGTGATGAAGACATGGAGGCTTTCCAAGCCCAGGAAGGCGGGATATGCCAAAGGCTGCACCGACATACCGTTTAGTCTGCAGCTGTCACGATAAGGAGGCCGTGGGTTTATGGTAATATAAACTAGTCAGATTAGCTACTACTGCCGCGGCTGACATCAGACCAGGAAAGACGTACCGACTGATGTTTATACTCCAGGGTTCAATAGTTGGCTCAAATGAAATAACAGGGATGGATTTAGACAAGGTATACCACGTGTCTACGCTGATTGACAGATTGACAAGTTGACGCTGGGAATCAATAAATCTACGAGGCCGCGGGGCAGTCACGTGTGCGTTAACGGACTTATGTTATTTCCAATATGATGATTATCATTATTTGATTTATGATTTGAATTCTGCGGATTTAGAAAACGCAAGTTCTCACAGTAATTGTCTGTAAATCCACTGTGTTTGTTTGTTCGTATATCGGCTGGCTGCCGACGAGGATTCGGCAGAGCGTAGTTTGAAGTCTCATACATGTAACCAGCTTCCCACTCAAATTGAAACAACCCTACCGTACCCTAACGGACGATGCGCAATGGCATCAAGTCGAGACTACTCTTAGTCCTCGGTGCTGTTCTTGGCAATATCATTGACTTTGACCGCGTCCGCACTAAATGTTTTAGTTCCTGTTAACTATAGAAGCGGCCTAGACTATGTCAACATTTAGCTAGATTCATGCTATGCTGCGATACAACGGCGCGCTCCACCGTAGAAAAGGAGTACGTAGCATTGAGTGTAATCTGGGATCGCTCCGTTGCAGCTGTGGCATCACTGGTGGAGAAAATGGCCCCTCCAAACACCAGTTCGTCGCCAACAGAGTTCGTTGGGCTTAACACTGACTCGCACTAATACCTACCCATGAAGTTTCAGATAAATTTTCTCGAAATTCAAACAGTGAGCTGGTTATAGACCAATCTTGCCAAGTCGGGAACAGTCATTTTGGGTATATTGGCATTACGACGATTTTGATTAAAACGACAGCCCTAAAAAGGCTCATTCTCCGTTTCGATCTAAAGTAAGCTAATTAGGAGATCATGAGTTATTTGTTTGACTTCCCTTTAGATAGTGACAATTGGGTCCTTGAAAATTACTGAGGTCTGAGTCGTTGATGGCAAGCGAAGTATGCTGTACTTCGCAGTACAGTCTCTGCATCTTCAGGGGAGCTCATAAGTGAATGGCTATTGGCCGCAACGGGGAAGGTACTGTGATTAGCAAACCTCACTATAAGGTATAACAGGAATGCAACTCCTCTTTTGGGCGCAGAAGCTCTACATAGATGGGAGACTGGCATCGCTTCAACCGTTTCGTCATGGGAAGGTTACTACGAAGGGCAATGACGATTACTATATGACAAGCGACATTTGCGTAGTCTGCTCCGTCATTCCTGAAGTATTCCTGCATGGCGTAGACGAGAGTGACAGTCTATCAGCTATAGTCAAGCTTCCGCGCATCTATAGTATCAACGGCGGGCATTTAGAGTAGTTGTAGTAGTATAAAACGAGCTCGAGCAGTCTGTAATCCTTCCATAACTGAAATAGAAATCTTAACGAAACGCTAGAGGAGAACCTGAATGAAATATGTAAGTATCTCGTATTCAACAAGCACGATTGCTTGGCTTGATTTGATATCAATCCACCTATTTGCATAATGAAGTATACACGGCATGCTACTCCGCCGGTCACCACCCGCTGGAGACTGTAAGTACATACATACACCGACCTCTGGATTCTCCATTGTTTTGCTCTGCATTCTCGGGAGGCGAGCTGACTCGGCAAACTCTCGACTTGTACTGTAGATCTTAGAACGTTCCGTTAATGGGAGTAGGGAGCATTATGGCACGACACAGGTAATTCTCGCCATATACTTCTCCCACCAGGCTCGACATGATCCGTGGACAAGGGTAATGGAGCTGAACACTGAACCAGCGAAAGCGATTTGGAGACAAACTGCGATCCTTTCCCGAAAACAGTCCTTTGCCGAGTGGAGACTAACATGACCAACCGTGGGCAGGATGATATGTGATCACTCTTAGGCGCTGAAGGCTGGTGGGACCTCGACGTGCTCTACTTCGGAGTATGCACCAATGTCGAGTATACCCCATACAGCCGTGGAACAGGACACGCATACTTTACTTTGGTTGCCGAGAGGCTTTTTGTTTAACTTTGTCAGCTGGGTATTGCGGCACAACCCAAGGTTACTACAATCGATGACAAGTCGCCGATGAGAAATGCCGGTTAGTATCCGTGCCTGCTTTTTCTTCCCCCCTTTTAAACTCAAGCTAAACTCAAGCTGAAAGGTAGGAGACTTCCAACCAGCCACTGTAAGCTTTGAAGATCTGGAATTCTGCAGCATGTTATATGCATTAAGCAGGGGAATTCAGCCCCAATGTTGATCGCGTGAATTGTATGAAGACAAGAAATCCTGTGGCACAAAACTTGGAATAGCTCGAGGTCTCCTGTGGAGCACAAGTAGTGTGCGTGTCTTCAATTTCCTCTTATTGGTGAGATCTCTTTTTGGGATGTGAAAGATTTAGCATGGAAACAGAACAACGTAGAGCGGACAAAAGCCGGCACTCGGCAAGACTCTCACCCGAGGTTGAGGGGTACTGTGGAAACGCAATATAAGGCCGACCAAAGGTGAAAGTATCCAGAGGTACGGTAATAGGCCGTATGGAGGGCCCCACTCACGTGATAGAAGGGGACCGGGAGATCTGCGGTTAAAGTCCGTGGTATTTTCGGGACGGAGATAACGATAAGCTTGAGTAAAAAATGGGCATCCAATTGTGTCGACAAAATTCTTCCACTCCCCTGGTTGCACATTCGCAACTCTGGTTATAGGAACCATGGCGATTTGCCTTCATGAGCATTATTGGGGGTAAGTATTTACTGTACATCCGTATATCCGTGTCGGCCCACAAGAGTCAATAACGCCCACTCGAGAACCGTGGTCGTACGTTCTTGATACCCTCTTGGGACAATTATTTCCCCCACCCCCCGATGATCATAGAATGATGTGCGTTTAGGCTGCTTCATATGGGGTAGTATTTCTATGTATATTACCTAACTATAACTTAACACAGAGCCCCTCCCCAGACTTTCAAAATAACGTAGTGGATAACAAATGAGGCTATATACAGGTAACAGAATGCAACCTAAACAGAAAGAAAGAAAGAAAGAAACAAAGAAACAAAAGGAGTGGAAGAAATAGTATTATATACAGAAGTAGCATTATTTTCTTTCTTTCTTTCTTTCTTTCTTTTTTTTTTTTTTTTTTTTTTTAAAAAAAAAAAAGCACTAGGCTAAAAATCGTATGCTTCATGGCTGCGGTTGATGGACCCCGTTCAGACTTTCGGTCTTGGTATGATGTGATCCCCAAAATTCGGGAGGCCGGGATTCGCGCTCCACCGTGACAGTAACGTCCTGCCGAATTCTCAGAGCTCTGTCGGAGCCATCGTCGCTCACATCCCGATCGTCACTCGCTTGTATGCTAACGTCAGAAGCCGGCTTGTGAGGTGTAGCGATGCTTCGGTTGTAATCATGCATGCTAAAATCGCCTGAGCGTAGCTGACTCGACGGTCCATAACGCCGGCCGTACTCTGAGGCTTTGCTGGTCCACGGACCAGACCGATACCGATCAGTGGCTCGCTTGGATCCCCCTGTCCAGCTTTTGAGGGCTGGGAATACATCGCGAAGGAGAGACCAGATGAGTGGTAGGTTGGTGACAAGAACTGCCACGGTTGCTTCTCGGAAGTACCAATTCATGTAGACGTATGAGATGAGCGACGGGACGAGACAGTAAACCTTTGTCAGGACTGCTGCAACAATAACAAAAACTCCCATGCCGAAAATAACCACAAGTATCAGCTTCTGCTTGAGGGGCACGCGTACTTGCAGCAGAAGTGGCAACCCGATAAGGAGCGTCAGAATGTCTGCGGAAATCGATATACATCCTTGGATAATTTCGTAGTACTGGTAGCTTGAACATTGATCTATTATAGACAGTCAGGTTATTGCTTTGCTAGTGATGCCAAGAGGGTCAACAACTCACAGGATGTAGGCACAGCCCAATACATCGATAAGGGTCGGCAAATCAAGAACAGAGACAATTCAACACCAACAAAACCGAGGCCGACATATACGGCGAGATAATTAACCCATTTCCTCTGCCGCAACCCCTCCCTAACAAATAGAGTCAATAGATCACGCGCGTCGACATTGGCTGTAAGCTACTCACGTTATACGTGCATAGATGATGAGCATACAGGCCTTCATCGCCCATACCGCGAGGACAAATGAGTGTTCTGAGACAAAGACCCATTTACTTCCTCTCACACGATCGGCTTTAAGTCCCGGAGTCAAGTTTTTAATATCTTCTTCACTCATCAAGTTCGAACCCCCCACGATGACGACTTCGTTCAGTGAAACACATAGGATCGTATACCAGATGACAGCGAAGACCATCATGTAATCATCTGTCTGGAGATTTCGGATTCCTAAACGACGTATTCGAGCTACGCTATAAGGGAGTATGGGATCAGAGCACGGTCAAACTAGAGTAACGGGGATATAAGATTTCTGTTTCTCGCTTGAAGGACAACTTACAATCGTAGGCAAACACCCAGCATCCCCACAGCATAGAGAGTCCATGTTTCCCGAGCGAAGCTTTTTGTAAACTCTGGACTGAAGCTTGACATGTTTTCGGAGAGCAACCTGTAAGCGCAGGGAATGATAGGTTAACTGGCATTCACTCCGAACAGATCCATGCAAGGGACTAAAGGAAGTCCTGTAGATATATGAGGGGGAGGCACCGACATTTTTGCGATAAGCTTTGTATAATTGGGCACATTTGCCAGGGGAAGTGTGTGGCTGCAAGGATCAGCCGGCAGCCTTGACTTGGTGAGATTACAGAATCAAGGTACGATTGCTATAGAATGGAAATGGAACTGGAGGAAAGACCGAAAAGTATGGCGTTCCATGTTCGTTCCAGTGTGATGGGAGGATTATTGTGAGCTCATAGGCGAACCAGAATCGACCAGAAGGCCCAAAGAGGGAAAGACACAGCACATCCACACCACCATCGGCTGTGGGACTATTTGCTTTAGGAACTGAGTTCATGTCACACAAGGCCGGCCGGCCAGTCGTGCTTGCTACCTTATTTGGTTTAATGGACCCCGATGCCATCCTTTTACCCCGAAGGCAATTGGAGTAATAAATTCTCGTACCTAGGGAGGCTTGGAAGGGGACTCGGGTAGGTACAGTTGGTCGCACCATTAATCTAACCAACCATTGTATAGCGTACGCCTGGGTAATATTCAGTCCACAGCAATTATTAGTTAGCTGGTCTTGTTGACAAATCATGATACGAAGGCAACGCTTTTCTTATTAGCATACTCCGTACTTGGCAAGCTGAAAAAGATTTTTCCCTAGTAATGTGGGTAATAGTGTTCAAGAGGAACTGGATTCTCATGGTATAAAGCAACGTGCAGTTGGACGTGCAACGCAAAGTGTAATTACAGTGGATGACAACTCACAGGGCATGGATTGGGGACGGCGTCGTCAAGTGGGTCTGACTAGTCCCAAGTTAATTTTGGCCTAAGCCCATTGAGGACCAGAATCTTTGTACCTCAGTTCCTTAGTAGTTAACCTTCTGGAGCCTGGCCGATAACATGCTGATATCAGGCTTGTTCCCACTATCCAGTACCGTACTACTACTACTTCTTATCCTAGTAGGACTAATAATTGTGCTGTGGACGACACTATGCATCTCATATCAGAAGCCAAAATTACGCATATTTTATACTAGTATAGTTCGAGGCTGCATCGGTGACATCTTAGTCTCTGTTCGAGACACCCGAACGGAAGGATCGGAGATAAACTTTGTTCTTTTGTCTTCCTTGTTTCTTAATTGACTTTGGACTGGGAGGACTAGAGGCCCGATCCCTGTCACTCAGCCACCTCAACTTGCGTTATAATTCGCACAGAATCTTCTCTGCGTATATTAATTAAGATGAAGTCTTCCACTAGAGAAGTGCCATCCGATTTCTCTTCTCTATATTAATAGTGGAAAACCACGGACCACAAAGTATCGGTCTACGCTATCAGAGGGAAAAGCCCCCTTTAGGTGTTTTAGGTTCTTAATACCTTCATATCTAGGTTAATTCCGCAAGCCCCGGAGAAGCCGACGAGGCCTCGACCAAGTCACTGACTCGCTGTTAGTATGAACGCCAAACCAGCCTTGTTTCACTTACCTCGTGTGTACAGTTATAGAAAAGGTGTTTCTCTGAGCGAATATCTGACATGGAAGTCAGTCTCCGGAATTGGCAGTAGAGAAATTAACGGTAGAGCGAGTGTTTAGATGTTCTCGAAGGAACGTAAAAGATAAACATGCTCTCTTGCCATTTAATTTCAGTAGTCGAAGAGGGAGGGTAGAAGAGAAATAAAACATGGCACCGTAAATTAACAATTAAATAATTGTCATTATGTAGGTACAATGGCAATGAGATCCATACTGGGAGCGTCAATAAGAGTGTAGGGATAATTTGCAATGAAAATGAGTAATTCGCGAGATAAGTGGACTGCGCGTAATCGCCAGATTAAGACATGGACGGTTTCGCTGGGCCCCGTGTCATTGGCCCCGGTCTCTAAATAAAGTTAGGCTCCAAAAAATAGACTTTCTTGGTGGCAAGGGGGAAGTGGAACAATGTCTGTGTCTCTCCCGTTCCCCCGTGCTAACTTACTCGCCGTCAAGCCTTGTTGTGCATTTTTTGTATGTCTGGAACCATAATCTCGCCATTTTTTTTTCCCGCTTAACTAATACCACCACCTCGAACTAAACTCCTTTACCTTGGTTACCAATCAATAGTCCAAAGACCTACAAGGAAACGATGAAGGTGAGAGAGAGTTTGGGACCCTGCTACGGTAGTATCGTTCAAGTTTTTAGGAGTTGCCTTCAGTATTTTCTTTTAATAAGAAATGGACTTCATACCTAGTTAGTAGGTACTAAATCTCTAGTAACATTTCCACTCCTAATCACTTAACCGGCCGCCGGGATACGGAGTATGGTCTGATGTACACAGCATACATTAATTACTACTTGCATGGGAAGGTTGCGATATCCTTTGAAGACCATCGAAGTGGGGAGATTCATAATATCCAAGTATTATCTGAAACTCGATCTCAGCCTTAGAAGGGGAAAAGGAATCCTATTTCTTAAAGCACATACGTAGGATCGTCTGCCTTGCGGGAGATGATCTGAAAAGGTTTGCCATCTGCTGAAGCTCCCCCTTCAGGTAAAGACTCACTCAGCCTGGTCCCCCGGCACCCCCTGCTCTCAAGCATCCAACCAGCACGTTTACCCCGACCCACTTTATTAGTACTACTGGCTACTGGCCACCAAGGAGGGTGGTTACATCGATGATTTGCTAGGCATGACTGAAGTGTCCGGTGGTCCTCCAACCCGCTGTTAGTCCTCTAAGTACTAGGTATCCAGATTCAGTGTATAAACCCTTAGACTCACACCAGAATCATATCCTTCATATTTTTTTTCTTCGCTCAGTATCTTTGTCTCTTACCCACTATTTACTAGTGATAATTTAAAAGCAATGTCCGGTCAATCTTTCTAACTAAATCCCATCGTTACCATAGTCGCTCATTTCAAACCATAAAGAGATTCCGTTGTCGCCCCACGTCCTTGCGATTTTCTTCCTTAAGACACCTCCATCCACCCTTTCCATTCTCCCACGTCTTCTCTTTCTTCGACTCAGATTTACTTTATCTAATAACTTACTTTTCTCCCTAAACCCACGTCATTCAAGTGGTGGTGTTATCTTCGACGATGGCAGCTGCGGAGGGGCTAGAGCCAAAAAAAGCGGGAGCTATGGAGTTGGCCGCGGAGGACCAGTCACCCGGAGAATTGATTAATGCATCCGGACATCGTCAGGAACTCGACCGGAACTTCAGTTTGTTAAGTATTTGTGCCGTGGCTGTTACGACTGGAAACACATGGATCGCTCAAGGAGGCAGTGTGGTATGTTATACAGCATCGCCACTGCAAAGAGGAAAAGGAGGGACATCCCAGCTGATGATCGAGTTAGGTCACTGCTCTGAGTAATGGAGGGCCATCGGGTGTTATTTATGAATTGTACGATAAGCCTCGCTATTGCTATTACCGATCATTCAACACTAACAAGAATATTAGCATTGCCGTGTCGGTCTGCTACTGGTTAGTGGCGGCCTCCATCGCGGAACTAGCATCGGGAATGCCTTCATCTAGTGGTGGTACGTTTAACAGTGATCTTATGTCGCTCGATTCCGCATAGTTTCGCTAATATCAATTAAGTGTACCACTGGGCCTCTATCACGGCAGGAAAGTATGGCCGTGCGTGCGGGTTTTTCGCTGGCTTTTGGAACTGTCTGGCCTGGATACTTGGTGCTGCTTCGATGTCTGCTATTTTGGGACAGCAGACTGTTTCGATGTACGCCCTGATGCATCCCGGATTTGTGCCCCAGTCGTGGCACATATTCGTCAGCTTTATTATCTGCACATGGCTTTGCTGCTCCATCGTCCTTTTCATGAACCGGATGCTCCCCCATATCGGCAACCTTGGAATGTTCTTCATCCTGGCGGGTGTGTTTATCACAATCATTGTGTGTGCTGTCATGCCCCATGTGAATGGTACTGGCTACGCATCAAATTCGGACGTATGGCGTACATGGCAAAATGGCACCGGATATTCTAGCGAGGGCTTTGTCTTCGTTGCGGGAATGCTCAATGGTGCTTACAGTGTGGGTACGCCCGACTGTTCGACCCATCTTGCAGAGGAGATCCCCAGGTATTTACCATAAAAAACCCCATACTTGCGCGCAAGTCCCTAATAAACTGGCAGACCGAGTCGGAACATCCCCAAAGCAGTCCTCGCCCAAATGACAGTCGGCTTTATTACCGGCATCCTCTACATGATAGCAGTGTTCTATTCGATTACTGATCTAGATGCAGTTATCTCAAGCGTCTACGGTTTCCCTCTAGCCGAAATCTACTATCAGGCGACGGGGTCTAGGGGTGGAGCCCTTGGTTTACTCATTGTGGCTTTTCTCCCAACTGTTATTACATGCGCCGGCTGCTATATCACTGCTGGTCGTACTCTGTGGACCATTTCCCGCGACAAAGCGACTCCATTCTCCGGCTGGCTTGCGCGCATCAACACCCGTATGCACAACCCTTTCAATGCTACTCTAGTTTGTGGTGTGATTGTCACGATCCTCGCCTGTATCTATGTCGGCTCCACCACCGCCTTCAACGCTTTCGTCGGCTGCTTCGTGCAATTGTCTAGTCTTTCCTACTGCGCCGCTATCCTCCCACATCTTCTGACTCATCGTTCTACATTCACCCCAGGCCATTTCTGGATGGGGCGCATTGGTTATCTCATTAACGCCTTGTCCTGCATCTACATTCTCGCCTTTGTCGTGATCTTCTGCTTCCCGTATGCTTTGCCCACCGACGCAGCTTCGATGAATTACGCTAGCCTGCTGACCGGAGGATTGACAATTTTTGTGACTATCTGGTGGCTCTTCCGGATGAAATCCTATGAAGGGCCGAAGTTCATCCCTCTGACGGACAAGGTGCTGATGGATGACGCTAAATAAGCACTACTCTTATATGAAGGGTGAACGCTCAACAGAGATAGCGAATATACTGGATATCTTGATGGATAGCTCACCTTCGTTACAGCCTATAGACGCTTACGACATGTATATTTTCTTCATAATTAATTCGGACATATTTTAAGGCTGTCGGCCTACTTCTGAATGACATGTAATAATCTTCGTTTGCTTCATGTATGGATGAATTTTAGTAATTTAGTGAAATGACTGGTGCTGCAAGCCAGGACAGTAATTATATATCTCAATTAGATCGCTACAGTATTCACTGTACTAGTATTCATAGGCGAAGAATCAAAACTACCTCTACTACACAACCTCTATGTAAATCATGTGACTACGCGTTTGCCCGTGCCGCGTCTGACGGGTAAAGACACTCGTCCACTGAAAGGAACGAAATGTTACCAAAACGAAATCTGAAGGCCACACGACATGGTCTTCAAACCGTTCAAGCCTCCTTTGATAAGGAAAAATACGGAAGATCCTAATACTAAGTCAGATTTATCCACCGATACTCTGGATAAGCATGGCCCGCCAGCCAAGAGGCCGCGTCTGCACCAAGACCGTACCGTGGGTAGGGTAGGTCCATCTGAGAGGAAGCCTTTGGTCCAAGTGCGCAATATAGGTGAACCAGTATGCGATAATGTCAAGGACGATGTGTCTGCAGGAGAACGGTATTTTAATGTTTTATGGTACGACCTCACCACTACCGTGTTCTTAAAAAGGAAGAGGAAAAGAAGAGAGGAGGAACAGGGAAAGGAGAAAAAGCTGACAATTTCCAGGCGAAAACCTACCACTAAAAAGAACAAGACATGGGATGGTGACGGTATCCTCTTAGTCCGAAATGGTTATGCTCATTTGCGGGACGTCTCGGGCAGGGACATGGGCCGGGCGATGCACACCTCTCATCTTGAACCTGGAACCATGCTCTCGATCGGAGGAAAGGAAGTCGAGGTAGATTCGGAAATGTCAAAGAAGGAGTATCTGTCGGGGAAGCAATTTCTCGAAACAAAGCCTAGCCCAACTCCGCCGGTAGCGCCACCGAAGAAAGGGTTTGTGCCTGTGTCGGGAAACAAAACTAGCACATCGACTGTCAAGGAGAATCAATTGGAGAAAGGCCAAATGCAGATAATTCCAAATCCCGCATCAAGGAAATCGAGCTCTACATCTAGCGCATACAAAAGACCCCTGTTGGAAAATACTGTTATCCCGCAGAAATCTGCCGAGGAGCCCGTTCCTCGTCATGACCCCAAGCAGCCCGGTGCACTGGTGATGAAACGGCCAGCATCCGCGCCTAAGGGGAAAAGAGTTGTCGATGTTGTGGTTGATCCTATCCTTGCCAAACACTTGCGGCCGCATCAGCGTGAAGGAGTCAAGTTCCTCTATGAATGTGTCATGGGGATGCGATCATTCAATGGCCAAGGTGCTATTTTAGCGGACGATATGGGCTTGGGTAAAACCTTACAGACAATCACGCTACTATGGACCTTGCTCAAACAGAATCCAATTTATGAGAATCCCCCTGAAGTTAAGAAAGCGCTTATCGTGTGCCCCGTGACTTTGATCAATAACTGGAGGAAGGAGTTCCGGAAATGGCTTGGGAACGAGCGGATTGGCGTATTTGTCTTTGATGACAGACGAAAACGACTGACTGATTTCACAAGGGGTAGAGCATACAATATAATGATTGTCGGTTATGAAAAACTAAGAACTGTGCAGGAAGGTCTCGCGCAAGGAGCTGGGGTCGACATCATCATTGCGGATGAGGGCCACAGACTCAAAACACTTCAAAACAAAAGTGGGCAGGCGATACAGTCGCTGAATGCCACTAAAAGAGTGATTCTCTCGGGTACTCCGATCCAGAACGACCTGAAGGAATTCTTCGCGGCGGTGGATCTGGTTAATCCGGGAGTTTTGGGAACTTTCAAGGCATTCGTACGCGAGTTCGAGGGTCCTATTGTGAAGAGCAGACAGCCAGAGGCAACAAGGAGAGATATTGAGAAGGGCGAAGCCAGAAACGAAGAGCTTCGTGAACTTACCTCTCAGTTTATGCTGCGGAGAACCGCAGACATTCTTGCGAGCTACCTTCCACCAAAGTCGGAATACATACTTTTTTGTGACCCAACGCCCACTCAAGCGAATATTTATCAAAATGTGCTCGCTTCACCTGTATTTCAATGTGCCGTTGGCAACTCAGAGAGCGCTCTGCAGCTTATCACCATCCTGAAGAAGCTTTGCAATAGCCCCTCATTGCTTTCCCCAAGAAATGTGGACGAGACACCCAGCGAAATAATCGCAGCTTTACTATCCTCTCTACCTCCAAATCTCCTACGACACTTTTCTCCATCCTCCAGCGCCAAAATCCGGGTACTAGACCAACTACTACACATCCTGCATACCTCAACTTCAGAAAAGGTTGTTCTCGTTTCAAACTACACATCCACGCTCAACCTGTTAGCCACGCTCCTAACCTCATTATCACTTCCATTTCTACGACTAGATGGCTCGACTCCAGCGCAAAAAAGACAATCGCTAGTCGAAGACTTCAACCGCTTCCCAGCGAACCGCTGCTTCGCATTTCTTCTATCCGCTAAGGCGGGAGGCACGGGGCTGAACCTGATAGGCGCCAGCCGCCTCATCTTGTTCGACGTGGACTGGAACCCAGCCACGGACATCCAGGCCATGGCCCGAATCCATCGCGACGGACAAAAACGACACTGTCGAATATACCGCATTCTCCTGAAGGGCAGCTTGGAAGAGAAGATATGGCAACGCCAAGTGACGAAGCTCGGACTCGCAGATAGCGTCATGGAGCACAAGGATAACACTGCCCAGTTCTCTCGAGACGAACTAAAAGACCTCTTTCGTCTCGACCAGGATAGCAAATGTCAAACGCACGAGCTTCTAGGCTGTGATTGTGGGGGTAGGGGACAGAATGTGTCGACCCCGGAGTCTCGAGCTGGTTCTCCGGCGGACGGGCAAGGCAATATATCGGATGTAAATGACTCAGAGGAAGTGGAGGAGGACTTCCCGGACGTTCTGACCCTCATTAAAGCTTCCAAGCTGGACATAGAGAAGCAAGATCGCATGATTAAGGCGAATAGCGCGGCACGCCCTGGGTCTAGAACGACCAAAAGCATCAATAGCACCAAATCTAAGAAGCAGAAGAATAAGATGCAACAGTCGCTGTCTCAGTACTGTCATATTGATCCCTACCATCTAACAACCACAATTGATGATACGCAAGATGTTCAACAAGCTATTGATGACGACGTGCTTCTTGCTATGTTAAAAGAGGAGGATAATAGGATCAGTTTCGTTTTTAAGAAATCTAGCACAGCGTTGGCAAAGGACACTGATTCGTCGATGGCGGTTGTTTTGTCGGATTAAAGATAGAGTATCCTCGATTTGATGATTTACTGTATATGCTCATGTCGGTATTTGGGATTATCATATAGATATAATGTATCTATTCAATTAGATAGAGTAATTGACATAAACGCATCTCTGCTTACCTTCCATCGCAAGGCTGTGGGATGAAACACTTCGTTTATGAAAGATGTTAGGACACTGTTGAAAGTCTTAACTGACGATAATGCTATATTTGGGAAAATCTCTAACAGAATAGAATAACGATCAATCATTCCTTGTCTCATAGGCACATACATACATGCAGATGACATCTGATCTCGTAACTCACATAGACAAAAATGTAGCAACATCTGAAAAACAGAGCGAAAGAACTGAAGGGGGTATGGATATGCAGGATATCTATCAATCGAAATGCAATTGGTTCGAGGCAAAACACCAGGGTAAATGATGGAAGGAAATTCAAACAAAGGAGGGCTGAGAATTCGAACTTAGGTAAAAAGGATTGCGACATGTATGACGTTGCATGTGAGTCTCATAAAAAAAAAAAAAAAACAAAATCTAGTATCTGAGTTTTCCAACGAGGCCAAATGTATATGCTGCCTCAGCTTCGCTCTTCATTTGGATCATGTATATCTTAGACGAGCCACCGGTAACACCGCCTTTCTTCGGCATGGCACCACCTTCAGTCTCTTCCCAGACTGACACGGCGATACCTGTCCTTGCTACTCGTTCGAAAGAACTTTCAGGAAGGCAAACATCAAGAAGAACCACACCCCGTGTCTTGCCGCGGATGAGGATACGCTTTTCAGAATCTATAGTGCGCCGGGGAGAGGCAGCTCCAGAAGGGGGTGAGCTTCCTTCAGCGCCTTCTGTCCCAGTACTGGTATCGTTGGATCCACCGGCAGCTGTTTCTGACCGTCGAGGTTCCGCGGTTGCCGGCATAATAGTGAGCCTAGCAGCACCCATATCACGCCATTTGGACTGAGTTTCACGCATATAAAGCCTAATTTTTGCGTTCGAAAGGCCAATACCGTCAACGTTTTTAATAGCAGCTGCTATCCGGCCAATTCCAGAAGTGGATGTATGGTTTGTTCCCGAACCCGCAGAGCTTGAGTATAAGCTATCTTCTTTTTGACCACTCCGAGAAGTAACTGAAGATCGTGCAATGCTGAACATCTTGCCCCCCGCACCAAATCGTTTCAAAGCCGAGAAAGCACTACTCATAGTCCCAACGCTACTCTCGGAATTGTCAGCAAGTGAGCGAGGGGAGCTCGATGCACGGTAGCTCTTCCTGCGACGTGGCCAGCCGAATAAACCCCCACTCTTGGAGGGGCGCTCTAGAGGAGCGGGTTGTTGCGTGAAAGGCCCTCGGGCGTTTTGCAAAGCTATGTAGGTAGGATTGGTGGTGCGCGCCTGGTTTATGAGGCCATACAAGACCTCGCATTCATCTGCATTGCGGGAACGGAACATAATATTGTTGCTCCATGATACCTTCGACCGTTCAGTAGGAGGAGAACGGATACTGATATCGATCGCTGTACCACGTCGGATGGGTACCAGGGGCGTTAGTTCGAGAGCAATCAGTGGTCGTTCCCGTTTGGACAGCATGTGAT